TTAGCACTGCCTATAGTCTCCCCTACTTTGACTAATTACATATTTTACTTCCCCTACTCCTCCTGGGGGGTGCTGCCTGGAGACCTCAATCTATCAAGATGTCCAGCACACCCTGCAACATGTGACGTCATCTCTACCAATGACGTCCGTGCATCCAGCTTGCCGTTCTGCCTGTGTCATCTTCCATGTATGACCCGCTGCCTGCCTTCTGGATGCCTGGCGATTGGAGGCAGCATTGGCACCGGCTGTCATCTCCCCCCTGCTCCCCATTTGTGTCTCAAATTTTACTGTATCTGACTCTCCCTGCCGGCTCCTGGAGGATGGGCTCCCCCTTTGAGTCTGGTCCCTCCCAAGGTTTCTTCCTTCTCAGGAGTTTTACCTTGCCACTGTCGCCTATGGCTTACTCACTGGGGGCTTTGGGTGGGGATGCTGTAAAGCGCTTTGAGACGATGTAATGTTGTGATAATGCGCTATACAAAAATAAATTTGATTGTTGTTGTTGTTTGCATCTTTCCAACAAGCTATCTCAGAAGACCATGCATTCAGCCAATTGAAATTGCGGACAACAGAAAAGTAATATACACTGAAATAATAAAATTAACGTTATGGTATCCAGAGGGGGGACTATAACCTCAACTCTTAAGTCATAGGGTCCAAGAAAGGTCCAAGTCTCCTGTTGTCAAGTCCAAGTCAAGTCCAAGTCACTCATGTAGAGTTACAAATCATCAAATTAGTGACTTGAGTCTGAGTCAAGTTGCGAACCAGTCACTTGAGTCCCCACCTCTGCCCTTGACACCCTGGATAAACTGTCTTTATCATTCTGCAGCCAAAACTTTACCTGCATAGTGGAGAGGACTGCAGGGCCCTGGAGCCTATCCCAGGCTGCACAGGGCACAAGGCTGAAGGACAACCTGGATGGGATACCAGTCCATTGCAGGGCTCACACAATCACACACTGCAGGTAATTTAGAGACACCAATTAGCTTTCAATTAACTTTGGAAAGAAACCCACCAAAATGGGACAACAGGCAGACTCCACACACACAGAGCCAGGGGGGATTCAAACTCAACAGGGCAACCGGCACAGTGCTACCCACTGAGCCACCATATTGCCCCCCCACATAAAGCAAATCCTATTTCAAAATAACATTTACTTCACATAAAGAAAATGTATTTGTCGGAAATGAACATTCGACATAGATCTGGGGTTTCAGTCAAAAACTATTCATTTGACAGATATCCAACATGCAAAACACCCCAAGTATCTAAATTACCATGGAGATTCAATGGAGGACTCATCAGATGGGTTCAAGTAGCCAGGCATAATGACCCATTTGAGGTGGTTTCCATTTTAACATGTTAGTTTTAATGAACCCATTGACAGCTACATGGATAAACAGGAATCTGTTGTTGCTGTCCCACTGACAAACTAAGGTACATTCAGTCCTTTGATGTGTTAAATATGTTAAATTGAGTCTGATTCTTTATGAATCAAACTTTAACGTCACTACCTTTGGGGTTTTGATCCATAAAAGTTTAAACCTAATAGCTATTTACATGTCAAAGACAGTAGTGCATGTTCATTTTATTTCTCATAGGTCTAATGCCGTTGTGTGATTAGGTCTGACTGTTGCTGCTTAAAAGTATCTACCACAGCGAAACAACACTGTCCCCCCTAGACCAGAACTGAGTAATCAGTCTGGGCAGAACAGGTGTGAGTCCAAATTCTTCCAAAAAAGCATTCATACCGAGTACAGGGAAATATCAGGAATATGCAGGACTGAGACGAAACCTGACTTATAAAGGGTGCGCTCAGCCTGTGTTAGAAAAACATACTTTCAATTATCTGTGATTTATTGAGTATTTTTGGTACATTTTTCACAAAAACAAATCCCACACGAACAATATCAGATAGCCTACTGTTCACAGCAAATGTTTTGCATTAGTCTTCACGTGTCTTAACCTATAAACATGGCACTGCAGAAGGGCGATTTCACGAATATCATTGCTAGTTCTATGGAAGTGTGTGCTTGTGGGATACGTGTGAGATATTTGTGCTTGAGGTGTTTGCCTTCGGGTGTCGACCGCAGCATAAACGTACACTACGCCGTGATTCACAGGATATTAATAACAGCTGAGCTATTTGGAGCTTTCAGTTCTAATGTGTTTACAGTCTGTTCCATTTGAGCCTTAGAAATCAGATCAATTGCTGGGGATATATTCCTCCATCCATCTTCCAAGGCCTTACCCTGGTTTTGGTCACAGAGAGGCTAGAGCATATCCCAGGCAACACAGAGCATACACAAAGTCATACCCCACAGGCAATTTAGAGATACCAGTTAACCTAAATGCATGTCTTTGAACTGCACAAGAAAACCCACAGAGTACAGAGAGATCATGCAAACTCCACACATAGGAGAAGGGACACTCGAACCCACAGCCCTGGAGGTGTGAGCTAAAATTATTCACAGCTCTTTCAAATCTGATGCCATGAAGCTTAGTATACTCATCGCCCCAAGATTACAGCCCAATTCACTGCCTAAACAGGCAAAAAAAAAACACTTTTTAGAATAACACATGTTCTCGTAGACCTAAATCACAAGTATTTTCACTCCCTGGAGTCATAGATATGTTTTATGGCCCTTTCCTTTGTGCATAACATTCAAAAAATATGTTTTTCTAGACATTCTAGGATTCTCATTGATTTAATAATATTTTCAAAACAAGCAGAAAATCCTATAATATTTCCAAATGAGACACCAGATGAGTATGTGGTCTGAATTTCATTGCATTGTCAGTAAGCTGACTGAAATCAGCTAAACCTTTCATGCAAGTTAAAGCTTTAATGCAGTGAAGGCTAGCACACCAAGCAATGAGAGTAATTAAAATAAGTTATCAGTAAATAAGCCAGCATGCATAATATGGAGAAATTCTGACAATGAGAATGCAATGCTGAGATAACACAGAGGAAGGTCTTCAAACGGCCATCAGCTAACCTCAGACAATAAGAATGGATTTTCCTCTATCATCAACATTACTAGGTAGAATCTTCCGATAGATGAAAATGATTTGTCAGAAAACATTTGTTTTTGTTCGGTTTAAGAATAGAATTCAGTCATTAATATAATTTTATTGTATATAACATAGAAATAAATTACGAAGTAAAAAGGTACTTTGTAGGATGACTAATATATCTTTTGTAACAATACCAATGATTTACTCATTAAATTATAGAAACTGTGCATTTTTAGAAATTTTTGTTTTCCCTGGGTTCTAGTTGTTTCTGTATTGTGATTGAATATATCATTAAGCCAGGTGCAGCATACCAGACTGTGAATTTTTAATTAATTCTTATAATTAACTCTGCCAACTTTAGGTACCACTACCTAGTTGCCATATAAAATCCACTGTTATTTGAGCCATGGGAAACTTCTGGCTTAAAAATCAGCTTTAAACCAGGAAAAAAATTATATAAAAATGTGATGAATGTGTTGTAAAATTCCTTCTTCAACCTCGTATTTTTTCCTCTCTGCCTCTGGGAAGATGGTTCCTCAGAGGATGAAACTGCTCACACAGTCATCATTAACATACTTCTGAATGTAAATTGCTCACTAACTTGTCCAGGTCCCACACACACACTATGGGCACTACGAAAATCATCATGTCAGTATGAAATAACCATGTCCATACGAAATACTGCAAGCTGTATTGCTGGTCTCTTAGCAGGAATGGCTCAGTTTCAGTCCTGAAAATGGACCGTTTGTCTAAACTAGGCTGCCCTCCGAGTCAGATAAATGTTACAGCGGTTGGCTGTTCAACTTTAATCTTTAGGCAGGAACTAGCAGATAATGGACCTTACTGTAAATATCACACTAAGAAACACGATGATGGCTGAAAACAACTTGAGGCATCTGAAATCATATGAACTTGTGCCATTCCATTGATTTCCAGCCAGCTATAGGTTTCTTCAGCATGTCACCCCTTTGCCTAACTCCCAGACTGCTGATTTACCTTTAAACAATAGCAATGCTTAAAAACACACACACACACCACATACCCCCACTTCAAATGTGTAGTAATCAGTCCTTATGTATGCGTCAAAATGCACACGCAACTGAGAGCATTAACATCCAGATATTGAAACAACGTGGGTGTAGGGGCTGGAAAAGAGCATGACGTGATTTTTCTACCTAGGCAAATCGTGACTTGGACGTATACTCCCACGGCACATGTAAATAATGTCCAAACCATCACTTCATACTTAACTCACAGTTTACTCGCCGTCTTCCTGCACGGCGGCTGGACGATGGACAGTACAGCGGGTCAGAGGCACTGTGTCTCATGCCCGGCGAAATTGGGATAGAGTGAGCATCACACTACCACTTACAACACCCTCCCTCCCTGCCAGCTACCCCCTCCACCCAACCCCCAACCCCAAAGCCAGCTGTCAGATGCTCTTGCGATCCTGTAGATATTTTCCACAAACACAAGCAATTAATTTTTATTATATGTGCCCATACACATTGTAACACTCGCATCTACAGTGGCTTGTGCCTGAATAGTCGCTGAAGCACAACGGAACGACACGTATGAAGCGATACATGCACTCTCATATGTACATGGTATAACATCGCCGTCGTTTTCTGAATAATGAATAAAATAAACCGTGCAATCATCATCAAGTTGTTTTCACGTAGCACGCAATGCACACATAAGATGATAAATACTTGAAGTTTACGTTAGACTCATATTTTGGCACAGAGTTGCATCCTGTCGATTTACACACATTCCCAGGCGGACCCCGTTTGTTTTTCATTCATAAATAGTGGTCGGGAAAAGGTTTTCCTCACCTGTCTCCTTACTCCGCTCCTTTCCAGCGCGCCGCTACCTTCTAAACACAACAGCAAACGGTGTCCTGTAAAATTTAAAGAATACCTTTTTTCGGTCAATTTTTAAAATATTTTTGTGAAATCCATCACTTCCGTCTATGGAAATAATATTTTAGGAAAGTGTAAACAGGCGAAGCAACCAGAAGCCAACTGCTCATTTATCAAATGAAATAAGTATTTTGCGTACCTGAGCGCGAGCGCTGCTTTCCTTGCCCTCTGGTTATATTAACAAAAGTAAATGAAAACCCGCGCCGTCTATAGCATTTTACAGTATTGTAGCGCTGACGGACTACTCCTCTCTTCACTGCAGTCTCTCGCTCTCTCACACTCCCTGTTCTCTCTCACACTCCCTCCGTCCCTCCCTCCCTCACTGTTTTTCTGATTTAAATCCCTTGATACTAAAGATAGGAGGTGCTCTTCTTTTTCTATCTCAACTAGCGCCTTCCACACTGAAAAGTGACGCAGACACTATAACCCCCCAGCGGGTTTTACGCTCTTTAAAAACACTGGTTTCTTAAATCCCATCATCTGGAAGTCGTCGCTGATACACCGCTCCTGAAATCAGGGCACATCTAGCGTTTCCATTCTTCCCGACGGTCCTTACTGGCATATATTTCCTTTTTCCATGACTACCACGCTTATCATCTCACAAAAAACAATTTACATTTACCACCATAAAACTTATCGTTGCAAACAGAATGATTTTTCATAATTCTCTAATTTAAATTTCATCACTATATTATCGTATCGTATTATAAAATATTATTAGGAGTCCAAACAGCGTAGCTGCTCAATCCTAATTCTTCTTCTTCCTATTATTATTATTATTAGCATCCATTTAAGTGTTATAACGGAGTTCAGAATGAATACATATTTAATTATATGCAATGTAACCTAGTGGTTTGAGGTGCGAGCATCTATTTCGTGGACAACGTGCGTCAGGAGTGACTTTAGCTTTGCCTTTTGAGTTAAATCCATCTAGTGCTGATAAGCCTGCTATGTAATATAATGTTGACGAGACTCCCACATCGGAAGCTAAATATCTGCAGTTTCAAATGTTTTGTGCAAACTGAATGTTTAATTCACACATTTCATTACCTTCATGTACTATGCTGAAAGACAATACATGTAACAAGTGTAATTTGCCTGGTTTGGAACAAAGCATTTTATATGAATGTTATCTTTCCAGAAAAATAATAAAATAAAAGAGTATAGCCACGCAGAATGATGATATCCTGTGGGCCCAGTAAGTCTTACGGTTCATTGTAAAATATAGTGATGTAAATTGCATTCAGGCCACCGTGTAATTTGTTATATGGACATAATATATAATTTCATAAAAATATAGTGTTGAATTTGTTTTCGTATTTTCGCACTGATAGCACGCCGAGGTTCAATTTCTGGGGTTATGAATAAGCCTTTGTCTCCCTCCAGCGGCTAACTGATGAACAGCAATTGTCCACACGGCAGGAGTCGAGCATAGGCTAAGATTAGTTTAGCAGTAATTTATTCAAATAGCAATAAAATTATATGATAAAGCTTATGGTTGTAATAGTGATAAGTCATTGAAAAAGAAGTAAAGTACAAATACCTTAAACAATCAAAACGAACGCGATGTTTTTTGTTGGTAGGATCGTTTAATAGATGTTATTTGTTTCACATTAAGATTTCACATTACGGTTATTGACAACTAATGACTTTCAACACTACAAGTTAAAATGATCCAGGATGCAAAAACTATAACGTTGCTGTGTTGTTATGATACAAACCAACAAGGTGTCTTGGTCACTGGGCCACCACAAGTTGCTATAACAGCCTCACTAGGTCTTGGAACAAATCCTAGTGTCCAGATCTGTGGCACCATTCTTCCAAAATAAATGTTATCAGCTCACGTTTTGTTGTTTGCAAGGCCACCTGCCCTTTGAAGCAGCTCTCTGGCATCCCCTGCATGTGATCTGGTGATCGAGATATCTATGCCAGATGCATTGCATTTTTATCCTTGTTCATCGAATTACTGGGTAAGAGGTCATGACCATGTGAGAGTATGTATTGTCACTCTCAAAGACGTGGCCACTTAACAGCTGTGTTCTTAGAGTGCGATGTAAACATCCGCAGCTACGGAATGGAGCCAAACCATACCAGGAAAATCCACCCAAACCATGAGGGTGAGGTTAGACCGCTCCACACATTCACTCAATCCCGTAGGCTTCTTATAATATTTCACAACAAGGCAAATGAGTCAATCGCTCAAGTTCCTCCACAAACCTTTGCCTGTCGGATCACTTTACATGCAATGCATTTCTTGTATAAGGGCTTTATGTACAGCCATAAGATCCCTCCATATAAGAAAATTCTGCAATCTTTTTTACTGAACACCAGGGATTGTCAGTCTGTCCATGCACTGTCAAATGTGTTTGTGGTAAAATGTTTTCACTGGGATATGTAGGCTATATATTTAAATAATATGTGATTGGTAAAATTGCATTTTGTTCCAAATATACATCAGAAATTCAGAATTCACCAGACCCCCACTTAACATCCTTTAATGGAGGGTCTGCATTTACGGCACTTCCCTGCTGGAACATGTCCCCCTCGGATGGACTGAGTAGCAAAAAACTACTGCAACATGGCTTACATTAGTTGAGGAAACTGCAAAACAATTATCTTCTTAAATTAAAGCAGTTGGACTCGACAGACATAAAAATCCTCACACCCTTTCTGCACCAAAAGTGTCAGGATTAATCCCCCGCCTAGCCCAGTTCAGTCCATCATTTCCCTGTTTGGTCAGCAGGTGTCACTGACCATCCCGTTTTCCACATGTTTCCATTGTTCTGTGTCCTAGTACATTCTCTTTGCTCCTTGGGCCAAAAGTGGGCAGATGCCAACTAAGCATCTCTCCTGTCATGGGTTGGAGGCCAGTTCAAATTTGTTGGGCATCTTATGTTTTTTTCCCCTAGGTTTTGTTTAGTACTCTGTGGCTAATTATGTTTTTTGTGTTTCTCTATGGATTCCGTTTTTGTACCTTTTGCTAATTTCTCCTGCTTGTGTCTAGTTTAATAATTAAATCCTGTTTCACCTTTTCCCCCCGAGTATCCCCTGTGTAGCCCTAGTCCCTAGGGATGGCTGTGCTTAATCAGTAATTGGTCCACACCTGTCCCTCATCTAATCTTTTTACTTGTGTATTTCTGCGCCTACTCTTGCCCTGTTCCTTGGTCAGTCATTCAGTCATTATGCGTTTGTTGTTCGTTTGATTCCTGTAAGTTGAGTTTCCTCATATGAAATGTGTGTGTTACCTGAGTGCGTCCCTTACCTGTGTCCTTGCTACAGTTGTACTTCTCAACCTATCTTTGTGTGACCCCTTTTGATTTCTTTTGGTAGCTGTTTCTGGGCAAAATGTAAGTGAATGAATGTGAAATCCATTTAAACTGTGATACCTTAAATCCAACAAGTTACCCCGAGAGGCCAGTAACCCCGTTTCGTAGTACAAGTCACAGGAGTGTCCTTCCATCATGCTCCACCCAACAAAAAGAGCTTCTTGGCAGTATTTTTATCTGGGATTGTCAAGGATCCGGGCGGCTCGGGCACGGGAGCGAGGCATCAGGCACAAAAAGGGCGGACGACCCACTGGCGGCTCGGGCACGGGAGCGAGGCATCGGGCACAGAAAGGGCGGACGACCCACTGGCAGCTCCAAGAACAAAAGGGGTTTATTAAATAAAACAGAAAACACTACAAACACAAAAGGACCACAAGGGGTCAAAACTAAAGGGGATAATTAAAGACTTAATATTACAAAACAAAAACTAGGAAGGAACCCAGGATGCAGATTTAACCAAGACAAGCAACAATACACTCATAGACAATGAACCACTGGGGAACTGAACAGAAGCAGGAACTAAAATACTAAGGGGTAACGAGACTAACACAGGACAGGTGAGACTAATTAACAAAGACCAGGGAAACAGGGCACAGGTGAAACTAATAAACTCAAAAGGAACTAAACAGGGAAACTAAGAACTAACCAATGAATCAGAACACTGGGGAATTACAGACAGGTAAAGACAAAACCAAAAACCATATACAACATCACCAAATACAATAACTAGACAAACTAAACTGAAACACTAGGGAGCAAAATACAAAAACAGGAGGTGGGATTCAAACACAGGACAGAAGGTACACAGACAACCACATGCTCAAGACATTGAGTCACATGACCAGACAGGTAACAGGGGAGAACAAAGACTAACATGAAGGACGGGATGACCAGCGACACCTGCTGGTCAAACAGGGAAGGGACACGGTAGGACCACAGCAGAGGCTGACCCTGACAGGGATGGGATGTTAATTGGTTTATTAACATATGAGCCACACCTGTGTGGAAGACCCTGATTCCAAAGTATCTTGTATAACTCATTTCCTAAAATGCTTCCTATGTTGGACATACCAGAAACTTATTAAAGAATTTCCGGTATCACTTTACAATAAGACTCTCTTTTGCCACTTGTAAATGGTAGTAACCAATTAATAAAAAGAAAACTGTGTTATGATTTGTTTAAAATTGTCTATTAATAATTTACAAAGTGTTAATAACCATTAATTAATAACCAGATTATAAACCATTCATAAATCCTTTATATGGGTAGCCTTATCGTAAAGTGCCACCGAATTTCCACCTGGGAACACTGAAGAATGATCTTGCCTTTTCAATAACTACTCTGTTTAAGGAAAATGATGCATCAGTGTCCATGCAATTAGAACATGGAAGATTAATATTTTTTGTTGGATTACAAATGGCAATTTTATGTCCCAATTTGATCTTTTTATACTGAAATTTACATAAGAGAACACTAGTATGTTGTTCATATGAACCATTTGTGGCACGAAGCAGGGAAGCAGCACAGGAGCTGGGGAAATCAGGTGAACATGGGATTTATTCAGGATGAGATACACAAAGGATCACAGAACGACGTTAATGACCGGACTGGGGAAACATACTCTGACGTGGAGTTAAATACACCACAGTAATTAACACAACTAGAAACAGCTGAAAACATGGGAATTCCACACGGGGTAAATGAGGGGGTGTGGCATACAAGAGGATCGGTACGATTGGGGCATGACAGTTTGTAATTTTTGTAGTAATCAGTTGTCATGCCTTGAAGGACTCAAGGGTAGGCGAGTTGGCTAAACAGAAAAAGGTTTTATTGAACAAAATGAACAAAGATGGTAAACAAACAGGATTGAGAAGGATCAGAAACAGGAGGACTAGAAATTAGGAAGGGCACAGGCAACAGGAAGGTACAACATCAATGACTGGACTGGGGAACATAGGAGTAGGTAGTATGTGTATGCTGGACTAATGAGGGAGCTAACAAGAGGCAGCTGGGAGTGAGGGTTAAGTATGAGAGGTAAGATAAATGACTAACAGGTGTGGCTTGTCGGGGACACATTCGGTAGGGAGGAGACAAGAGGGTCAGGTGGACATGGTGGGCAGGAGATGACACTACCCCTCCCCATAACATAAAAACATAATAAATTTATAAATGAGAGGAGGTCATTTGGCCCATCAAGCTTGTTTGGGGAGAACTTAACTAATAGCTCAGGGTTGTTAAAATATTATCTAGCTCTGATTTAAAGGAACCCAGGGTTTTAGCTTGCACTACACTAACAGGGATACTATTCCACGCTCTAACTACATGTTGTGTAAAGAAGTGCTTTCTCAAATCTTTAAAATGTTCTCCCGCTAATTTCCTCCTAAAACATGAACTCTGGCCATGAAGGATGAATGGGTAGGGGACCAAGGTGACCGAACGACAGGGTGGACACATGGGGTTGGAGACAGACAGGACACCAGACATGACAGGGCATGGCAGGACTGACAGGGCACATGGGGCAGACACCACCAAAGACCAGAGGGACAGAGCCCCTAGAGAGAACAGGTCACACAATACCACCAGGGGCACAAATCAGGCAGGGACCAGACCAGGGACCAAAATGAGAGACTAATGAACAATACCTCCCCAACAAAACAGACCAAACAGGGGATAGGACCAAGGACAACAGGCCTGAGATTAGAGGGAAATAACACTAGACATTGACAGGGACCAGGTTGCTGGAGAGACAGAGACGAGACAGACTGAGCATACCACAAAACACTGGACAATACACAAGACATAATTAGATGCATGGATCAATTCTGTACAAAACCAGGGACAGCAGAAAGGACATTCAGCATGACACACAGCAGGACAGAGCAGAGACAGAAACACAGCAGAGGACCACAGGGGACACAAGCTAGGGTACAACAAAGGCAGGGCAGCGTAATGGGACCGGGACTGAGGAGCAATTGGAGGGAAAGGGGAATGTTCGGAGAGTCTTCCGGATCCTGGAAAACTGGGTAGTGAACATGGGATGTGAGTCTTACTGACAAGGCAGGACTCGTCTAGACTGAAGACGAATGGGACTAGGTCCTGGTGGAGGAGTTGTCTGGGCAGGTGATATGTGCCCCCATTTTCTCCTCTGGGAGATGGAGACTCGGCTCTCCCTTCTCTTCAGCCCCAGCCAATATTGGTGGCTGCCCCCAGAACCAGAGGCACATCTTGTCAGCAGGCAGGGCAGGCAGCTGCTTGGGGCCCCCAAGCCACTAGATGGCGAACGAGAGCTGACACTTTAAACTACGGTAGTGGCAATTACGTTTTGAACGTACATTCCTTTGAACTTTATCAGAGAATTTATTAACCTGCAAATCGTGCGCATTATTATCGCTTATCAAAACAAATGATGACAAAAACTGGTTAGAAGGGGGGCCCCCAGTGAATTTTTGCTTGGGGCCCCAACAGACCCTAGGATCGCCTCTGCCCAGAACCTAGGACCAGAGTGGCCCAAGTCTCGGGCGGAGGCAGGGGTACACGGAGCAGGACTCAGGGCAAAGGGGATGAGAAGAGTGCTAGTAGTGAGCCAAGAGGCTTCGAGGAGGCAGCCTGGGCATTGACAGGAGAAGAGGTGGACGCTAGTGGGACATCAAAGGGGAGGGGTCAGGCACCAGAGGTACATCAGCTGACAAGGCAGGTGCCGGCGGGACATCAGGAGATAAGACTGTGGATATCCTCAGTTTCTGTGTATAAGCAGGTCAGTGGAACACAATCTTATCGTGGGGCATATGTGACAGTGGGCCCTGGACAGGATGCTGGCGGATCAGGATTCAGCTGGGGCATCGAAAAGCCTGCAGTCTGGGCAGTTTCTGTCCAGCCCTCTAGGGAAGGTTGGGTGACCAAAAGTGTTTTGGCTGCAAGCATGGCTGGGAGCAGCTGGGGAACCTGAAGGCGAGCAGGGGGCAGCTGAGGCACCCGGAGTGGAGCAGGTCAGGACACCAGGCGCAACCCCTGGAGTTCACTACGAGATGCCAGGCAACACTAAGTGGCCCACACTGGCCAGAGTGGCATCTTGATCGATGGTATGACATCATCTGGGATGGGCATAGGCAGAACGGTATTACTCGGGGCAGGCTCAGGCTGAGAGACGGTTCCTGCTGGGCTGGGTTCTGGGGACTCGGGAAGAGTGATGGCCTCTTCTGAGCCTGGCTCTGGAAACTCGGGTTGAGTGATGGCCTCTCCCAAGTCAGACTCTTGAGGCTTGGGAGAAGGAGGTATGGCTCCTCTTGGGCTGGACTTTGGAAGATTGGGTGGAGTGGCAGCCTCTCCTGGGCCAGGATCTGGGGGCATGACGGCAAGGAGGGCAAAGAAGTCCTCTGCTTGTAGGCAGCGTGGTTCTGGCAGATCCTGCAGCTCTGAAGACCTTGCTGGTCTTTAGATCCGGGGAACATGGGGAATTCAGTCCGTGGGATGTAGGGAAGCCTGAAAGCCAGGACTGATGTCACAGCTATGAGGTTTCTTTATGAGTCCAGTCATTTTGTCATGCCTTGAGGGACAAAGGACTTGATGGTAGGTGTATTCAAAACAGAAGAGGATTTTATTGAAGTAAATGAACAGGGACAGTAAACAGGATCGTGAAGGATTAGAAAAAGGAGGACTAGAAATTAGGAAGGGCACAGACAACAGGAAGGTACAACATCAATGACTGGACTGGTGAACAAAGGACTGCGAAGCATGTATATGCTAGACTAATGAGGGAGTTAATGAGAGGAAGCTGAGAATGACTAACATGAGGGTCAGGAACAAGCGGTAAGACAAGCAAGTAACAGGTGTGGCTTGTTAGGGCGACGCTAGGGAGGATACAGGAGGGTCAGCTGGATATGATGGGCAGCATGTGACATCAGTACTATAAAGAAAGTTGTTTTGAATGATTCTCAAAAATAAAGGAATCTTAAACACTTCTCAAATACAATGTGTTTTACAGCTTTTTACACAGGCTTATGCCTTCTGAAGAAACATGCTGTCACGCCCTGCCGGTGAACTGGCAATGGGAGGCGGCAGCCCCGACCAATACCGGGACTCCACGTTGGATATAAACCCGAAAACACTGCAGCCTGGTGCGAGGTATTGTAGATGATTAGATACAAACTGAGCATAACTTTCCCTGTCTTTCGTTTAGCTCCGTTCCACCCTGCTTGCCCTGCCCGACTCTTCCTACAACCCGTCTCGACCTCCCTCCTGCCCTTCCTCCCCTCGCTCTTCCTCTTCGTGAACCCCCCGTGTGCCATGTCTGTGTCACCGGACGGATCTCCTGGCTCTCGACCCATTTGCCTGCGACCCCGACAACGAATCCGGATCCTGACCCCAGCCTTCCCGATCTCCTGGTTTTCAACCATGCCTGTACGACCACGATTCTGCCCGCTCCAAGTTTCTAGTGCTACAGCATTGTGCAATAAAGACTCTGTTGAACGTCCCTCTGTTGGTCCTAGCGGGTTTGTGACAGATGCTGGCAACGCTTTTGAAAGTTAAGTGGCCTTGTGGCTTTTTACATGTTTTAATTAAATTTGTTTTAGGCAAAAATGAACCTCAAAAAGCATATGAATTGAGAGCAGACTGCCTGTTAACAGAAGTTTGAGTTAGCTAAAATGTAATACAACAGTACGGAAAACAAAATTAATTCTGTCCTGTTAGATGCTAATCTATGTACGATTTTACATATTATGACTTTTTCTTAGATACAAATATCAACATTTAACCAATGGTCACTCATAAATAGCCTGAGACAACTGGCAACCTTGACCAGGACAAACCAGTAGAAAATGAATGGATTAAAAAAATCTCCACTTCTTCTACTGGCAAGATTAATACGTATATAACAATTACTTGAGATAGCGGCCCCTTTTGGTGATATGGTGAAAAACGCGAAAATATTTGAACGCATAAGAATCGTAACTGCGCGTTTGTTCAGTCTATCTGCCTGCTGTGACATAGCGTTTCATAAAGCCGGTAACTATCTACTTATTATATACAATATATATATACAAACATAATGCATTTAGATTAATCACTTTTAAAGAGAAGGAGATAAGGAGAGAGAGAGGAGGGAGGGTCTGAATTTGACATCAGGCAGCATCATCGGGCGGTGAGGAGCGGTCACTCCAGCGTCCGTTCTGCATTGGGCTTTCACACCCTAACGCAATTTTCATTATTCGAAAATGAGGTAAGAAGCAATTTCTAAACCATTGTCAGTGTTTGCAAATTTTAAAAAGAAATGCCATTTGCGTTTGCGGCGCTGTCTTGTGTTGCGACATTAAATAACAATGGTGGTCTGGTGCGCTTGGTGGGATCTCCGCCGAGAGTGGTGCNACAGTCGGCGAGGCTTCCAGAGACAGAATGAAAATATACCTTTATACATTTATGTTTTTTTAAACGTAATTTGTTTGACGAGGGGAGTTTTCCAAATTCATTAACGGCATTATTAATAATTATCTTTGGAATATAACACAAATGACATTGCATACGAGCAAGGTCGATAGAGAAAACGCATAGATAATTTTCATTTACTACATTTTATGAAATATTTTATCATAAACATGTTAATTTTGTACATATAGTTAGTTAATCGTGATATTTATGTATATTTAGATACATTTGAATTGTATGAATTTTCAAGATGCAATAGCCTGCTGTTAATATGGGAGTGTGATACTGATCTGATTATGCTGGATGAGAGAATTCATTGTTAATCAGACACAAGCGGGGCGCACACGGACTGTTAGTCTGTACTGTACATGCTTACAACATACAGTTTATGCTGACGTCATAGGGTGTTACACCTGTGTACAAAATGGACGAAATGCTTTAGGAAATAATGTGTTAATTGATACTGTAATAATGGCAATACGTATATTGTATATATTATTATATGTTTGATATATATTGTGAAATGGTTTCTGTTGTATTTATGTAATGTGATGGTCTTAACACAAACTTACTTTGTGCTTGCCGTTCAAAAAAGATACAGATGGAAATAACAGTGCTGGCTGTTATAGCCTTTGTTAGGTACCTACAGTCTGAACGAATGTATATTTCACCTTATAACATTGCATAGCTTCGAAGTGACTGGAATGTCTGCGCATTTACTGAAACACCGAAACAAGAGTCTTCAGCGCGACATTTCAAAGGACATACAATGGACAGGGGCGTCGGGTGACCCGCAACGCGCGTGCTGTAGTGCAGTGAGATACATGTCCTTTTGCTTAATAGTTATGCTCGCAGTGAAACGCGCGCAAACGGGCGAGCAGATCGAGTAAAATAAACTAACAGAAGGGTGGCTATAATGCAGTGACAGGCTCCATCAGTCTTTCAGGGACTGGAGACCTGTCCTTTAGTTCTGATGGCTGCATTTCGGGGCTGAGCTGCATGGTCTGACCTTGGACCTTAAGCAGAAAGGCTGAAAACAACTAGGGTCACCCTCCCATCCTGGCAGTGTACCTCATGCTTGCATGCTTGGGCGTTGTTAGGTTTGTTCAGCCTAGCCCCGATGCCAATCTTCCTTCAAAAAAACAAAAAATCCAGCCCCAGGTAAACTTGACTTACCCCCTTATCTTTTCAGTAGCTAGAAACTGCCCTGCTTTCATGCATTTCGAAACCCCAGCAAACATGCGTTATTAAGAAAGGCATGGTCCCTCCACACAGTGAGGAACTATTTTTAACAAAAACACAAAAAAATGAGACCGTGCATTGTGGTCACATGTCATGTGGTTTGGAGGAGGCATCACTACACGTCATGAGGCCTGAGACTGATGGAGTCACCCTTCATCCGTGAGTCACGGGCTCTCTGGGGATGGTCCCACAGTCCCAAAAACGTCAGAAGCAAGGGACTGCGTTTATGTAATGAGGGCGTAGCATCGAGGCACAATTAATTTTGGAGACCTTTTTTTAGGTGGGGGGCAGGATTGGCATTCACCTGCTGGACTTGATGAGGTAATTAAATAAATTATTGTCATCGTGGGCTGTGTTAATTTGCTGGCTAGATCCTGGTTATTGTAAAAGTTGTTGTAGGTGATCAGGAAACATGAACTAGTTTGAATCAGTTAATATGCAGCAGAGAAACGGCGCTGATTAACCCTTTCGCTGAGTGGAATTCTCTGTTCGGACGGAGGCACCATACCCACAATGCACCGGTAGAGCTTTTGTTTACTCCTTACTCCAGCTGGATCCTTTACCTCTGATTCAGCACATTTTGGAAACTGTTACACCTCACTTGCCATTAACAGGTAATAGAGAGATGCTTAGAGTGTCCCTAAGACAACATAAAAGTGCTTTAATAGACAGACAATCTTTATTAATTCCCAAGGGGAAATTGTATGCAATATGTATTATAGATGCTATATATACAATATATATTGTATGCATGTTCCATATTATAAGGATTGTATGTATAAACTGTTTTATCTTAGTACATTAGACAATAGATAGCTTTGTTTAGATTTCTGAGTGGGAGACGCAATAATCTGTATATGTACTGGCCACATTATAGGGAAAAACTCCTGTCATCTGATGGGGGCTGCCGCCCGCAGGCTGGTTCATTCGATGTATTACACATTGTTCTCAACTCAGTAGCATCTCAGGAAACCAGTTGTTTTGGCATCTTCAGATTGATTTGTCTCCAGAGGGACAGTTAGCAGTTATACCAGGGTTATCTGAGAGCTGAAGATTTAAGCTAAAGCTGCTCTCTGATGGGTCCCTTTCGATAAATTGCAGTCGTCTCAGATAATAACACCATATTGATCGGATCTTAATGAGTTTGTATCGAATTGCAGGACAAATCTGTGTCACACTACTGAATTCCGGCCCTCAACAATGCCAGTTGTTTAAGCAAGGTCTCTTTTGAAAAAGCTCTAGAAATAAGACACATATTTACAGAAAAGTCTTCAAAAATATGCTTTAAAATACACTTTTTATTTTGGTGTTATTTCCAGTAGATTTGTTCAAGAAAGAATACTGACATTATCGAGGATCAAATTATAGCATCACAATGTTTCAATGAAACTCATAGAGACATTATTCATCACAGCTTCAGCTAATTAACCTCCACATTTGTTGTGGATTTTTATTCAATAAGCTGAAGAAACATTGTGCAGTTTGGAGGAAAATGTGTCTGTCCACATACAATTAATTTAGCTGTGATTTGCGTGGCTTTGAGAAACATGTGTTTTGTTCATTTGTCTGGAATGGGACTTGGCAAACAAATAAACAAGGTGTAAGATATCTGTTATACAGAGATGTTATCGATACAATGTTGTTTGCTTAACAGTGGAATAAATATGTAAAATATTGCTTTTTTGGGGTTGGTATTAAACATGTTCTCTGGGGCCTGAGGCTGCATGAATAAGGCACCTAGATGAACCAACGAAAGGTTTATGAGTCCTTATTGTAGAAGGATTTTGAAAAAAAATAAAGCGTCCCAAAGGATTCGCCGATATAAATCAAATGAATAATGATCAGTATCTAAAGCACTGTTTATTTTGACAGCAGAGGAGAAGCTGGATTTTGCTGAGCTGGGAACTTGGTAAAAGGCCCCTGTTTTCTTTGTGCACATGGGTGAGGGTCAGATGGGTTTGATGCGGCTTTTATTAATCCATCACGAACTGCCGCAGAGCTGAGAGGCAGAGGGAGAGCCAGAGACAGACAGGGACAGATCAGACTGAAGTCAGGAAAGACAAATCATTATACATGTTTAAATACATCTCCAATAATAATGCTAAAACTATTATAAGCGGGTGCCATGGGAGATATTACACATGTGGACTAATACATTTTATCTAAATATTTATCTAAACGATAATTTTGATTGTTCATTTGTCAGGGTCAACATACTTTAATTTTCTAAATGTCTTTTTACAGTACAGAACAGAAGGTTTAACCTTATGCATCAATTATACAAATCAAAACCAGATTTAAAACATTAACATGAAAAATAGAAAGGAAAGCATCACTGATCTTAGGTTATCAATTTTCAATTTATAATCAAATATTATTTTATCTGTTTCTAGTGTAATTGCTTACAATTGTATCCAGGGTCAGATGCTGTATTTCAGGTTTTCTTTGGACACGTCCCATATCAAATTAAACAGCAAAGACAATGAATGTACATTAGTCTCAGCCATTCTTAGCAGTAGAGCAAAGCTATGAGCACCTTCAAAATCGGTCCTTTTTAAAATAACGGTCATGTTTTAAGAAGGAGACAAGGGCGGAAAATATCTTGATGCTGAAATTGGGCTGCCAACAGTCTCCTGCCACTCAGGCACAGCCCTTGGTGTTTCTATGGTAACCAGACTCCCTTTGATTGAATGTGTGTGTGTGTGTGTGTGTGTATGTGTGTGTTTGTGTATAGCAGTAGAGCGTAAATCCAGCACTGCTGTGTTCTTTGTCCTGGCTTAATACTCAGTGATTCAACGTAGGTCCCATTTCAACACACAGAATGAAATTTATTCACATTTATTTACCCAAATGTCCTCATTTGCATAACAACGTATTAAACTGCTATTGCAGTTTGACCACAGAAATCATGCTACTGCAGGGTTTTCGGTGCTCACACACTTCAGTTTAAACTTTGCAGGACAGATCAGTAGCGGCCGAAAGACACCACCATTAAAGGGAATATGGGCACCATAAAATGAAAATTTTAGATTAGTGTTTGAATTATCCACTCTGAAATAATTAAGCATGTAAGAGATAGCATGTGATGTGTTGCTGGATCCTGTATAGCAGTTTTTCAGTCGGTGTCTGGCTGCATATTAATATGTATGGATGACCGTGTTTGGCTGCTTTGAATAGCCTGGCTCAGTTCAGCACTTCAGCAGCAGCTTAGCACAGGAGGGGAGGCCCAAACACCTTGGGCTGTTGTACTGCACCAGTGTAAGACCTAATGGCACAGTTAGATTAGGTCACCGCACCAAGAGCTACAATCTCAGTTCAAGGTTAGGTCTTGGGGGTTTAAGTGCTGTAATGTATTATACTGACAATTCTGGGCACATTTAATCTGTTTCATGTGCAGTTTTATGTACCCAATGATGTTCTGACTGACTTTGAATGAGATGATTTTTTAGTTTACATCAACTAATTCCAGTAATACCAGTGAGGGCATCCTAGGTATCCGGTCAAGGTGGATATGAGATGCAATGCTGCCACACTGACACAGCAGCAACCAGGATGTGTGACCAAAGTGGCTGCCACCTAATTACATGTCAGTGTAACTACATGTCTAACTACATGTCACAGCTACATAAAACTTGATGAAATGATGCTTCTGTGCTACATATCCGTCTTTTAAAACGCCTGACTGCAGGCTGTCGTGTAAAGTGGATGCATGTCATGGCCGCACCTCAGCACCTCATCCTTTCTGAGTCGCTGACCTCATTTGGCGTGCTGCACTATTGAATAAACATCGCCCTGTAGGGGTGCAACTTTGAGGATCTCTGCAGGAGAAAGCTTGAGAGCAGCCATCATTTAGTGGAGGGGGCCAAGTTTAAAAAAAAATACATTAATTGAGTTACTGAATTATTCATCTTTGTATTTTTTGGCGGAGCAGCGTCGTTCTTCCGCTTTAACGCTGCCGGATGGGATCAGCAGCTGTTGCCATGGCAACCCCCGAACCCCCACATCCCATTGGCAGGCCTTTGACACTCCCCGGGCTCTTTGAGTTATTCTCCTCCGGGTTTCAGAGCCACTTACCCAGAAGGCATTGCAGCACCTTTGGCAGCACGTGCTAACGAAAGGAAAAGGGCAGAGGACCAAAAAGACAGAAAGAACAACAACAAACAAAAACATGTAATTAATGCACGGTAATTAATACGTTGCTACCAGCCAATTACGGGGAGACGCATTGGCTTCTGCAGACCCCCAGCATTATATTCATTTAAAAGACAATCAATAAAATAAAAGGAAACCAGGGCGAGGACAGCTGCGGTAAATCCCTGGAGACAGTCCGCCGTCGCTCAGTGCTGTGAAACACTGCATCAGCGTTCTCATTAACAGCTCTGTTTGCTGCGTTTCTGCCTGCTGAGCTCCTCGCGGCCAAACACACGTTTGTTTGTATTCGCAGATGCTCAGAAAAGTGACCGATGTCTGGCATATAAAACCATCTTTCTGTAGATTTTGTACACTTTGTGTAGTGTGATGTGAAGTGAGAGACTGCAGGATTAGTTTTCTTTTAACGTTGATTAAATTGCTTTTAGTTGTCTTAGACTGGTCATTCTGGCTTCTCCGCTTTGTGGCCTATAATTTGTGGAGCATATTTTAGAAAGGATGTTACCTAACTTAGGTATTTTTTTGGTTTTGAATTTCAGATTGGATAGGTGATTATAGGAGATGAATAATGATATTGTTTTACATAATTGTATAATCTCTGTGTACCTACATAGCTATATAATTATGAAATGTATTTAATTGACATTTATGATCAATATGGCTAAATACTGCCAGTCGTAATACTGTGTTGACCTAGAAGGATCCAACAAATCATAAAGTAGATGGGGAGGGGCTCAGCCTGACTGCCCCCCTCTCCTGAGGCCCCTTCTTTACATAAATTAAATAATTTTTCAAATAGTGGAGGAGATTTTGCCCTGCATGAAGATCACAGCCTCAGAGGTGTCTGGCCTCCCCCCACGCGGCTCGCATGCCTTAATGAAGCGCTGTCACACGCAGGGACTCGCTGTCGTCCCAATGGGACGCTGGGACCACCTTCCCCCACAAAGGCCAGCTATATGGGAATCCTGTTCACATGAGCCATTTCTCATATGGATCCACTGATGGCTGAAGACACATAGAATATGTGATATACAATATTTATGTACTTTTTAATATCGTTGCTGTGTGTCTGTGAGCGCATACATGCATTCATAATTAAAAATATGGGGATGTTTTTTTCATCATCCCTCCCAAGACCGACTGTTGAGTCCTGCTGTCTGTCATCTTCAACTAATAACGCAGCAGCAACGATTTCTGGTGGCCGTCCTTGTAAAAGTGCATATCACGCATCATGTCTATTTTTAGGGTGTGGAAATCGCTCAGTTCCTAAAGGATCATATTATCATATGTAAATTGAAAGGTGCACAAAAAAAAAACATTCTATCAGTAATTCCCTTCCCCCTTTGGGGTTTGGCTTATCATTTCACTCTTGGGTAACTGAAGCAATCAATCAGTACGTGCTTTGTTTGAGATAGCCAATCAGCATGTGCTTTGTTTGAGATAACCAATCAAGAATGGCTCATTGGGACATTTTGATGAAAATAATTTAAAGTAAAAATCAGATTAATGAAAAGAGCAGGGAACAGATATGAAAGGAAGGATATGGCTTCATCCTTGAAGAGGATTTATCAAGCGCAGTAACAATGAAAGACATTTGAGGTTCTTTGCTCCTAAGGTTCTTTACCTAATATTGGCTACTACAGACCATACATTAGAACTTGCTCAAGCGAGAAACAGTGATGAAAGTGGAGATGAATCTGATTGGACAGACGACTGGGTTTCCAACATCAGCTAGTGCTCAGCCCCATGGCGTCTGGAATGGAGCAGGAATAATGCACTGTGAGAATTGGTAAAAAGTAGAGCACCTTGTTCTGACATCTGCTTAATGAATATGCTTCATCAAAAGCGAAATGAGTGGAGCAGGTGAAGCTGCAGTTCAGGGCAAAGCCACCACACCGCTTCACACGCCATTATCCTCCTTCTCTTTCCACCCTCATCTCTTAGGAGTTAGACTGAGCAAAGATGTCCAACTCGGTGGCTTCCTATGACCAGCTGGTGCTCCAGGTGGAGGCTCTCAGGAAGGAGAACACACATCTTCGCCGGGAGCTGGAGGACAACTCCAACCACCTATCCAAGCTTGAGAATGAGACTTCCGACATGAAGGTAAGAACAAGCAGAGTCTCCCAAGCCGCCACTATCATCGAGAAGTTTCTCTTTACCTCTAAATGTTCCATTTCCTGCTGGAATCAGAGCCCTGTGCTTTATTAATACGTTTGGTGTTGCAGTAAAATGTATGTGGCATTTTTGACAGCAATGGTGCTGTTGCGAGTTCATATTTATTGACCCGATATCCTGCCAGCTGACACGCGGCCACAGCAGATAAACTGCCCCACTGTTTTATATGGCATTCTGAGACTGAGACAAAGGTGACTTTCCATAGCAACACAGCTTGAATAAAAATACTGTGAGATGCTAATTCACCGTGACGACCGTCGCTGCCTTTGGCAGAGTAAAGCAGGCCTGCACACAAACCATGTCTTTGGGCCGCACTACAAAGTGCTTTTTACCGCTAATGAGCCCAGTGGGGAGGGAGAGATGCTAAGAAGGGGAAACCATTAGATGATGAAAGTCCATTAAATGTACGAGCATTTTCTTAACATCGATCTTTAGTCTGTTACGGCATGCTGCGTGCACAAAATTCAGTGTTATCAAATCATTCCCCTGCAGTCTGGCCCAGACTTACAAGGGAAAAGCCTCAGTTTCCAATTTCTGCCAGTAAGTTCTACCTTGTCAAATAATAGTAATGAGCCAAACTGAAAACAAAACAAAACAAAAAAAAATACAATAGAATAGAGAGCCAAGCTAACCTCAGGTGTGTAAAGCTGTTTACGTTTGAAATGATTTACAAAGGCTTGGCATTTTGTTTGCAAAGTTTACAAGCGTAGAAGGTATTTCATTTACATTTACTGTTGGCTAGTTATTTATTTAATATATGTGTTTCATTAGAAATAAATATGCATCACAAATAACTGAGGTCAAAGTTCAGGCATCCAAGCCAGGAGAGTTGCAATATAAAGCTACTTTTGCTGTAGTGATGAAAACAAATGAAATGATTTAAAAACATGCAAATGTGTCCTTGCTTAAATAAAGTCATTTTCAGTGTTGGATTGAATTGAGAGCAACTTAAAGGTGGACTTTATTCAGTCTTTTCTCACAGATATCCTATCAAATATAGCACTCTGAACACATTATTTTTGAATATTGTTAAATGATTTTAGAACATTTTTGCTATTCAGCAATTCAGGTTAATTTCCTACACAAAGTTGAAATAGTTTTAAAGCCAGTTTGAGGCATTTTTACAGTGGTAAATTCTGGTGAAAGTTTTAAATGTTTAAAAGATTTCCACAGCAAAAACTGCTAATTTAGAAAATTTCCCCCACATCATAAACTCCAAACTTTAAGTATAACCTTATTTGCAGCAATATTTTAGAATTCAATTAAAGTCATATACAGTGGTACCTCAGAACTAGAATTTAATCCATTCAGAACTCCGGATCGAATCCTAAAAAATTCGAGTTGTGATCGAGTTTTCCCCATAAGAAAGAATAGAAAACCAATTAATTGGTTCCCGGCCCCAAAAATTACACCTAAATGTGTTTTTTTTTAGCATTTAAACACAAAATGAACCGGATAAAACAAGAAGAGCATATACTGTACTAAACACATCTAAGTACATTTATCAAAACAAAGTAAGAAAATAAATGTATCCAAACAATGTGTCCTGCCTTGATCGTCCGCTCCTTCCGTGTGCCACGCTCCCTCGTTAACCCTGTGTGGAATCCCCGTTTGATCAGTTGTTTCTTGTTGTTTTCATTAGTCTGTATTTCATCCACGTTTCAGCTTGTTTCCCCAGTCCGGTCATTGTATTGTCCGTCTGCGTTTTGCCTGCCTTACCTGTAATTAAACCCCGTGTTCCCCGATACCCTGACGTCTGCGCCTTTGTCTCCGTTCCGTCCCCGCTCGGCAGGACAATATTATTATAATTAAACGTATTAATGGTTTATTATTTATATTAAAATAATGAATAAGAAATATTTATTTTTTTTCGAACTGGTTGGTTCGACTTTTAAGAAATTCGAGTTATAATGAGTTCGAGAACTGAGGTACCACTGTATTAACAGATAAATACTTTTAAGAACTCTCAGGTCTACAGGAAACACACACTTAATTAGTACAGTAGTCCCCCTGTATGTGTGATATGTTCCAAAACCTACTGATAGCCAAAACCACAGATAATAGTGAACCATCCACGGACCCCATATATAACATGATTTTCGTGTACATATATATGGTAAGGGTTCATTGATAAATTATGCACAGTTAGACATTGCCATAATTAAATACAGCAACAATAAAGTGCATTGTACATTATTATACAGTATTTTGCAGTACTATACTCTTTCTCTTGAATGAAAGGCATTCTGAGGTTTGAACCTAATTCTCAAGAGAAGATAGAACAATGAAAAAATATCACATATAAAGGAATGATGGAGCAATGAAATTTATGCCTTTAATACATTTTTATAACACTTCAATGACATGGCAATGAATGCAATGACTGAGAATGTTGGGGACAGACTGGATAAGAGTCCTGCGGAGAATGATGGATATGCGGACAAAGGGAGAAGAGACACGTACTGGGTGTGACTGGGCTTGCGGGTTTCACAATGTTGCAGTCTGCATTCTTTGGTGCGCAGTTTGAAACTTATGAACTGTTTTTTTCTGGAATTTTCCTATCTTTTCAGACCGCAGCAAACCATGGACAACTGAAAGCTTGGTTACTGAAACCAAGGATATAGGGGTCTCACTGTACTACCAAATAATTCACTACATTAGGTTATTGATACAGAAATTCCAGCTATCTTGTTAGTTACAGTAGTCAGGAGGGATCAGGACAGCATCATCGTATATTTTCTTTTTTAACATCTCTGACATGTGCCCTGCGATGGGCTGGCCCCCCATCCAGGGTTGTTCCCTGCCTCGTGCCCGTTGCTTCTGGGATAGGCTCCAGACCCCCCGCGACCCAGTAGGATAAGCGGGTTGGCCAATGGATGGATGGATGGAACATCTCTGACATGTGTTGTACATTTAACTATTAAAGCATTTCAGGCATAGGAAATTACACCAAGTCTTGAAGATATCTTAGTAAAACGCTGCTCTTCACCACAGGTTGCACAAGCAAGTAACAATGTGATTTGGTTGAAGCTGGAATTGATTGTTCAATTTTCATAATCTGACACCTTTACACAAAAACCCTGGAATGCCAGTGAGATCAGATATAATATTATGATAATATTCTCAGTTTCTGCTAACAAATAAACAAATAAAATCTGACAATTATTCATCATGTCCTCCAGTATCTATACCAAGTTGTCACTCCCATGGCATTTATGTATGTTGTGAAGGGGTCTGGTTATTATGTTACAGATATACGTTACAATGAAATGGAATTAAATTAGCATTTTAAATCGCAAAAATGAAAAAGGAGTAAATCTAAAATATTTCATTAATGTGTATTTGGCATTTCAGTGTCATGGCCAGATCGACAATTCTGTTTTTGCTGCTTAGTGACCATTGAATAATGCAAATTGTGTTTTTTGATTTTTTTTTTAACCAGTGTGGGTTGGGAGAATAGGATTTTAATATTTAATGTTTTTTTCTGCTGCATGTAGTTTTATTTCAGTTGAAAGACGGACAGTCCCCAGACTGTCCTTCTGCATATTACCTCTCAGTACCATTCGCTGCATGTTATACTTGCAGTGTTCTGTGGCACACAGTCACGGCTGGGTTCTTATTTTCAAGATCTGTCCATGTCCGTGAACAGGGGCCTCGTCTGGAGCCCATGCCGGATCTGGTTCTGAGAACATCGTTCTAACGTTACTTAAACCAAATTCAATGAAACCAGCAGAGCAAAACAAACCTAATCTGGATTCCTGGCAGAAACCGTTAAGATGTTTTACAGACTGCACTCATGCCCAGGGCAAAGATGTTATTTCTATCAGAATTAAACAGGGATATGGAAATGGAGATATGGAGTCCTGAGAATGTCGACAATGGATGTATCAATATTTTTCCTGTTTGTAGGAGGTACTGAAGCAGCTGCAGAATAAGCTGGAGCAGGAGGCTTGCACACTGACTTCATCAGGGAGAACTGATGTCCTGGAACAGCTAAAAGGTATGTTGTCCTTGGACAACCTGAGCACTTGTTCACACTATCATTTGCCGATTTTTTATCTTATGATTTCTATAACCGGTGAGGTTTTTGGGTGGTTTTTTTTTTTTTCTTTCAAAAAATGACACATTTTATCTGATACCCTTCTGAATTATTATAGTTTATCAGTCTTCCTACGTGCAGTATTATAATGGCCTTGCATTTTTTAGAGCTGCACATGGATTTGACCAACTACTATGAGCTGAAGTACCAGCCACACAACCTGCGAGTGCTTCCCGATAGCCTGGCTCCGCCGGCCCCCCAGATGGACGACAAACTCCCCCATCATCCTTCCGGCATGTTGAGAGCCAGTAGCCCCCCTTACATAGCCACCCGCCAAGGTCCCGTCATCTCGGGTGAAGGAACGGCCCCCCACCCTGGACCTCCGCACCTCCTCGAGCCGAGAGTGGGCCTACCCGGAGACGGCCGGGTCACCACTCAGCACCTGGAGGACCTCTGCAAGGAGAGGTGAGCGATTCAGAAAGTATTTGAGGCTTCACGGCCGTTTAGCCAAGCGGATTCGCGGAGATACGCCTTTGGCAATGGAGGTTTGCCCTGAGACATGTGCGGGTCTTTCAGGGATATGCTCCTGAACGAGATCGAGAAGGAAGAACGTGAGCGCCGCTGGTACTACTCCCAGCTGCAGGGACTGTCACAGAGGCTGGCTGAGCTTCCGCGCATCGACACTGTGAGTACAGCCGCGAGTCCCGTGCCCACGGACCACTCCACTTAAATCTGCCTCGGGGCGGAAGGTCTTGGAAACGGCTTTGACCGAAGCTAACAAAAATATAGCCGCCGCTGGCAAAATGACATCTTTGTTTCCAAACCATCACGTTGAGACTGTCTGTGGAATCACTAATGAATCCCGCACGCCTGTCTGACTGAACGAGCCGTCTTAAAGCGGGTTTGCTGGAGTGTTTGAAATATCTTAAAGGCTTCCCAACGGCTCCCCCCACAGTTCTCAATGCAAATGGACCTGATTCGTCAGCAGCTGGAGTTTGAAGCGCAGCAGCTGCGCTCCGTCATGGAGGAGCGTTTTGGGACATGCGATGAAATGGTGCAGAGAACCCAGGTGCGTGGAGCGGCCGCCAGCCCCTAGACTGGGCCATCTTTACCAAGATCTAAGGGGTGTCCCTAAGTAAGCAGGGGTTTAACAGACAGCCACATGCAAATTGTCCCTCTGCCACCATAGGTGGTCCATTCCATGAATCATAAAATTGAGATTTTCTTGGATATTCCCCAAAAGGACTCTTCAGTTGCTTTATTGACTGGAATTACTGAACCATGGATCCTGTTCTGAAGGATCAGCGAGCTCAGCTGTTTGTCCTCTCTTAATGCAGATCCGAGTGGCACGCCTGGAACAGCTGGAAAGGGAGCTGCAGGAGGTGAAGGAGGCCCAGGGCTCCCAGGAGAAAAGCCTCCCGGTGGAGAACCAGGTGAGGACTGGGTGCTGGGGGAAGATGCTGGTGCCCAAAGATGATGGGGCGGAGTTTTATGGAACCATCTGATATGGGAATCGCCATCTCACATCTGACATGGTTTTTGTTTTGCTTTAGGCCTCCATTTTGACAGCTGCCACAAAGTCTGTGTTTTTGCCGCTTCTTCAGCCCTGGACTGACTCCTTCCCCCCTTTCTCTCCTCCTCGCTTCTTGGCAGCCCTGAATGTTTCATGAATGCTCTGAAATATCGAGGCGAGGGAGGTTCTGGGGGTAAATAATGTAACATCTGGCACAGGGCTGTTTTTTAAACTCATGTCTTGCTTCATCTTACAAAATATATTCTCGTTTACTCAAGCTAAATGCATATTAACTGTCCTGCAATATAAACTTCAGCTGTCAGAACCGTTATCTGAACAAGTTTATTTTATATATAATATATAATTATTATATATTATATATTTTATTATTATTATTAAATTATTAGATTTTTAAGGTACAGTATAAATATATAAATACATTTTGGGAAGACTGTCTGGTCTGCAAACACTTTTTTATGATGTGGTGAATGCAATGGTGAATTGACCATTCCTGGCTTGTAGGATTCTAGTTAGGATGGATTATGAAAACACAGTCAGCAATGCAGATATAATGCAGAAAGGGAGCATTAGGCTTGAGAATAACAGGGTGCAGGAGTTAAACTGGGTCATCTGACTGCACTTTGTTTCCTGATGCTGGGGGCCTCCGTGCCGGCAGATGGGTATAAAAGCGGCGGCAGGCCAACGGCGTGCTCCGTCCCAGTCGCGCTGCGTGTTGCTATGCAGAAAAGGGGGCGGCACCTGGGCGCTGCTTGGCTATGATTGGCTTTCGCAGCCGTGGGTCTGAGAACCAGCACCGTCTGTGTGCCAGGGCTCCGCATGAGGAGAACAGAAATCTGCTTAACGTGTGACTGATGTACAGGAGAAGAGGAAGTAAAAGAAAGAAATGTTAGCATATGTTAGCATAACATTAATGCTAAAGGGATTTTTTTTCAGTTCTGTACTGTCAGTTCCCAGACTGTTGCTCATATTGCAGATATTAGAGATCATTTCCTTTGTGCTGTACGTTTAATGAAAAATAGCATTTCCATAGGCATTTTTCATTGCACATGTTTCCAGGGAAACAGAACATATCCAAATCTTACCCGCAGATCTCACTTGCCCTGGAACGTAGAGATGCTGCGTGTTTTAACATTGTGCTTTTGTCTGGTGGGGTGTATGGCAGGCTTCAGCTCTCAGCTACAGACCCTGGGGTTGCCATGGAGACGGATGGGTTGGGAGTTAAGCTCGTGCGTGATTCCCTTAGGTACAGATTGGTGTGTGTCTTTCTGAGTGTGGCAGCGCATCTTTTTCAAAGTGAGAACGTTTACGATACGGTATGAGCCATCCATGCTCCTCCATGCCGTGTTCATCGATCTTGCCATACAGACGTTATTGCAAGTGGTTTATTGACACCGAGGACGGTCTCCTAAGGGCTCGAAAACCTTCAGCGTTCTGATTAACAGCAGCCTTTCATTTTAGAGAATTACGGTTCCTCAGCTACAGTAATGTTTAAGCGAAGCAAGACTAGCTACTGGCAAACAAAGTAATTTGAAATTATAGCATTGCCTCAGAAGACAATGAAAACAAATCAGGAAAAACTGAGAAAAAAGTTCTGTTTCCACGAATAAAGGTGGGTTTTCCAGAATCTTTAAAGACATGCTGAAAAATCCCTTTTTCGCAGGCTACTGCCGGGGAGAAGACAGCTGTCCCGGGTGAATCTGAAAATATATCAAACACCTCTGGTTTGGACGTCCCTGGAGAAACAGGAAGCAAAGTAAGATTATGACTGCCTCCAGTACCAGCCTGCGAACGTCAGCGCTAATGCTAACAGAATGTGAACCTGCCTCTCATGTCCTCCCCTCATTGGTATTCATTGTTTCCACCCGCTAGGTGGAGATGGTGTTCTGGCTGCTCTCTATGCTAGCTACCAGGGACAGGGAGGAGATGTCTCGGACATTGCTGGCCATGTCCAGCTCTCAGGACAGCTGCATGGCCATGCGCAAGTCAGGTTGCGTCCCCTTACTGGTGCAGATCCTGCACGACGGGCTAGGGTGCACCGGGGAGGTGCCAGGCAGCGGGGGGTGCAGCCGGGAGGCCCGGTCCCGTGCGAGTGCCGCCCTGCACAACATCGTGTACTCGCAGCCGGACGAGGGACAGGCACGCCGCGAGATGAGGGTGCTGCACGTGCTTGAGCAGATCCGCTCATACTGCGAGAGCGGCTGGGATTGGATCGAGACCCATGTCACGACTCCATCCCCTGGAGGCACCAAGAATGGAGGTAAACCAGCATTTTACGAACAAAGGAATCCGACCAACCCAAAAACCACACAGACACAGAACATAGAGTCCTCCATATTATTTCCCAGAAATCCCAGAAGCAGTGGAGCCCCAGATCTGCCAAGCCATGTGTGCCATCATGAAGCTGTCCTTTGAGGAAGAGTACCGGCGGGCCATGAATGAACTCGGTGAGCGTCGATACAGCTGTTCTCTGTCCCTTATTGTATAGTCCTTACAGCCTCATCCAGCTGTTCTCTGTCCCTTATTGTATAGTCCTTACAGCCACATCCAGCTATTCTCTGTCCCTTATTGTATAGTCCTTATAGCCACATCTGGCTGTTCTCTGACCCTCATTGAATTGTCCTTACAGCCACAGCCAACAGTTCTTTCATCTGCAACCCAACACACACCTATATTATATCTGATTCTACACAAATCATGTATTAATCCAGTTGTTTCCTGACTGTGGCTTGAATTCATGTCTGATGTCTTATTGCACTAGAAGACACATTTAAAAACCATCACTGCTGTGTTAACTCACCAGTCAGGTGATTCATTTTATTTACGATACATGTCTCAGAGGGTGAAGGGGCCACTAAAGGTGTCACTGCATGCTCTGTGTCTGATAGGGGGCCTGCAGGCTGTAGCTGAGCTGCTGCAACTGGACCAGGAGCTGTACGGCACGCAGAACGACCCACTGAACCTGGCGCTTCGGCGCTACGCCGGTATGGCGCTAACCAACCTCACCTTTGGAGATGTGGTTAACAAGGTATGAGTACGAGTTGCCAACTTTGGTCAGCTGACTGGCGTGAAATTTCGATTCAAGTCTGCACACACATTTACATGTATGTAAGAGTTTTATTACGTTGTGAATAGCCTGTAGTGTTTGCAAACTACCTCAACACTTTTGATGTAGCTAATTTTGGGTTTATAATGGAATAATATAGATTTGCCGTAAGATTTCTTGCGCGAGTGTGAGAGTCTGAAAGCGTGAGTGTCACGCCAGATGTGTGAAGACTGACAACCCTGGTATGAGTGGATGATCCAGTAGAGGACAGGTTCACTCTGGGGCCTTCAGATACCCTGGGTTACTTTTTATAGGAACAGTGTCCTGCATATGACCAACACAGTAATTAGTAATTAATAGTATTTAAGAGTAATTACCCATAATTTGATCGTGTCCCCTCTGAGGGGCTGGAGGGTCCAAGGTCCCCCCACCCCACCCTTTTGCCCCCTGCTGCCTGGGATAGGGCTCTGGGCTCACAGAGACTCAGTACTGGATAAGCAGTGGGAAAACTGATGGATGGATGGATGATTGACAGCAGTTGTCAGCTGAAGTCTGTTTATTTCATCATTACTTTAGGCCACGCTTTGCACAAAGAAAAGCTGTCTGCAGGCAATTGTAGCACAGCTCGCATCTGACAGTGAAGAGCTGCATCAGGTACAGCAACGTTCTTTATGTGTTTTTATGTGTTTACTGTTTAAATGCTCTTATCAGTGTTGTAGTACAGTATCAGTGTACTTCCAGCAGCAGCAGTATCTTGGTCACAATTTCAGCTGGACTGAAACACAGGAATGCCTTTGTGTGTTACACAAAACATCTAATGTATCATTTAGCATTTTTAACATGCAGCACTGTGTGGTATTATGAAGACAGTAAGAATGTATTCATATTTACAAACACATCATCAAGGAATGAAGCAAAAATGAAGAAATGTCTGTAGTTCTGATGGCTCAGAATAAAAGTGTTCATCCTGCTTTCCACTTTGGCTCTCAGGTAGTAGCCAGCATTCTGAGGAACCTTTCCTGGAGAGCTGATATCAACAGCAAGAGGGCGCTAAGGGACGTGGGCAGCGTCTCCGCGCTCATTCAGTGTGCACTTCAGGCAACAAAGGTAACGTTGAGCTTGGAGGAGAATTAGCTTGATCCTCCCGCCATTCTTCATCATCGTTCACTCATGAGCACATTAAGGAAGTCAGTTAGCACCTTACACACAAGAAGAAACAAGTACATAAAAAAACAGCCCTGATCTGGAAAATACTGCAATCAGAATTGAACTTGACGGTACCAATGAATCAATCCTCAACACATTTCTTATGAATTGCAGTCTGATGGAACTTTGCTTTAAGCCACTAATGCTCTGGGAATATTTTCTTACATTTTAGGAGTCCACTCTTAAGAGTGTTCTGAGCGCCTTGTGGAACTTGTCAGCACACAGCAGTGAGAACAAAGTGGCCATCTGCTCTGTGTCTGGGGCCCTTGGCTTCCTGGTAAGCACACTCACCTACAGGTGCCAGACCAACTCGCTGGCCATCATCGAGAGCGGTGGCGGCATCTTGCGGAACATTTCAAGTTTGGTTGCCACACGTGAGGATTACAGGTTGGTTTCCATTTCTGATGCAACTATAATTTTAACACAATATATAGCCAAAAGTATGCGGACTCCCCCATTAATTAGAGGAATCGCCCAATTATGTCACACATTCTGCTGACAAAGGTGTAGAGCCTATTGTAGAAACAAATGATGGACCAAATTCATATTAATTCATAATGGGATGCTGGACAAACCGGTGTCCATATACTTTTGACCATAGTGTAGTTGAATTCGCAAAAATCATAGGCATAATTATTGTGAGCTTTAAGAAAACACAGTGTTTCATTTTATGCAGTGACTATAAAGAACTCACTTCTCCTCTTCAGATGCCCCCTCCCCTTTTTACTGTGTCCCTCCTCTGAAAATAATCTGGAGCCTCCACTGATCAAATATACTTGATATGGGGTTGCATTAATAAGGAGCTCTGCATTGATTTTTGTGGCAAAAATGCTATTGTAAAGAAAGAATCCTTTCCAATGCTCATTTAATTCTGCAGAGTGGAACCTTGGTTCTCAAATGTCTCACATCTTGTAAAAGTTGGTTCTTAACCATATTGTTTGGTAAAAAAATGTCTCGGTTGTTCAGTGTATTTTTGGTTCTCAACCAACCAACCCTTTCATGCTAAAACCTGTCAGACAAAGCATGCATCTTATGCATAAACAAAGGAGAGAATGCATGCGTAAGAGTCAGACTGCCACTAACGATCGCAAAGTGAAAATCTCCACTGAATTGTGCTGTGATTATTCTCGTTCTTTTTTGCTTTTTTTGCTCTTTTGTTTTTAAATAAGTAACCATGGGTCCTAAGAAGGTTATTGATTGCAACAATCCCAAAAGGAATGTTGTGAGAACCATAATAGAGCTTAAAAGGGAAATAATTGCAAAGTATGATAGAGGTGTTTGCCTGTCTGATCTCGCCACAGAGTATGCAATGGAAAAATCATTTTTTCATTTATTTCAGGTTTTAATGGGTTTTAAAATTTTTATTTATGGTTTTAGCATTAGGTATGTATTAGGTTTAAATTGGCAATCATTTGGGGTCTGGAATGAATTAATGCAATTAACATTATTTCTTATGGGAAAAATTGATTCGGTTTTTGACCCAGTTCTCAAACAGCCTTCAGGAATGGATTCAGTTGGAGAACCGAGGTTCCACTGTATAATGTTACAATGTTACCTGCTCTTTATATATAACTCTAATAGTATTCACTCAAAATCCATATAGCCTAGTTGAAATAGCTTTAAATAGGAACTGATATTGCCACACCCTAGTGGGGTTTCAAGCTGCACAGAGTGCAGTTGATTGACAGGTCTTTCAATTTTTTCTTACACAGGCAAATCCTCAGGGACCACAACTGCTTACAGACGCTCCTGCAGCACTTGCGTTCCCACAGCCTGACCATCGTCAGCAATGCCTGTGGAACCCTATGGAACCTTTCAGCACGCAGCCCCAAAGACCAGGAGCTGCTCTGGGACTTGGGAGCCGTTAGCATGCTGCGTAACCTCATCCACTCCAAGCACAAGATGATAGCCATGGGCAGCGCTGCAGCACTCCGCAACCTCCTAACCAACCGGCCCCTTAAATACAAGGACGCCGCTGTTGTGTCTCCAGGGTCCTGCATGCCCTCTCTCTACATGAGGAAGCAGAAGGCCTTGGAGGCTGAGCTGGATGCTAAACATCTGGCAGAGACCTTTGATTCGATTGAAAAGCAAACTGCTAAGCATGCATGCATCAATAAGCCTCTAAGACACATCGAAAGTCTGGCAAAAGATTATGCCTCTGATTCAGGCTGCTTTGATGATGACGAGGCCCCGAATGTCTCCAGTAGCTTGGACACAGGTAATTACTCAATGCTCCCCATGTTTCTAAACAATACAAACTTCCTTCAGGGTCAGACTCGGAAGAAAGACTGTGACCCTCAGCATGACATGGTGCCAGAGACGGACAATAACAAGAGGGTCTTGTCTCATGAAAATGAGGGGTCTGCTGCGGCAGAGACCTTGGCCAGAAAGATCACCAGCACAGTGGCGAAGATTGACAAGCTGGTGGATGACATCACCATGCACACGTCCTCCGAGGACAGCTTCAGTCTGAGTTCGGAAGACCATTTTGTAGACTGGCAGTATGGATCAGATGAGGTTAATGAAGCTCGGGCTAAGTCTTGCTCACCCTGCCGCCTCTCTGACACCAGCAGTTTTACACACAGAGAACGTCTAAGCAGAGCCCATGCTCTTATACGCCTTAAAACTGCTTACACGAGCTTATCTACGGACAGCCTTAACAGCGGCAGCACCAGCGATAGTTGTGGCGGCAAGGATCAGATACGACCCTCCGTAAGATCAGCAATGGTTCAGAGGCGCCCTAATAAACTGGAACTTAAGACTGCCCATCAAGGCTATCTCAACAACAAGAGTCACCTTGTGAATAATGAAGAAAGTCACAAAGAGGTACCAGAAAGAGATACAGGAAACAGCAGAGAGAATCGGGTTCAAGAATTAAGTAGCACAGATACAGAGAAAGATCAGGAGCCGCCCCCTCCAACACCAGCTACCACAAAACTCACATCTGCACCTAACGTATCCACCATCAAACTGTCTCCATCCTACCAGCACGTTCCGTTAATACAGAGTGTTGCCAAGTTCGGCGTTGCCAAATCCGGCATCAGTGTTCAGGCAGCCCAGGCGATGAGAAGGCAGGCCTGGGTCCCGGCAGCCATGACAGGTGGCAGTATTACCAAGTTTTCTCCCATGAATACACCACGGAGTCCAACTGTAGGCCAGATGGAAACTCTGCAGAGGTATTCAGTAGAAAACACACCAATCTGCTTCTCACGATGTAGTTCTTTGTCCTCTTTGTCTTCTGGTGATGGTGCTCTAGATGGTCAGAGTCAAAGCGAAAATGAACTGGACAGTGACTCATCTCTTGAAATTATTGAAGTAGAGGATTCTAACCTGGAAAGAGGAGAGGACGAGGATGAACTGTTGGAGGATCTCAGTGATAGCCAGCTCTTGATCACAGATCCAAAAACATTTGGAAGCAGCAGTAGTCCCACCTCTGAGCCCATTGACATTCCCAGCTCCACTAAACAGGATAAGTTGTTCCCCAGAGGAGTTTCACCTGGCATGCATGAAGACAGGACCCCATCCACCTCTTCAGAGAACTACATCCATGAGACTCCACTTGTTATGAGCCGCTGTAGCTCTGTAAGCTCCCTTGGCAGCTTCGAGTCACCCTCCATAGCTAGCTCCATACAGAGTGACCCCTGCAGTGAGATGATCAGTGGAACCATTAGTCCAAGCGACCTCCCTGACAGCCCAGGACAGACTATGCCTCCAAGCCGTAGTAAGACACCCTGCTGCACTGACTCTAATTTGCAGGAAACACAGATTGGAGGTGGAGGTGGACAGTGGGAAAGCAACATGTGTAAGCTTGTGGAAATCGCTGATTTCAAGGAGCGGTTTAACCTGCCTCCCGACTTGGACACCATGATTTACTTTACAGTGGAAAAACCAACGGAGAATTTTTCTTGTGCCTCTAGTTTGAGCGCCTTGCCCCTTCACGAGCATTACATTCAGAAGGACGTTGAACTCAAGCTTATGCCTTTACTCCATCAGAAGGATAATAATCCCACGTTCACTGTGACACATGCAGAGCGAGATGAGTTGGGAGAAAAGCACTCGTCATTTGTGGATCAAACAGAGAGATACAGTGAAGGTAACTCAGATGATGACATTGAAATTCTTAAGGAGTGCATCAACTCAGCAATGCCATCTAAATTTAAAGTCAGAACCTCACTCATGTCTACACTTTCTACACAAGTTCTTAATTCTCAAGCTCGAAAGTCAGTGCAGTTCCCTGTTTATATGGTACTACCCAATCATAACAATCAAAAGTGTACACCAGCAAAGATGGGAATGCCACAAAAGGATGTATATCATGATGATTCCTCCTTTACTGACTCAGCAGAAGGAACCCCAGTAAACTTCTCAAGCACTACATCCTTAAGTGACGAAACACTCCAGTACCCAGTGAAAGACAAAAGCTCCAAAGACTGGCGGCCTAGAACCATGGATAAACAGGAAGTCATAGACTTGGAAGCAAAGAGAATTGAAGAACTCAGAGCGTTTTCACGCTTCCAGAAGCCCACTAAAATAACTCAGTCACAAGGTGTACCTGGAAATCAGATGAACAGAGCCTTTAAACAAGGTATACCAACACAAAAAATGCAGATGAATAATAGAGAGATGGATGCTAAAATGTCTCAACAAAGAAGTAGAGATTCATCCCCCCAATACCTAAGTTATAAGCAGGAACAGAATAAGTCATGGAATATGGCACATTTAGAATCAACCAAAATGAAACAAAACATAGGTGGTGGCCAGAATCAGAACATGCTGTACAAAGATCTCACCCATGGTATGGCAGCACGCCAGTCAATGAGTCACCCCACCCCTGCAGGAGAAGCCATCTACAGCTTCTGTGATAATTTGAACACAAAACAGAAGGACAAGAACAGTATCGGGAGGAAGCAAATGAAAGAGTGCAACAGGAATCTGACCCACGGTGGATCTGTTGCTGATCGAATGAAGCACAAAGGTGTTAGGATTAAGCACAACTTAATTGCTGATGAGACTCCGCCATGTTATTCTCTCAGTTCATCGCTTAGCTCGTTAAGCGATGTAGACCTCGAGGAGTACAATGGAAAAATGCAGCAGGTGTGGGTCAAAAGCCGGCATCACATCACCTCCAACCTGGCTTGTGACACATCAAAGAATAACTGTAGTCAGTATGAGGAGAACGGCTCAACCAGTTCAGGGAGTCTGAATTCTGAGGATGACCTTCTGCAAAAATGCATCACCTCTGCTATGCCTAAGCAAAGGAGAAAACAGTCTGCAAGGAAAAAGAAAAGTGAAAGGAAGCAAAAACTTAAATCAAGGGATGGATGGGCCTCAGAAAAGGACTTGGACAGTGATGAGAGAGCCTCTGATAAAGACTCAGATCTCAATAGTGTTGAGTGGAGGGCAATACAAGAAGGAGCGAACTCGGTTGTTACAAGACTGCAAGCAGCCTCAAAGTCACAAGAGCCTTTATCCGAATCTGAATCCGTGCTTTCATTCATGTCTGGTGTTTCAACGGGGTCCAGTCTTCAAACTAAAGCAGGAAAGAATGAAAAAAGGAAGACCACTAAAGATCATGACAACAAAGGGCGAAAAATATCGGAGGGTAGAAACACAAGGACACAGCTTGATTTTGCTGTACGCAAGCCAGTTCCAAATTTGCCTGTGGTATTTAGAGGCAGAACAGTGATCTACATGCCCAAGAAAGAGACAACCCTCTCACAAAGACCACCAACAAAGAAAACATCGTCAAAGGCTGAAACACAAGTGAAAAATCCAAACCTGGCTCAGCAGAGGTCGAGGAGCCTGCACAGACTAGGGAGACCAAATGACTCAAATGAACTGCTTCTGCCAAGAAGAAGCTCAACTCCACCAGCCAGGATACCAAAGAGTACATCATCAGGATCATCTCAAAGCTCTACACCATCAAGGCAGCCTCAGAAAAAACTTGTATCCCCCACACAAACTAACAAACCTGCTTTAAAGAAAGACGTAAAGCCAGCAAATATGCAGCCAGACATAAGAGGGAACTGTAATACACCTACAAGTCAAAAGCCAATAAACACAAAGTTGCCAGTTCAGAAAAAAACTCAGAAGTCACCAGTAAGAATTCCCTTCATGCAGAATCCATCAAGGCAGCCCATGGCTTCAAGAACTATATCACCTTTGGTCACTAACCAGTCCTCTGCTTTCAACAGACAAAACTCCCAAGTGCCAGTCAAAAGAACCCTACCAGCCAGTCGCCTAGAGTTAGTACGCATGACTTCAATCCATTCAAATAGCGGGGAATCTGACAGAAATGGCTTTCTGAGACAGCTGACTTTCATCAAAGAATCATCCAATGTGTTGAGACATGAGGTTCCGTCTTCACGCTCTGTGCCTACTTCCCAGTGTGCATCACCAAGAAGAGCACGACCTGGTGCACCAGCAGTGTTCTTGTGTTCCTCACGTTGCCAAGAGCTAAAGCCTTCCTCACTTAACCAGAGACAAATGCAAGGGAGGCCAGACAGATCCACCCAAGGAGAAGGGCAGACTATAAATCTCTCCAGGGCAAGCTCCAGTGAGCGAGACCTCTCTGTAAAACGTCCTGCCAGAAGAACCAGCTCCGAGAGCCCCTGTAGGGTACCTCAGAGGACTACCTCAGGGACTTGGAATAGGAATCAAGAAAGCTTCAAGAGGCACTCTTCATCACCAAGCATAAATATTCTTAACCGGGTCACCAGTCAGTCCTCTGTTCGTTCTTCATCTTCTGATTCAAGCGGGAGAGCAAAGAGTGAACATAATGTAAACCATCAGCAGCCAGGAACACGTGCCAATGGCAGAGTCACCTGGAGGAGGATTCGGGATGAGGACGTGCCTCACATATTGAGGAGCACTCTGCCATCCTCCGCACTTCCCCTGATACCCTCTCCAGATGGACATAAGAAAACAGCATCAATAGTGCCAGGAAAACTGCCCACCATTTCATCGCCATCACGCAAAACAAGCGACGCCATAGTTCAGACTGAAGATTTCCCAACCAAAAAGACCAGTACCTCGTCAACCCCAGAGAAGGTACCGGTAATCCCAGAGGAAGCCGAAAAGTTGGTTCCGATTAAAAAGTTAAGTAAGGCCTCCGAGGCCAATATCCACTTGCAAGATGAGGGTTCAGATGGCACTGCAGCGAGGATTATGAAGAGCCAGTGCACCACCTCCACCTCTCTGTCAACTGCTGGGCACAGCGGGGGTGTGGCCCCCTTCCGTCACAGCTCCCCAAGCAAGGCTGCAAGAGTAACCCCTTTCAACTACGTACCCAGCCCTATGACCAGCAGTCTGCAAGACACACCAGGGCAAGCCCCAGTGCTTAATGAGAAGCCAGGAGATAAACTTGAGGCTCAGTAGAAAATGATTCTATAAATTGACATCTGTAGATTCTTTCTGTGCTCCTAAGATTTAAGCACTCAGGTGTTCTTGTATGAGCAAAGGATTTAAATTATTTTACCTCTGGAATGTAATCTTTCCGAATTCCCATTGCATCAGGAGTACTTTATTATGTAAAAAACCTTTAGTCGCCAGAAACAACTAATATAGACTAATAACCTAATTCTTTCACATTGTATTTATGCATTGAATTACAAAATCAAGGGCGAACTTCTTGAGAAATCAAATGAAATATCCTTTGAATTAGTTGCAGGCCCTTTTTTTTACTTTTTGTATTTGTATATAAACAATTGCCTGCTGCCTGTTCAGCTTATATTCAGCTTGTTGTCATCACTGGTGGGAGAAAGCTGAACAAATCAATAGCCACCAATATGCAAGCCATTGAGTCAGAGCGCAACAGATCTGTCTACAGTATGAGTAAAAATGACTAATATTGAGTGTGTGAAAAACAGAGACTGTTAAACTATGAGAAAAGGCCCAAATTATCCATTAGGGTCAGATGTCATTGGTACTCATGATCTTGTGACAAATCACTCTGCTTTTCAGTAGACAAACTAAGACACTGTATTGACAAGCCTCACTTTTAAACCAGCCACAGAAATTACATCCATAAACAATTAATCACCAGATAGCTGTAGAATTGGACTTCAGTGTGATCCTTGACTTTATGAGTATTTATCCTGTTAACCTCAACAAAGTGCTCTACAAATATTAGTAAAACTATTTCACTTTCAGTTTTTTGACTGCATGCTAAACTTCCACTATTTTTTGTCCCCTTCAGTTTTATTGATCCGGAATAAATTTTCTCATTCTTGTAAATCTTGAAAATGGAGAAAAAAGTAGAATTGTATCTCTGTTATCTGTCAAATCAAAGAACACATTATTTGACCCTATATATACAATAGGCGTAAGGATTCTATTTAAACCAAGTGGATGGCTGTAAATACTTCTGCTTGTTGTACAGTATGTTCACTATTATTGTGTTGTTGAATTGGAATATGAAAGTGAAAGACTCTGACTACCGTGAGACTGCAGGAACAGTGGGTGCAAATGGCAGAATCTAGTGAATCTGTTATTTGTTCGGACTGCTTTGTATTAATTTGGGAAAGCTTTTGATGCAAATGGTTGACATGTTTTTCAGAAAATGTGTGTATAGGATGGGTGAATTTGAGATTTGCGGCAGTGTTCTAAGGCTCCCATTGTTTTGCTATTGTACCCCACAAGACTACACAGCGCTCTTTCTTTCCCATAAGTGTTTTTGTATTAAAATCTGCATTCTGTTAATAACTGTATTTTACAAAGGAAACTCAACAGGCTATGCAGAGATGACTATACGTACTGTTCCTGTCCTATACAGCGTCAATCGAATTTATAACTAAACATGGGGAAAGATATAGAAGTAGAAAATACCGACTTGGAAGCAATGAGGAAGATGGAGTAAAATAATTTGTTGCCAGATGTTTAAAATGATTTGAAATTACATCAGTTTCCTTGTTGTATTACCATACTCATACCAAGATGAAAATAGGAATAGTGGAAAGATTGTTCGCAACAGCTAATGTATTCTGTACGGAAGTTGTATCCACAATAAAAGTTTTAATTAAACAATGAAGTTGTGTTATTTACATAATCAAGGAGGCTGCATTTCCTTTGTAAAGACAGTGGCACTTATTAATTCCAACAAAAAGCAGCTTGTGTAAAGCAGTTGTGTCGTTTTACTCTTTTTCATATGCATGTCTTTGCCACATTATACAGATGTATGGATGGTACTATCATTCTTCAGACGACTCCACATGTGGACACAGATTAGTATTAAAACTACTCTATGAGTGGATTTAAGTTCAATGAAGAACTCTCAAAACGTTTTAGTGAATTTCCTGTAAAAAAGCATATCCGATGTGAATTAAAAAGAATAAAAATTTCATTAACCTAATTCTAACCTATACTACAAGCCAAATCTACACTTTTAAAAATATTTTATTTACAGCTGGAGAGCAATGTGCACTTACAGATAGTTAGGTACACTTTCTGTTCAGGTTTTATGGAGTAAAAAGTATGTAAAGTTCAAGTAATCAATAATTATTATTAATAATAATAATAATAATAATTGATACTTTATTGATCCCCGTGGGGAAATTGTGTTAATCACACAGAACAAGAATTGCGCCTCATCTTACCTACTGGGCCTGAAACAAAGCAGCTGGAAGGAAATAACTGAAGCTGTGCTGACTTCCCAGAATGAATGACAGCCTTCATTAAAACATCACTCAAACGCCCCTTCCTGACACCTTCACAGTGGAGAAACCTCCAGCACCACTCCTTCCCATCCCAGCGACATTTCAATGTATTTGTGGAGTGGAAAGTAGATTCCCTCACTTCAGTGTACAAACAGGAGCAGCCAATGTTGTTTCACAATGATAACATGAAGATAATTTGAACTCACTACCATTTCTGTGCATGGTACAAAACGTGACACAAATGACACTGACTGCTGTCCTGTCTCTTCAGGGACACTATGTACTGGCCACTAAGGTATTGCCAAACCCCTCCACTGTGCTCCACACACAAGAGTGCAACGTAATACCCTAATCAACAGGCTTACATTCAGTGCACTGGTGTATAACAGTAACAATGTGTCAGCATACTAAAACTACTCACTGCCTCTACCTGGTTGTCATATGGAAAATTATCACGTAGCTAAAGGAAATCTTCAGTAATCTGACAGTACAAAAACCAATTAATAACAAGCATTTGCCTTTTTACCAGGTGGGGAAAACAGCTTGGTTTTTCCATAGTTTTAATTAAGCTGAACACTGAAAACTGATACTATATTATACTACAAAACTGTTGCAATACCGATAATCTTGATGTTTCCCAAGAAAAGGGGTTATGAAATACAGACTCTCTAAATATTACACCATGTACATTACCATTACAATGGTTCTTCAGAAAAAAAAATATTTTGCAATGTTTTAGAAAACATTGTGGCTTTGACTGCTATGACAAAGTCCCAAAAACTGAACACTCCCAAAGTGAGGGTGAGGGCAGGCAACATCATAGCGCTTGCCCCTTGATCTCGGCCATGCAGCGCTCCAGGTGCTCCCCCGCGGCCCTCAGCTCCTCCCTCTTCGAGGCGAGGTCGCTCCTTGCCTGCTGGAGTCGCTCATTCAGATCCAGGTACTGTCGGCTCTGGTGGTATCGGCTGTCTACCAAACCGTCTGTCAATCCAGCCTTGGCATCTGCCAATGAAATCCACCAAAATGTGGTATTAAATCAGATCTTAAATTATATTAAATACTTGATGTAAAAGTAGTTCTCATTTAATACATATCTATAGACATCTATATTTGCATTATCTATAGATGTTTAATATATCATACAATATAATGTTTAATATAATTATATAATTAACGAAATATATTTAAAAAACGGGACATTCGACCCTAAAAAGTGCTCCTCGATCACAACATGAATTCAGTTACGCCATTCAAGTACTGTGTAAAATTCACATTCGTTACAAAAACTACTATTCCCAGGCCGAAGCATCCCCGCACCCTGGAGCCCATCCTGCAGAATGCCGAACGCGGGGTCGCTGGCGGACGCTCGGTTGACGTCTTCCACGATCTGCTCCACGGATGGTGGGTCAGGTCGGTTCGGCAGGATTACTCTCTTCTTGCTTTTTGACCCCATACTTATTTTCACGGCCTGCAAGTGACACCAGCTGAAATTAATGACTGATGAAAAGGCACAGGCGAGTCAGCTACTGCTAGTTTGATAGACTTTTATGCGAGCATATATTCCCACCTATGAACATCATTACATGACAAGCCAGAAAACCCCACATGCCACTACTATACTGTGATTTAAAAAGCAAACTGATGACTAAGAAAGAAAAATGTTGCATTTGTAACTAAGAATACGACTCCATGGAGTCTTATATAACCAGCTAGAAAGCGAGTAAAAATCAATGCATTTAAACCATGGGTCTCCAACTACGGTCCTGGAGGGCTACTATCCAGTAGGTTTTCTATCCTACCTGGCTTCTGATGAGCCACACCTACTCCTGGTATTTACCTGAGAACTGGTGTGGCTCATCAGAAGCCAGGTAGGATTGAAAACCGACTGGATAGTAGCTCTCCAGGACCGGAGTTGGAGACCCCTGATTTAAACAGTTCTAAGAACAACAAACGGGGTAAATACCCTTTTTTCTTTGCCATGAAGCTCTATTTAAACTGAAACATGACGTTGACTCGCCCGGAATTGGTCAGAGCTCATCACGTGATCACGGCAGTGGCACCGTATTTTATCTCGATCTCAATCTTGCATTAAATGTTTTGAGATTCAAGCTATGTGGTTCTTTTCTACAAGGAGCCGCCGTCCATTTACACAGGGACAAATATTTGCTCTGCATTAGGTACTGGGGCAGACATTCACGCATGCGTAGAGCAGACAAATGGCTACTACGACTTCCGGGCCAGAAGGGGAACAGCGGAAGTATTTTGGCTACGTCGGAGGAGGTTACATTTTAGGAAAGCTGGGTTATGTAGTACAGTAACAATACATTTTGGAATTAATCATTACTTTATATCTGTACGTGTTATTTGTGTATTTATGGTGCAATCATTGCTACTTTTAGTATGTATAGCGTAGTAGAATTAGATGAGCTTGTGAGAAAATGAACGTATTTATATACGTGCTTATCACTCATTCTTGAGAACAGGGACAAAATCTTATTTTGGGTGGATTTTTATTTGTACTCTTCAGTACAGAACTCAGTTACATTGAAACCTTTATAATATCTGATTTGAGTTGATAAAATTGTTGTATTAATTTCACAGCATAGTCTTAGTTAGTAGCTATTTAATTTTTTTTAAGTTGCTAAGAGTTCTCTTAACGTTTATCAAAATATGCATTTTAAAACCATAATTCTTATTTAGTTTTGTTTTAGAATGGCTAAAGAGTTGACCTGTTATGGTTGAGACACACCTGATTAATATTATTTCATGAATTTATATAAAAAAGAGAGCTTACCAGTGCTTAAGCAGTATTCTCTCCTTTTTTGAAACCAGGAAGTAAGGCAGGGGTCCTTAGGATATAGCTGATTCTTTTCATCCCTGATTAAATTATGCTTTTATAGAAATCTGATGGACAAAAATCTGAGACACAACTTTAAAGGGGCAACATTTTCTTAAAAAAAATATATTTTAAAACAAATATGATTATAATAGTAAAAATTTACTCCTTTATTATCAGTAGATTCTGAAGGCCTTTGATGCATTTTTTTAAATTATTTGAAGTGTATTCTTTTCTGGGACAAGGGTGTTTTCTGGTATGGGGCAAGTTTAGAAGTTAAAAAAAGAAAGCAGACCAGTATTTATATAAATTTTATTGATTTCATACATATAAATATTTTAAATATAAAATTTCACCAAAAATTTGAATTAGTATGTCAATATGTAATCATTTAAAGTTTTTGGTAGGAAGTACTTTGGCCCAATTATCAACAATGGGTTTTATACGAATAAAGAATAGGAGAAAAGATGGAGAATGGAAAATATGAAGAAAAGGGACTGTACTGGGAGAAATTAAATCCCAATGCCGAGCAACGGTATTTGGACAAACTAAAACATAGATCCATATGACTTGCCAGCTGAAGAATGGATTACAGACCCTAACACACTACCTCCATTCAAATACCTGGACAAAATGCATACACTTTGTGTGAGTTTAACAATTATAAATCCCTTGAAACTCATGAACAGATCGGCAGATTCACAAGACGGAAAACTGCAAGAGCATGATCATACCATCATGCCATAAGATAAATTACACATTTACTGCTGCCATGCGGAAATTCCCTGAACTGTCTTCTGGATGATGAGACTGGAAACAGGCCTAGCTTGAGGACTTGTTCTCGCAATTGAACGTAAGAGGACTTTCTTCTGAGCTCCTTAAACAAGGTTGAAGATCTATTATGCTGAGCGTGCAGCCACACTACTGTGAGGAGTTTAGAGATCCTGTGCAGCCTGTCACAAACCTGAAGTCCCTTCACTGCCCACGTGACACCAGGCTTGATGGATGTGACTACTCAGCTTTGGAACAGCATTGCCAGGCAGTGAAAAGACAAGCGGATGTTTCAGAGAAGTAGGCTGAACGGATTGAAAAGAGGACAAGTAAAGAGCAGGAAACATCTTTCTGGTCTGCTGCACAAGGCAACAATACACAGGCAAGATCGCAGCCTCCAATATGCATGCTGTTTATGCGATTGACATAAAGTCACCAGCTCTGTCAACTACCAAGAATGCACCACAGCGGATGTCATCTGGCGAATAACATATGAAGAGGAAGCAAGGAAGACCTACATTAAAAAAACCAAAGGACAACACAACAGCCAAGAGTTTGCAACATAAAACAGAAAAGCAACTTTAGGAGAAAAGTGACATGGTGGCATTTGAGAATGAAGACTGTAAGGTCCAGTGGTTTCATTTCGAATGTGTGGGACTTGAGGATATCCCTGCAGCAGACAATGCCTGGTTTTGTCTCTCCTCTTCAAAATAAACATGCTAACAATGGCATAAACATTACACCTGAGGTATAATTTAAAGGTTCATGTGTAGTTCCTTATTTTATTAATCTAGAAGGAAAACACAGATATTAAGCTTGTAAGCATCACCTTTAGTCAAGTTATGTTATTATAGTCTATGAAATTAAATATTAAAGGGAGTCATCATATCTATTAAAGAGTAATATTCTGTGCCAAGCACTGATTTGTACTCCTCCATTGAGAGTGTACTGGCGCACCGTACTTTATTATGGCATGTTAGCTTTCCAACTGCAAACAGGAAAGCTCTTCACAGAGTTACCATCATGGCACAGAACACTATCGGCTGTCCACTACCCTCACCAGAGGACATTTTTAGCTCTTGCTGCATTAGAAAAGTCACCGGTATCATTAAAGACTCTTCACATCCTGGTCACTACCCATTTGACCTGTTGCCCTCTGGTGGCCACTACAGATCGATTAAGACCTGAACCACTGGATTTAAAAACAGTTTCTTTCCAAGGGCTATATGTGAATTGAGCTCTGTAACCCACTCTCACCCATGACACTTATCTGTGTCTGTGACAATGAAGTGTATATAATATCCTAAAGTATAATATTTACTGTATGGTTCAAGCTCAAGCTGCTATTGATAGATTCATATTTTTCATATCCACATGTTAAGCTACTAAATTTGATTTTACTTTTTATATTAAATAATTATAATATATAATACTTATATAATTATATATAATTATTATATTAATTATGTGTTGCTACTGTGGATGTTAAGTTTGCACTGATCAGGAGTAGCCATTTTAAATTTCATTGTACTGTATGTTGTGCAATGACAGTATAGGCTATTCTATTCTATTCTATTCAGTACTAAGTGAAGAATTACCATATTACATATGATATAGATGGTTCATTGACTGATCAGCTTACCACAGTTTCCAGTTCTCTTGCCGATTTTTTAAATGACTACCAGAAATAATCCCACAGGTGAAACTTCATACATTTATTTTGGCTTTCGGGTCACCAGTATTGTTTGTAGCTTGTCTCGCAGCAGGACCTGTGTGCAGGGCTCATCACTTTGTCCTCTGTATGGCTTATTTATAAGTATTATTCAGTAAGAACCATAAACAACCATACTGTACCACCACCCCCCCACACACAGCTTCACACTCAAACAGGCAATCCTTGCAAATTTATTGTTTCAGCACTGTAAGAGTAGCACACACTGCCTGTGAAACGTACAAGGATAACAGTGGAAGGAATCATGGAAAAGGCTGGTCTGTATCAGCTTTAACACTGTAAAATGCGCTATCTGAACCTGCAGACTACTCTATTTTCTTGTATCTATAGACTTACTGTATCAGTCATTTGTTAGCAAGCTTGTCTTTGAAAAATGGTTAAAGCATCATTTGCCCATCTTGTGTAAATCCCACTCTAGACATGGCTCCTTGTGTCCCGTTCATTCGCGCAAAAATGTACAATAATGTGCCTATAGTACGGTGAGGGAAATAATTTTTTGACCCCCTGCTGAATTCCTCAGCTGACCCAATGATAAAGAAATGAGAAGTCTATAATTTCACTGGTAGGTTTATTTTAACAGCAAACGATAGATAATCAACAAAACAAGCAAGAAAAAAAACATTATGTAACAGTTACAAACCAATTTGTCATCTATCTAGGGAAATAATTCCCATACAAGCCAGCAAGAAATAAGGTCAAGTACATGTGCACTAACACAGCACAAATAGTACTGATTTAATTATTAACAAATACCAAGAAAGCTTTCACATTTAATGGCATTACTTTGTTAAACAGTATTCTTGGGTCACTAACCTGTCTACATCTTCAACCTTATCACCATGGGAATTACCAAAGAGCTGTCTAAGGACATCAGAGACAAGACTGTTAACCTTGGAACAAGAAGCTTCGTGAGAAGGTCATAACTGGCTTGTAGGGGACCAAATAAGTACATCCCTAGATAGATGACAAATTGATTTTTACTTGTTACATAATGATTTTTTCTTGTTTGTTTTGTTGAAAATCTATCTTCTGATGTTAAACCTACCTGTGAAATTATAGACTTCTCATTTTTTTTTGGTTAGGAATTCAACAGAGGGTCAAATAATTATTTCCCTAACTGTAAATGGGTAACAAAAAAAACTGTGAGTCTAACCTGTCAGGCATGTTCTCTTCGTGTTGTGGACAGACATGTGTCTCTTTAGATGACCCAGCTGAGCGAAACATTTCCCACACTCACTGCAGCAGAAGGGTTTCTCTCCGGTGTGAGTGCGAAGGTGTGAATAAAGATTACATTTGTGAGAGAAGGTCTTACCACACACTGTGCAGATGAATGGCTTTTCTCCTGTGTGAAGAAACTGGTGGGCTTTAAGGTATCGCTTGGAGGTGAAGTTCTTCCCACACTGAGCACAAGTAAAATAAGGCACCCCAGCTGTTTCACTGTCATTATGGATTTCTTTGTGCCTTAAAACATTCTGTTTCTGAGCAAAGTGCTTCCCACATTCGTCACACTCGTACGGCTTTGTTTTTGTGTGAATGCATTTGTGAACGCTCAGATCATGTTCCTGCTCAAAATTCCTCCCACACACCTCACAGCTGTACATCTTCTCTCCCATATGATCAACCTGGTGGCCTTCAAACTGTCGTCCTACGATTAAACCCTTTCTATAGCCTGTCCCAATGAACGGTCTGTCATCTGAATGATCTGGCAGGTATGTTTCTAACTGATCAAAATTCTCAAAATTCCCCTCACAAGGTGTGCAAATAACTTGTGTTGCCATGCGACCTTCACTGCTAGTGGCCTCGTTGATGTATGGACTCGCAAAGGTCTTGCTGAAGGCAAAATGCCCGCTTGTATATACAGATTCTTTGTCCTTTTCATACTCTTTCAGTCTGAGATAAACATCAGGCTTCTCTGGATCTTCGGAAAGTCTGGGCTGATTGTCGGATTCCACAGAGGGCTGCAGCTCAGCTGAACTTTGGTCCTCGGCAATAGATCCGTGTATTTTTACTATTGGTTCGAGAAGAAAACACATAGCTGGATTCAACTGGAATATACATATACCAGAATGTTACTAATCTTCTACCAAAAATTATGCATTCTATGCATTATAAATTAGCTGGAGTTTTACCCATTTACAACTGCAGGTCAGGTTAAGTGCTTAGGATTAATAAACAATAGGGGTGTAACCTACACAAAATTCATGGTTCAGTAAAAACTTCACTTTTGAGTTTATGGTTCGATGTAATTTTGGTGCAGAAGTGAAAAATTTGTTTTAAAATAGTTTATTATTAAAACTGTAAATGCAATTAAAAACAATTGTAAATCAAACAAAAGGCAAATGTGTCTATTGATGTGTGTGTAAACAAAACCTGAGATGCTTCTTTGCATATTGTAAAAATAAATAATGTCAAAGAAATAAAAATTCAAAAATAAGACTGCATAACAACTATAATGAATTAAATCCTGACAAAATCCTGTGTTCTGTACTACTGAGTATGGTCGTATACCCATAGCGAAACATCCTTAAAGCCTTAGTTTCTTTTTCTGGGAATATCGGAGTTCGGTATAACAGCCAACAGTTGGGCTTACCAGCTCTCTCTCCAGTTTTGGTGTTATTTATTTGGAAATCAAAATGTTTCCGAACTACTGATTTATGTGAGGTGGGACGGTCTTCGAGCGCTTGCTTGGCTGATATGACTGACTGTCCCCAGCACTGGCCATAACCTACTCGCAGACACAATTAACAAAATGTTTTCTGTGTTGAACATCTACTTGTGAATTTAGGGTCCAAATCTGGAAATGTATTGATGTGTTGCAGTGTGTGTTCCAAACAGTAAATGATGCAGCTGAATGCTGCACAATGAATATTCTTAGGATTAAACTCTTGCCTGCTGCCTTATAGGATAATGAAACTAACTGCTGATGTTTCGATAAGCTGGTCAGCCAACACAGATTTCCACTTACACTCCTGAATGCCCTCAAATGCTTCCGGTGGGAGATTACTGTCCACTTCTTCTTTAATTGGCTCATTGACTTTTGCAGACTGTTAAAGAGAAGAGAAGCAGTTAATAGGAATCCGAACTACAGAAGCCTGAAAAAAGAATAACCAAAAGGAACACTAAACTAGCCTTGTCCCTCATTCTTCCAGGGGAGCTGGCCCCTCCCTCGTCCTCCATAGCACACAGCGCTCCAGCATTGCATAAGCCCAGGAAGTAGTTCTTCCCCAAGATACCCTCTGTCAAGGGACAATGTTTCTCCTCTGTAAAACAGGAAGGACAACCTGAAAGACACTATGATATTTTACACAAGACTACACAAGATTTTTTCAAGCAAGTTTTTTTCTATAAGATCACTAAGCCTGCCAGTAATAGTTATGCTCAATGTACAACAACAAATAAAAAAATGGAGAATCACATTTTTTTTGCTTATTCATACAACAGGAAATGGACGGTTACTTAAAATGGTTCAAATCTGCAGGATACCAGAAAAAACACATGGAAGATGGAAGTAAATGTAAAAGTATAGACTTTTTAACTAAGAGAGCCCAGTAGGTCAGATTAGCTAACGACATCTCTTCCCCCCTAACTCTAAACACAGATGCTCCACAGTGATGCATGCTCAGCCCATTACTGTACTCTCTCTCTTTACACAGCTCAAACAAGTGCCAAGTTTGGGGACGACACAAACACCGCAGGGCCGAGTCCTACACTTGACAGGAGAGTGCAGAGATGACAACCTCACCCTCAACAAACAAAAAAAAAATACATAAGAATTGATCCTGAACTTCAGGAAGTGCAAAGTGCAAACTGCACACAGTGCACGTTTTATACACAGAGAGGAGATGGGAAGACCAATTTTCAGTTCCTTAGGGTTCACATTACAGAGAACGTTACTCGGTCACCAAACACCCCCCACCTAGTGAAAAAAGCCCAGCCACGTCTCTTTTTCTCTGAAAACTCAGAAACGTCCAACTACATCAACAACTTCTCAGTTTGAGTTTCTGGCACTGTGCCACAGAAAGAATCCTCACTTTCATATCTACATAATGGTGCGGTATGTCAGCTGCACATTCGTCGACAAGAAAGCTCTAAGGCAAGCCAATTAGCCCAAACTACCGTAAATCCAACAGATAATCCAACTAATCATGAAATCCAATTCTCGCCCGGTTAATTGTTAGCAATATCAGTTGATAACACATTACGCGCGGTGCTTTACGTGTAAAACTCCATAGCAACACGTCCACAGATAAGCTGGTATAGTGTGTGCGACCGATTTAATAAGCCATAAATGAGAAGTAGTGCTTAAACAGTATAAAACTTTCCCTTCTGTTGATAAAAGATGCAGCCATCTTGGATTCTGAACTCGGGATCCTATGGAAGGCTGTTTCCGCCACTGGGGAAAAAAATAATATAAAATTTAAGTCGAAATTTTGACTTCTTATCTCGAAACAAGTTTCTAGCTTTAATAACTTGCACTATCTCGAAATTTCGACTTAATATCTCAATATAACGCGATAACTCTCGAAATTTCGACTTAATATCTCGATATAACGAGATAATTATCTCGAAATTTCGACTAGAAGTTTCAAGTTTCTAGCTTTAATAACTTTTCACGGAAGGTGGGGTGTTTTTAATGACAGAATTGTGTTGTCGACTTCACAGGCAACGATGCACACCGATTACGAAACACGTAATCAAGCAATTCAGCTGTGATACATTTGCTTTGTCCCACGGTGCACTGCCTAAATCACACTTTACAACTTACTTATGGATTAATTTGTGTTATCAATTAACTGTCAATATGTATGAAATGGAGCAATGGCATGTAATATGGATACAATGTAATAATAACTGTTAGACAGAAAGTGATCTTGAAAGTCCAAGGGGTGTGCATTGTCCCCCAGGTCTCCCTGAGGCTGATCCATGCACTTCATAGGACATGACTGTCTCATTTTTTTTCACAGCTAATACATTCGAACATTCAAAAATTAATTAAAATTCGTACGTAAAGCACGAAACAAAGGGGTTTGCATCAGTCACCAGGAGCCCAAAATGCTAAACCACCATGTCATTACAGCTGACAGCACCTATAATATTAGCTATTAACACGATTTTGCACAAATCACGAAATGGTTTGAAGAGCAAAAATAATCGGTGTGCATCGTTGTCTGTGTACTGGACAACACAATTCTGTCATTAAAAACGCACCACCTTCTGTGAAAAGTTATTAAAGCTAGAAACTTGTTTCGAGATAAGAAGTCAAAATTTCGACTTAAATTTTATATAATTTTTTTCCCCGGTGGCGGAAACGGGCTTCCATAGGAACCTCTTGGCTGCTCCGAGATATTTCTTGGATCTCCGAGAAACGGGAGTGCGCATGCCGTCACTTCCGGCTTCAAAACTTGGAATCCGACTCGGAATACGAGTTCCCAGGGCAAATGGAATGCACCAAAACTGCCTGAAATGGGTTGACAGAGACATTTCAGGGATTTTGAGTCATTCTGTGCTGCAGATGGGTTAATTGCGTTAAAAATTTTAATCAGATTAATCATGATGATGGATTAATCTGCGTTAACCAGTTAATTTCGACAGCCCAAATAATAATATAAATAATATAATATTAATATTATATAAAAATTACCCACCCCCCTCCCCCAACAGCCTTGGGCCAGTAAAACTCTGAGACACTGAATTATCCAACTGCCACATGCTCCTTTAAAGGCTTACACACACACTCATTCAGTAACACACTTAAATACACACACACTCACTCACCTTCACTTACACACACACTCATTCTGTAACACACTTAAACACACACACACACACACAGTCACTCACCTCCACTTACACACACACTCATTCTGTAACACACTTAAACACACACACACTGTCACTCACCTTCACTTACACACACATGAACATGCACACATCATTCCTACCTCATCCAGGAGATACAGTCCTGTCAGAACTTTTTTTTATGCCTCCTATAAATGTACAAGAATACAGAGAGGACTCTTCTACTATGGAGCCATGCCGCTATAATATGTGCAGAATGCGGTTTGTCATTGTCTTGCTGAAATACACAGGGCCTTCCCTGAAACAGGTGTCTGGATGGCAGAATATGTTGCTCCAGAGCCTGTGTGTATATATCATTCAGCATTAATGGTGCCTTCCCAGATGTGCAAGCTACCTAAACCATGGGCACTAATGCAGCCCCATACCATCACGGATGCTGGCTTTTGAATGGTCTGCTGATAAGAAGCTCTAAGCCTGGAGAATGTGGCGTCCATGATTCCCAAAAAGAATTTTGATTTGTCAGTCCACGGGCCAGTTTTCCATTTTGCCTCAGTAGATCTTAAAGAAACTTGGGCCCAGAGAAGTCGGTGGTGTTTCTGGATCATGTTTACCATGCAAAGAAGAAACCAGACCTAGAGTTTCATCCTGCATTTTAGATGCAGCAATGAACTGTGTTCACAAGCAATGATTTTCGGAAGTGTTCCTGAGCCCATGGGGTTTACATTTTACAGAGCATCCCAACTTTTTTGGAAATGAGGTTGTAATAACTTCTATTTTCATTGCATGATATGGTGTTATTACATAATGTGTTGTAACACACTATGCAATTATATAATAACTTGACAAATTGTAACAAATTTTCAATAGATAAATTCAGGTATCACTTCAGGGGTCCATTTCCCAAAGGCTTCGTGACACTAAGAAGTTTATCTTCTTGTACTATCATTCACAAATTTATGACTGATCCCACCCATTTGTTATTTTCTATTTCATTCATAATTTGAACTTTTACCTGCTATTCTGTCACAGAGACATAGAAGTAACTCTGAATGGATCACAAAAACACGCTGATGCTCTTATTTGGATAATGTAATAATAATGATAATAATAATCACAATGATGATGATGGTAATGATAATATATTAATGCTGCAATACAAAATTATAATGCAGGTTGTAAATGCTACATTTTGTTGAGTTATTACATAGTGTGTGACAACACATTATGTCATAACGCTGTGATGAAAATTTGTTACATTTCATAGTGCATGATGCGGTATTATGGCATAATGTGTTGTCACAGGGCCCAGGGAATCACCCGACTTCCCAGTCACCCCGGACATCACCTGTTTGCCTCCCTACCATCATGCAAACATATGAAACATCAACCTCAAGGCTGACAAACAGGTTCTTCCCATGAGCTGTGGCCAGAAACTTGACGTTTGGTTTACACACCCACCACTTTATATATCTAGCCTGTACACTGTCACCTTATTTTATACCTTGCTCAGGTTTTATGGTATATTCTACCCACATTGTATTTGGTTTTAAACTCTATTTCACATTTTCCAAAGAATTGCTATAAATGCCGGTCTTATTTATTGTTTCTGCACCTGTTCTTTGACATGTGACTTTATCGTTGTTCACTGATGCTGCTATTCGGAGTGAACCAAACCGTTTTCATCATACATACAACCCCGCAATAACAACAAAAGATCTGATTCTGACTATCTGAAGACCACGTGAATTCTTGAAAAATAAATTGACATGCAGGTGTCTTGTAGTCCAAACACGAACACAATTATAATGACTAGCAAGCCAAAGGCAATGCGTCTGTTGACGTGTCTGAGTAAAAAAACCTGAGACACTTATTTGCACATGATAAAAATAAATATGCAAGATACATTTTTAAAATTAAAGATCATAACAATCATAATGAACTATATGCCATGTGACTCCTACTGAGTATGGTTGTGTATCTGCAGCAGTAAACACCCCTATGTTGTAATTAATGTTTTTAGCCCGATCTTTATTTCCTGGTAATGCACCTTAAATTTCACGGGGAGACTTACAGGGGATGTTTCTGTCTTGCTCCAGTCGTACACACTTGGATGATGTCTCAAATGAGTGAGCATATTGGTTATGTTTCCAGTAATATATCCAAGTTCGTGTTAACACAGAAAGTCTTGGTGCTATCCAAGTTTTGGGCCCCATGATAGCGTCTGATTTGACTCTCCCTGCCGGCCCCTGGAGGATGGGCTCCCCCTTTGAGTCTGGTCCCTCCCACGGTTTCTTCCTTCTAGGGAGTTTTTCCTTGCCACTGTCGCCTATGGCTTACTCACTGGGGGCTTTGGGTGGGGATGCTGTAAAGCGCTTTGAGATGATGTAATGTTGTGATAACGCGCTATACAAAAATATTTTTTTTGTTGTTGCAATGGCCTCAAACCCAGACCAAACCTATTATGTTCCAAATTTTTTTATTGCCCCTGAACTGTCTACCCCCCCCCCACATTTCAATTCTGGTTGAAATCAGGATGCAGAATTGCAATTCTAATTTCAATTTATCTATGATGAATTAAATAGAACTGAATTCACATTGAAGTCATTCAACATGAATTACACGTTACACGTTTACATTCAATACTGTATAACTGCTATAAAAACACAGAATTCAGAATGAAAGAAGGCAACATTGTGTCAGCTGTAAAATTATTTTTGTGTACTTTGGAAAAGAACTTCATACAGTCAAATAAGTAACCCAATAACAATTAATTGCACTGATTTTTTTTTTTTTTTATTGAAATGACTGAAATATTTCTTCCTGTCATTCTAATTCAAGTCATATTCCAACATCCTGCAGGGTGTGGCCAGATCACCTCAAATTCCGATTCATGAATGGGCCACAATTCATAAATTCTGAACAAACCTATATTATGCTTATTATTGTATACACAAGCATACAAGCGCGCTAACACTCATGAATACGGATTTCAGGGTGTCACAGCTTAAGGAAATGTTTGATGTGATTTACGCTACCTTTCTGCACAGCCCCGACTTGATCGCCGGTCTGTACCCCAACAGAGCACCGGCTGGGAGGTCTGCATGCCGCTTCCACTGCGCACTGCCGGGTGCTTTTCAGTTCGGTCTCGACAAGAAGAAGCTTCGTCTTCAGCTCCTCGATCTCCTCCTGACTCCGACACATCCGTAAGCGAAACGCCGAAGAGCTCTCCTGCACAACTTTTACGATCTCCACCACCGCCGCTTCTGTGAACATCCCCATGATTGAGGACAACTGCGCCTGGAAAGTAACACAATCCAACATCTTTCCAGAAATCACGAACGCCTCCCTTAAACCAAATTTTTTTTGTGCTTCCGCAAACTATAAATACACAGTATACTTAATTCTGCTGTTGGAAAAAAAGTATTTCTGGCAGGATCCGATAACTGTGAGACTCACGACCAGTTCATTCTTCAGATTTCAGAAATTCAGATGCGCCTTACTTCCGTCTTTCCAGAAACATCTACGTCATTTCCGGTGATCACTTGGGGGATTCTTCTACTCGTCACGTGCTCTTAAAATACAATTTACTCCAGAAATTTTGTGTAGGTAATTAATTACTGGTACAGCAGTACAGATTTACTTATGAAACTAATGGATTTTATAACCGTACCTTCTCCGTGATTACCTTTACGTTTTTAATTTATTCTTTTTATTAGTCAATTTACACAGTTTACACACAATTCAAGACCAATAAATGATATATTAATACGTTTAATACAATGTAAATGATATATCAATATACAATATAACAACTTTGACTCACATTTTATAGGGCAACGGGTAGCAAGAAGCTGTTCTTCGTGTTAAGTCTATTTGATTGTTCCAAGCCAAACTCTGTACTCCTAAAAAATGTATAATGAAACCTATGCATGTAAAGAGCAATTTGATTACAGGCATTGTCCTTTACCAGAGTCTGTCTCTAAGTATAATTTGTAGGTAAGTCTGAAAAATAATAATACAGTACATAATAATTATACAATAATAACAGTAACTACAGACGGTACTGTACCTCGAGCTGATGAATAACTGAAGCCGCGCAATGTTTTCATGAGAATCACAAAGTAGCGCGTTTCTTATTACAAACCATTCTATTTAACCTGAATTTTTTATATAATAGACTTCATGGCAGTCCATTCGTATGTACGAGGTGTTCGTAAGTCGGATGTCCTTAAACCTAGGGCCTGGCTGTATATATCCTCCTGAGACCCAAGGAAAAAAGTGTCCTTCAATTTTAGGTTTTTCGTCTTTGGAGGAAATAAGACATCTTACAATTTAGATTTTCTCAAATTTATTTTTATTTTTAATTTCACAGCATGTTCTCTTTAGTGTACAACAGGAATAAATATGTTTCCTTACATCAGTGAAAAGATGCAAAAACAAAATATCCACTACAACGGACATAAATGAATGGGTGGGGTCTCAGGAGGATATAACAGGAAATGATTATAGTGCCAAAAATGTGCATATTACAGAAAGATCAACTGGGAAACAGGTGACACTTAGAAGGTTGGTTTATGCAAGTAGTTCATTGAATTTTCTTGGTGCTGGTTAAACTGGTATTTACTGCAGTTGATTTGACAATACTTAGAGAAGTGGATAAAGAATGGGTATAAGATCCATAAAGATGCAGCTCACACAAGTGTGTCAGGGGGGCTTGGTGTAGTGTTTCTCAACATGCTCCTCAGACACCCCCAGACAGTCCAGACAGACAGTCGAGAGCTAGGAGGGAGCAAAAACATGGACTGTCTGGGGTTCCCCGATGACAGAGTAGGGCAACACTGTCTTAGAGGATAACAGCGTACCCTCACACCCCAAGGCAGAGAACCAATCAACAGCGGAGCTAGAAATCACAGAGTGGGAGGGTCGGCAAAAAAATCAAGCGGGTTGTTCCCATAACGATTTACTTGGTGATAATCACATTATAGACTCCGCTACATTTTTGTATCAGTTTTTAAATGACCCGTGGAATTACAATGATGAAATGAACAAAGAAAGAAAAATTGATATCCTCCGATTGATCTAACCAGAAACATACATCACACAATCATTTTACTGTACTGTATTGATGTCATTAAAATGCTGTGTGTGTATGCAGACACCATGCAATGGAATGGCATTCCATGCCTTCTGACTTTCTGGTATAAAATTCAGGGTCTTTGACCCTGTACTGGGTAAGGAAAATGGATCAACTAAGGCCATGTTTGAGATCCAACCAGGACTGAATTTTCTTTCCTACACGAAAGTTTAATTTCCATCAAACACACCGATAATAGAGTTTAATCATCATTGTTTTATTAGAGTACAAATACATGGACAATCCTTCATTAAAATACATTTTGTCACGCTGTCTGAAGATTTATTCAACCTTATCCACAGTCTAACTGAATTTCTCCATAGCCAATTAGATGAGTGCTCCATGTGGTTTGTTTGTATGGACATTTTGTGTTCAGCTAGTACTATACCTTATTCTGCATTAATGTTGTACTGCTTTTCTATAACTCTTGTAAAGGAGATGGCAGTAAGGAAATCTGGCAAACAATAATCACACCATATTTCTAACAAGTTCAGATAAGTTTTCCATGTATTTAATTCTGTGACCCAGCCCTAATCATTAGTTACAAAAAGACTATAATGGATAATAACAAAATTGCTCAATTATTAAAACCTTCTGCTGAACATACATAAGATACTGATTGATTGTAAACATCGTTAAGTGTTGATATCAGCAACAGAGATTGTTGCACAAATAAGAATGCAACAACCAATGGCTAATATGTAATGGTTTAATATGACTTCCTGATTCATTTTCCTGATTCTAACGTCTTGATTCTTGTGGAATCTAGCATCCACAGATATATCAAAATGGGACACATTACTTGAACCTTTATTAAGGAAATGCAAGACAGCATTCCTCCTGGTCCCCCTCAGTAGCTCATTAACTATCAGTTGTGAATTAGAAGAGTGATGAGAGTTAAACCCGGTTTAAACATGTGACATCAACACGCTTCAGTCTTTCATCAGGTCACTTAGACTTTGCGGTGTTCTGGTTGAGGAATTTGTTTGCTGTAAAAGACAAAGAGACAAGATGGTAATTAGACCTTTGAAATATAGACACACATTTTACACAATTTAAGTGAATTTAAAACAAAAACACTTTTACTGCATTGTAATTTACTGCGAAAAGTTTTTGTCTGAAAACCCCAAAAGCAAACAAACATATAACATAAAACAAACATAAAAGGTATAATTTTTGATATTAATAATAAAAATACTACTGTAACACCTGGTGGAAAACACAAGTCAATTGGTGAAATGGCAGAGATTCAGAAATGTACAATTTTTTGATATGCTGGTATGCTAACAACATGGTTACAAGGTAACAAATGGAAACTGACTGGGTAGATGACAAAGAAAATATTTAATTAAAAGGTGGATTGTACAATGCAAAACCAGTAATACTCAGTAGTGTAGCTGGTTAGGGACACGCATGCACGCATTCAAAATAAGCAAGATAGCCTTATTTTTCTCTCTTATTACTCATCAGATTATGCTTGCATGCTTAAATTCTATAAATACAAATTAGCATAATGCAGTTTTGTAACAATGTCAAGGGCTTTCATATGAGTAAGAGACACTTGGGCAGCAGACAGGAAATCCTACAACACTGAACTTACCGAATTAGTCTACATTCAGGTCAGTCTATAAAGGAAGGCATGAAATGTTTCATTATTATTAATAAGGGAGAAATGCCACCAAATGCAGCATGTCAGACCACATGAACAGGGTGCTGCACAGGTCTATGTAAAGTCTAGAGTTGTGAGCACTACAATTAAATTCTAATGAAGTAATTAAATTCTAATGAAGAATACTCAAACTAGATTCTACACTCAGTACTACAGCTTCTTGTAATGCATATTTGTTCTGATGCAAGTATAAAAGGAGTCACATAAACGTCAGCTGTTCATTACTCTATATGAACCCACCCCCCGCATTCCACCCTGCGGTTTTCGTCCCAGAACATAATGTGCTGTATAATTGTATATTATACTAGACTCCAACAGATGTGGGTGCATCATGTGATAATCTATAAGTTGAAATTTAAAAACGGTATTAACTTTACGGATAGTGAAAGTATTACAGGTTGCCACGGTGCCCTCAAACTGCAAAATGAGTATAGCTACTCCATATGACGATGGGAATTCTGGGTGTGTCTGGCTGACAAAAGTAACACGCCGTGGGCAGACTGCATAGAAGCAAGTGGTTGACATGACAGAACATCAGGGAGGATGGGACTGTGGAGGAGGGAGATGTGGGAGCCAAGTGATGAAATGTGTTACATACAGATGTGCTTGGCAGCGCTTTAGAAGCTGCCTCAGTAGGCAGAAGAGCTTTCTTATTCACCAGCGTGTGAAGGACTGCATGATGGGGAGAAAGGAAAACAAGGCCGGTAGGGTAAGACAGGCCAGAGTTCATTTAGAAGAAAGAAGGGACTGTTACATTACAGGAAAGGCGACATGAACAGATAAAGAGGGAGGGAGGGAGAGAGAGAGGGAGAGAGAGAGAGAGCGCTTGATTGTGCATGGCTGGTACAACATGTGTGTTGTATACCAAGACATACATTGTTAATAAGGGTTCACTTAAGTGGACAAAATAAAGAAAACAGGGGAAACCCAGATGTATTTGAAGACTGGGTCCTGCCTTACTATAACCTGTAGATTAATCATTAACAGCTTTAATGATGTGTCAGTGGACCAGGCCAGACAGGTGTTCCTTAATCAACATTTATCTGCTGAAGTACAATCTAGGAGAAGGAAACAGCTCTGAGCAAGCTATTTATGGATTTTAATGAAATCCACAAATGATCAGGATTGCACGTTTAATATTAAACAGGACTGTACTATAATACACTAATAGCAGTCAACAATATAGATCTTTGTAATCAGGATTTGTTTAAAAAAAAAAGTCCTCAAATTATCTTATTTGAGAGTATTATAATGCAGACTAAATGAAACTTATTGGATACCATGAACCATGACAATAAGATGAGCAAAATCTATTCGTGACCAGGGCATACCATTTCTGTGGTATGTGTTTTCTATGTCAATGCATGGGCAATATGTGCTCAATAGCATATATACCAGCATATGTAATATAATATTTTAAGCCTTTTCCTATAGTATGAAATGAAAGTCAATGAATGATGTCATCTGCTGATATCTTTGGGCCGCTGGATTTTTAAAGGGCCAGCTACCTTCTTTGGTGACGCTCTCCGCAGCGCTCATGGCCTTCCCGCTGAGGTCGTTCACCACTCTGTCCAGCTCGGCCTCGTGTTTGAGGAAGAATGGCCGCACCACTCGATGGTAAAGCATTTGAGACCCGTTCCAGCTCCCAGGAGCCATGCACCAAAGCAGGAATAAGCACTGATATGGAGAGATAGCAAGAGAATGGGAGAGGGAGAAGTGCATTCATTTGGCACCTGCAACATCCTGGATCTCTATCATACACTATACTGCCAAAAGCATAAGGAAACCAGCCTTTACACACACATTAACTTTAATGACATCCTATTCTTAATACATAGGCTTTAATATGGAGTTGGCCCACCCTTTTATACACCTGTGGATATGGAAGTGATTGGAACACCCGAATTAAATGATTTGGAGGGGTGTCCCAATACTTTTGGCAATATGTCCATAAATCCTCCATAACCTCTAATGCTGGGTCACAGCCAAACCAGGTTGCACAGAACATGAGGTAGGGACAACTGTTTGTTTTTTCTGACAGTGGGAGGAGACTGGAAATGAGGAGAACACATGCAAATCCACACAGGAAGATGGCTCAGGACTCTAACACAGTGGCACCTTAATGTCTTTGACAGATATCTGAAATTATCGTAAATATAAACTATGGCCTTACCTTCCCAACATAGTAGAAAGGGCACCAGTAGAGGAATATGTCAGAGAAAAATTCACCCACACTAAAAATTCCATAGATGACCCAGTAGGTCAGCCAATTGGTGTCATCTTCTTTGTCTGCGCTCTCAATCGCCTTAATGCTGCACACAACAGATAAGCCCAAGACATCCCAATGGACACTGTCACTGACATGACAGGATCTTTATACTGTTACACAGAGAGATCACCAGCACACTATATGCAGAGGATTAAATTTAAATCATCATTACTAAAATAAGTCAGTCACTCACTGCATTGTAATATGAATTGAGAGCAAATACTTACGACAAATATGCAGGATACACAAAACCGATCAAATTACAGAGCAGAGAGGCACCATATCCAAAGATTAAATACAGCCCTGTAAGAGAGAGGGTACCTGCGGACAAAAGAGAGGCAGGTCACAAAAGAGAGGCAGGTCACAAAAGAGAGGCAGGTCACAAAAGAGAGGCAGGTCACAAAAGAGAGGCAGGTCACAAAACCAAGCCCCAAATATCCTGCTGAAGGAGCTGAAGACCCTGAAATGTGATGCGAAACATACAAAGATAAGATCAAATAACGTTCATCAAATCTCAAATGTAGAAAAAGGACTGAGACATGGTGCTGGAGGTAGAGAGGGTGTCCGCGTCACCAGCCCCCCTCCCCCTCCATTCTGGTGATGATCTAACACTGTCCCATTAACAGCATCCAAACTGCATGACAAACTGTGCCTCAGTACGGTACAGATGCAGAACGGAAGATCCTCCAACCTTAACAGCACATCACCGGTGCCCAGCTGCCAATCATCAAATTGGCAATCAAAGGCACCTGTGAAGGACAATCAGGGGCCACACCGCTCACCCTACTCCAATCCAGCAAGCAATATAGCAGCTTCTGCTCTTGCACAAGAAGGCTGAGGAACAGCTTTTTGCCCACGTGTCAATATGCTCAATAGTACCTTACAGCAGTTATTCTCCACACACACACACACACACACACACACACACACACACACACACACACACACACACACACACACAGAGCTTGGAACCTCCACTGACTGCTTTCATCTGTACTGACTGCTCATTTGCACATTGCATGTCACACATTTTGCATTGTGTCTTGTATCATATTTCTCATCACAATCATTCACTCTGTACTTCCTGTCTGACTACCTTGTATATCATTTTTCACACATAAATTTGTATTCACAAAATGCTTAGAAATTATTGCATTTGAATGTACATTTTTGCACCTGGTTGGATGCCTACTGCATTTCATTGGCTCTGTACCAGTACCAAGCACCATGACAAATCTAACGTAACAATTCAAAGCTCCACATTAAGAAGCTAGTAAAAAGAAGGATCGCTGTACAGTTCCGCGGTCACATATAGGTGCGTAATTTTATACATCACAGGTTAAATTTACACAGTACTATTTGAATGGAACAGGGAACCAGGCACCACTGTTTGTGCGGCCAAGCTCCTGTGATTGGAGTGTCATGTGGCGATGCAACATTTATTACGGGCCCTTCTGACTAACAAGCGTGTCAGCATTGCAAAACAGCAATGAAAAGTATTCAAGGCAAACGTCATGTTGCATTTTTTTTCCACGTCGTGCCGATACTCGTTTGATTACACGATTAAATCTCGCTGGGTGTTTAGTGCGCAAGGAAATCCAATGCCGTTACAGCCTAGGGAATAACTGCGAGGGAATGTCTTTCTAAATAAGAACACCAAGATCCAAGTAACTAATACTATATGCAGCAGTTAATGAGTACGCTATTCATTATTTATAACCGAACGCAAAATGCAATTATGGTGCTATATGATAAACAATCGATTTCATTTCCTCATGCTTATTTCCTCTTCTGAAAAACAACAGCATTAACCAGCATGATTTCCTGGCTGGTTTGGTGCTGGTGTAGCTGGTGGACCAGCATAGCTGTGCTGGTCCACCTGCAATATTTCATTAATGATGCTGATCCACTACCACCAAACATGCTAGTACGTATTACCAGAATGCATTATGCTGGTCATGCTGCTAACCAGTTACGCAGGTTCTTCACAATACTAGCCTATCTTTAAGAAGAAAATAAAAAGTAATATAGTATAGTACCTCAGACTAGATCGTATAGTATTATTGTAAATCCCTAAATTCTTAAAATGATTAAAATGGTCGTTTTATATACACCTGGCTGCAATAAACACTGGTCACGGGATCTAAATAGTTCTGAAAGTCATTGCCGCTTTTTGACTGAAACAGCAACAAATACAGTGTATATCGTCCAGTGAAAGTGAAAAGCGGGAGATTATGTTGTACAGAAATCGAACCATTAAATAAATCGATCGCAACATCGATTAACTCAAAACCTACAGCCGCAGCAACAGACCCCGAAACCTGATCTTGCGGTTCCTGCAGATCGGCTGTATAACAGCCCTGCGATAGCAGCTTTCTTTTGTTTCTGTGACATTAACAGACAACTGAAGCACAGACCTTTATCCAAATTACTGCAGCAGCAGTTTATAAACCCGTTTTGATATATGTAAGCATCCACTGAATTACACTAAAACGAAAAGAAAAACTCTATTCTGAATGCGAGTTTAGCAGAAGGAAACGTTACGGTACTTTGTTCCAGCGGCTGGTCAGCATATTGTTAATAATCAGCGGAGTTCGGACTAATTTACCTGCAACAATGTAGTTCTTTTTAATTCCAGTTTTCTCCTCGATTTTCCCCAGATAGTCTGTTACGAAGTTCTTCTCATTTAGAAACTTGTCATAACGCTCTTTCAGTTTGGCAAACATTGTTGCTCGAAATTAAACACTATGTGATCCGACTTCAACACAAACTCAATGAGTAGTACGGGAATATTTACATATATTGAGATAAGCAAAACGTAGAACTATTTTATAATAAGGAGCAACCTTTGCAATGTCCAAAACGATAAATATTGCTGACAGAATGATTCAACGGCTTTCCTTAATTTAATCGGCTTTACCCAGAGTTCTGCCCCAGCTTCGGGCTGCACCGGAGGTATGAGGGAGGGATCACAAGCCTGATTGGCAGGGATGTTGGGAAAGGCGTGAATTCAGGTGAAGAAAAATATATAGGCTAACCGTGGAATAAAACTGTCCTGGCAGTGCACTTCACACCTGCACTTAATGTTTCCCATTCCTTTTGAAAGTCATCTGATGTGACTTCGATTCACTAGAAACTGTCGGATAAGCTGACAGTCATCTCTGGCATTAGAAAATCGCTTCGGCCTTTTACCTGGCTGGTTTCTGGTCGTTCCCAGTGTCTCCTTCTTCAGCTTATTCCTGTGTACTGCTGTCTTAGACATTTTGAACCTGGAAGCAACTTGCTGCTCAGCGTAGCCTTCTGCCAGCAGAGCCACGATTAAACCAGGATTTTAAAATGCAAATTTATTTTAAAATATGAATTGGTCTCTGAATTTTCCCACGGCTGTATGTGTCTTAAGCAGTACAATTTGTCTCAACAGATAAAACATTTACGCGTTTCCTGTGCCGTCTTACATTACTGTTGCCGAATGCACAGTTAAATGTGATTATTTAGAATGTTGTTACTACAGGGCGCGTTTATTTCAGTATAAACCGGAGGAGAAGGTGTTGGGCCTTTGTAATACGTAAGATGCTGGTTCCCGACAGCAGGAGGCGCCCCTGCTTCTTAGAGGGAGGAATTCGCACTCTTTCCCAATAGCAAGTTTACACTTGTCAGTATATACTGTAGTATGCGAAATCGACGATTGAACCCATTTCGTTAAACTTTACTTACAACCGCCGCACCCTTTTAATAGAATTAACGTAAAATATGGTTAACAGTACGAAAACGTACAAGGCTATCAAGTACATTTTGTTTGTCGGCTGTTACTTATTTTGGGTAAGTTTTACACGTACCCTCAACAAGTACTAGAATAAAATATTTGATTTGATCAATTCCACAACGAAAATGATGTACTTTATCTCTATATTGGAGTTGACATTTATTAGTGCTGAAAAGATATTGGTTGGGGTATCACGTTATTTATAGGCATATCTTCCCATATTCACAAAAGATGTGGGTGGCAGAAGCTGGAAAAAATATGACTTTACGTATTTTTCACAAAAATAAATTGTTTCATTCTATTTGTTCAGGTTTCTAGTGCTATTCTAATTGCAGTTGGCGTCTATGCTAAAGTTGCCAAGGAGGGAGGTAAGTAACAGTTTATTATCAACTTAAAGTTAATTTGTAATGATAGATCTGTTATTTAATCATACTTACTTGTCTCTTTTGTGTCTTATTCTAATTCTCAGTGTAACGTACTTTGGGTTGCATTTTATGTACGAACGGTAGCATATAAATAAAGATGATTATTATTATTATTATTATTATTACTACTACTACTACCATTATTATTATCATCATCATCATCATCATCATCATTGTTTTATTATTGTTACATTATTATTATTGTTATTGTATTATTAGTATACTGCACTCCTACTTCATTGTTAAACTGTTTTGAGCATTTTTTGTTTTTGCTGTTTTAGGTTTTTGTGAGAGATAATGTTTGCTATACTCTTATGTACACATGATTCTGCAAAGTAGTTTTTGTCTTTTTTAAAAATGGTGCCTTGCACCTTGTTCTATATGAAGTAGACTGTCCCCCACTCAAGCAACCTTTGAGTCCCTATTCCTAGGCATTATGCTATGCTGCAGTTTTACCAAAACCTTTTTTTGTCAATGCAAAACAGCACAGCAGAACAGTATATATTAATAGAATAACACAGTGATAAAAGTACATTGTGCATGGAAGCAATATTTGTGGATGAGACAGAGCAGCGGCGACCGGTGTATGAAGAAGCTTCTGTCCCTCTCAGATGTTGTGGACTCTCTGACAGCTGACCCAGCCCTGTTATTCATTTGCATCGGCTCTCTGATGTTCACTGTCACCTTCTTCGGATGCTTTGGGGCACTACGTGATAATGTTCGTCTTCTACAAATTGTAAGTTAGAAAACTTGTCTCATGGTGGAATAGATATTGTCCTAGTAACAAGGCACTCATTACAGTTATGAACCACGGCATGTATGTGGGTGTTTTGTTTTGTTTATTGTGATTTACACTTTGCATCCTTTGCCATGGTCCGTATTATAGCCCGATAAGAATCACATACTTCACTTCCTAACATCTATGTTTATTCCCAGTTTGTAGGGATCTTGGTAGCTATTCTTCTTCTTCAGATATCGGCAGCTGTGCTGGGATTCATATTCTCTGACTTGGTAAAAAAATAATAATAATAATAAAAAATCCGCTTGGTGCGAAACACAAAAAAATAAATGGTAACTGTAATTGAAGGAAATTTCCTGCAGATGTCAGTGTTTCAACAGTTTCGATCATTTTTTCATAATACAGTACTGCAGATACTCAAGTATTATAGGGAGTCAAATCATAATTGTCTATGGGTCCCACCAGGTACTGGAAAGGACAGACTTATTGATAAAAACTGGAATTGAGAAATACCGTGATGACCTGGACCTGGAGAACATAATAGACTTTGTACAAAAAAAGGTGAAATTAACCTATTGTATCTTCTGAAACTGCAAAAAAACAATATATACAGTGTAACTGCATAGTGTACATGTATTAAATGTTAGTGTATTCAATTTGATGTTTTTTTAATTAGTGTTTTAGATTTTAAAATTTTAAATTCATTGTTTTTTGTGCAGTTCCAGTGCTGTGGGGGTCATTCCTACGGAGACTGGTCTTACAACGTGTACTTCAACTGCTCCAAGACCAACCCAAGCATAGAGCGTTGTGGTGTGCCTTTCTCTTGCTGCATACAACAAAAGAAGAAGGTCAGGACAGGTGCAGAAACAGATTTAAGAGGCCATGTTTTAGTAAACCAAGCAGATGGTAACATTGTGCATTTAGCTGATCTCTCAGGCAAGTTTCGGTGGTACAGCAGTGATGTACTGGAGAGTTTCTACATTACAATACAAACCTTATCCAATTTAAAATACATTGACTAGGAGTTTTTATTTATTTTTTGTAAAGTGGTCATATTTCCTAAAATAAGGTAAATTAGATGATATGAGCCTTGCGATGGGTTGGCCCCCTGTCCAGGGTTGTTCCCTGCCTCGTGCCCATTGCTTCCGGGATAGGCTCCGGATCCCCCGTGACCCAGTAGGATAAGCGGGTTGGATAATGGATGGATGGATAGATAGATAATATGAATTTTGAATCTTAGTTTTTTCCACCTGATTTGTTGTTTGTTTGGATTAGGGTGCATTTGTTTAGTGCCTCACTGAACAAATCCTTCTAAGGATTGTACAGAAAAACATCTGGCTTCTGGGGCTTCATGCAAGTTTTCTTGCTGTTTGTTTTCAGTCAGTACTTAACACCATGTGTGGCTATGGGACACAGCAGGAAGTCAGGGCAGGGCAGAGCATCTACACCACTGGCTGCCTGGATAAAATCGCCAAGTGGGGAGAGCAGAATCTCCTGCTCTTGGCGGGAATGGCTGCGGGGTTCCTCTCTTTGGAGGTCAGGCATGTTTTAGATGAAGGGTATTTCTGCATTATTATCTTGGTCTGATATAAACCATTATGTCTTCCTTTATAGTAAAAATAAAGACATTATTGCTTTAAAGAAAACAAAGAAATGTGAAAGATATGTCTGTAAGCAAAATGCAATATTTAATTAACTACATCAATCAAATAAATATTCTTATTAGGCCAATGCCAGACCATCAGTGCCAAAATGCAATGCAGAAAATTTTCAAGTGAAACGACGTGGAATAGGACACAACAGGATTACAATATCAGTCATGTTACAGAAAGCACAGTCAGGCATAGCTGGGATGTAGGAAAAAGTTGTGCATGACATATAATGGCAGAGCTGGGATGTAGTCATGCATGACATCATATAAAGGCAGAGCTGGGATGTAGTTATGCATGACATCATATAAAGGCAGAGCTGGGATGTAGGAAATAGTCATGCTGACATCATATAATGTGTTTGCTGCTTCTGCATATTCTCCTTATAGATATGTATGGTCTCATTGGCAGCAGCCCTTATACACCAAATCAAGTTGAAGATGACAAAAGGAAATGGAAAAACAACATCCTGACACACCCAAAAACGTCTGTTACATATAAGGAATCTGTATAAACACAGGATTGCACTCAAAAGCGCCACTTGTGTATTGTTTATTGTGTTATTTGTGAATTGTGGCCTGTTGACAGTGAGTTAATTTCACATGCAGTTTCTGCTGACTAGGTGATTCAGTTGTTATTGTGATTTCCAGTGCATTGTTTTGTATGCGTCAGTCTGTGTTTGTATGTGTGATATTGTATATCTGCTGGTTTTTCTATTTCCTTCATACAAATCATATTACTCAAATGTATTATTTTATGTATTTACAGAATTTTCTCTTTTTTGAACACCTCTGCTTGTTATGCTGTGTCATTTATGAAGCTATTCTGTCGGGTGTGTGTGTCCTGTGATGGACTGGCATGCAGTCCATAAGGCTAGATGTAGGGTGAGGATTAGGGTTAGGGTTAGGGTTATGGCTAAGGCTGGTGCTGGCTTTAGAGTTAAGGTTAGGGTTAGCTTTGTCATTAGGGTTAAGTTTAGGTTTAGGGTTCAGTTAGGGTGACAATATAACAGATCAAGAAGTACGGTATTAGTCAACCGTTTGGGCACACCTACTGAAAATCATTTGTTTTGCAACAAGATAACGACTCAAGGTTATGCAGTAAGTATTATCATGTGAACAAGGAGAGAGGTGGAGTGCTGTGACAGATGACCGGCCCCCACAATCCCCCCACCTAAACTGCTCTCTGATCCTCATCTGTCATTTGGAAGGTAGCCAACTTGTGCCCAGAACTTGTGGGAACTCTTCAGGATTGTTAAAGAAGCATTCCAGGTAGATACAGTATATTTGGAAGCTGAATGCAAGTCTGCAATGCTAGTTTGGGGGCTATTTAAATTAGTCAAAAATTTGAGAAAATTTTAAGATGTTGAGTACTTCTCTTGGTCATTGAAATACTTGATTTGTATGACCTAATTTCTTCGAAGCCTTTTACTATAATGTGAATAATGCAGCCAAAATAGTGACAAATGCATTAAATTAAAAGCAGTTGCAGACAATTGTGGGTGAATCAGTAATGAAGGCTTAAGGCATTTAGTGTTATAACACACAGCATGTGTGTAGAGACGTAGTCTTAGCAAGCTGGGGTTGGGCAGACTTCTGCTCTGTGGTTTTTGCCGTGGTTGAAGGCGGAGTTTCAGGGTCCCTCTCTCTGCGTGTGATTTTGTACTGCCTCTGGATGTGTTGGAGTCGGCTACACTGCAGGTTCACTTGCCTTGGACACTGGAATTTCTCTTTGATCACATGACCCAGCTGTGAAACTGCCACAAACCCCTCCTTGTATGGCAAAATTCTGGTGACGGGGGCGTAGACGTACTGAATAACTAGTAGGTTTCCTAGAAATGACAATGAAGAAGATGTCAGCACAAAATATTTACGTACAGCCAATATTTTTGTGGTTTGACATTTAATCCAGAAACTGTTATGCAACATTATACAGTACTGTGCAAAATTCTTAGGCAGCCAAAGAAAATGGTGTTTAAATAATATTTATGTTGGTGTAAAACTATGCTACGGTGTTCATCTAGCCATCCAACTAGATATCAGTAACTTTTTGGAGAACAGAAGAAATTTGTACTAGTTTTTATTGTGTTACTCTTAATTTCCATATGTTAAATTGTTTTTTGTTCTGAGCAAAAGTGTACTTACTACCCAGATAAATAGCTTTAAACATTTCTTTTTGACTGCCTAAGACTTTTGTGCAGTACTGTACCTATATACAGAGCACTCTTTCAGTTTATAAAAGAACATAATGAAAACAAGAATTTACCACTAATGACATCCCAGACTTTAATAGTTCGGTCTTGGGACCCTGTGAAGATATACTGTCCGTTTTCCGAAAAAGCTGAACACAGAACACCCTCTAAAACGAAACCCTGTAAATTGGAGGAAAAAATAAAAGAATGAGGAAACTGGTTTTTTTTAATTTAGAAGATACAAAGTCCTTGTAAACAACTGCACGTTCAGCGAATGCTAACCTGGTGCTCCATCGTGTAGTGCAGCCTTAGAGGGGACAGACTCCACAGCCTCTGGACGGAGTCCTGGGAGCCAATCAGAGCGAGCGATTCCGTCCTACTCACCGTGATGCACGTAATCTTTGTTTGGTGTCTCCCCAAGGAAGTCACGCAGGTATTCTTAAAGTCATACAGTGTGACTTCCCCACAGTTTGAACCTTTAAGCAACCTGCATTCTGACAGCAGAGCCATGCAAGAGATGGGAGAGTGGAGCAGGGAGAGGGGCAGCGTCTGAAATGGACCCTCCACGCCGGGGAAGCCGTCCCGCTCTGTGATTTCAAACACGCAGATGCTTTCCTGGTAGGCCACGGCCATCCTGTCCTCCGCCTGGCTCACCGCCATGCAGCAGACCGTGGGCAGAGTCTCAGGCGGGGGGATACACAGGGTTTCGGGCGAGTTTGCTAAAGGGTAGATCAAGATGGTGCCGGTCTTCACGCCGCAGAAGAGCAGCTTCTTCTTCTGGGCCAGCTCCATGCAGCTCACTTCAGACGACACGGCGATGGTTTCAGCTGGAGTTCCTGGCAGATCAAGGTGGCAGAGAGGAAACAAACTTACCAACAATCTGATATTTCACATTTAAGACTCTCCATCCATCCAACTGTTAGCGTAGAGTCACAGTGAGCCCAGAGCCTGTCTCAGGCAGCATGGAGCACAAGGCTGAGGAGGTTAATGACATCACACACAATGCATTTACAGCTATTTAGCAGCCACTTTTGTCCAAAGGGGCAGACAGAGCAAGGCAGCCTGTATCCCTGAAACCCCTACAGTTAAGAGCCTTGCTCAAGAGACCAAACTGGACACCATTACTCTGTCAGCCAGGGGCTTTGAACTCACAAGCTTCTGGATATAGGTACAGACCCCTAATTTGTCAAGTCCTACAGCACCTCCATTTTCAGATAAAAACACACATTATGGGCAATTTAGAGACATGTATCTATATGTGTTAGTTGTATCTTATACNTTTGGGAGCAGGGATAACTTTTTTCTGTATAATTCAGACATGTGATTAGATCAGTTTTATCAAGTACTTTGTCTATTACAAGGCTCTGAAAATGGCCATAAATTCAAAACGGCGCCCTGAGAGCTTCTCACTCAGATAATATGCTCGATAAAACACTCGGTTTTATTTCCTGTTACTTAAGACATATTAGCCCATGTGTATGTAGTAACCATATGCATTACTGTTGTGAATTTTTTCGGTGGAATCTGAGAGGATGACCTGAATTTGATATGGAATGACTTTTATGTTATTAATGCAGATAATCTAAATGGTACCTGTGAGGCAGTCCCACAAGATGACCTGCGTCCTGTCACCATGCTGTAGGAAGCAGGCCTTCTCACCATCGTGTGACATTGTCATGAGCGCCCTGCTGGCGGGGAAGCAGCTCTCGGTCTTGTGCTTGTAATTGAGCTGCCAAAGCTTCAGCGGCGGGGCATCGCTGGAGGCCGCGATGACCGTGTCTCCGTACGTGACCAGCCCTGTGACACGGGCCCCCATGCCAACAAAGGAGTCCAGGAGGTCTCCTGTGGACAGACACCACACCTGAAAAGAAACAGGCCAACACAGAAATCATTTCATTATAGATATATTATCTTCAGTAAGCTTTCATGTACACATTCTTCCTTTGCATTTATGCACCTAAAGCTAAAACAGATTCTGTACTGTAGCTCATGTTTGTGATCTTTAACCTTCCAATGTATGATAATGAATCTGATGCCTCTGACCCGTATGACGTGGTCCTCGGAGCCGGTGATGAGCACCCTGCGATGGTCGGGTATGGCCGCCGTCCACACGGCGTCCTCGTGCTGGAACGCCTGAGCCAGGAACCTTTGCATCGAGCTAGCCTGGACATGGAACATGGCTACCTGCTTCTCGTAACCTACGTCCAAACAAACCAAGTCAGATACTGATCCATGTGATGAGGAGCACATCTGCAGATATCCAAAACGGAATATTCTATTACTCTGCATAAAATTCATAAAAAGTTATAACGGCACATAATCTGGTCTCAGTTAGCTTAAGAACATCTTGAGTGTTACCAGCACACAGCAGCTTTTCATCGCCAGACAGGATGAGGAATGAAACTGGAGAGGACAGTCTTGCCACATCCTGTGACCCCTGACTTGAAACCTACAAATATAAACATGTGACCACAGGGAATGCTCAGGTGAGTCTTGACTGCAACACCAAATACTGTTACCTAGTATTAAATGGAAGAGTACAGCCATGTGTTTCACACAGATCAGTACCAGATAAAGGACACCCTGTTTGGACCCGACGACCAGCCCGCCTCGAGTCGGAAGGGTCACTGTACATGCGAGTATCAGGTTCTGGAGGTCAGTCGTCAAGCAGGCCTGTGTTTTCTCCACACCGGTAGAAGAGTCGTATAGCGTGAGGCGTCCTCGATTGGAGAGGACCGCGAGTTCCTCGTCCAGAAACCCCAGCATGATCAGCTCCTCACCAGCACCTTCCAGCTGGAAGAGTGGTTCTGCTGTTTCAAGGTGCCATGCTTTTATCTGTTAGGAATAAATGCGGAATTATTCAAGCCTGGAAATTAGTCCGAAACAAACACCTAACACATAAATGACATAATCACTGCACTGTAGTGTTTGACATAGTATGAACAACACACAGATAACTGAGTTGTTGCTCAAGGATTTAAAAATGGATAAACATCTCCATGCCCAATATGAGTCATGCCAAATAATTGGCTCATGGTACATGGTTTGATTGCCTGCAAAAAGCACCCAAATGAAAAAGAGGCAGTATGGGGGAAAACAGAAACTCCCAGAGCCATGACCCTTGGGAGATGAACACACCTTCGTTCCACATGAGGAGCAGAAGAGTGGCATCCCTTCCACCACATGGATCTGCAGCTGGGCATCCGTGGAAAACTCGTCCAAGATGCGCAGCTGCCTGCCACTCAGGAGGCTCCACAGCCGCAGTGTTCCGTCACACGCCAGGGACAGACACCGGGCCCCTCTGCTGACTATCTTCACCTGCAGCACGGCGCCTACGCAGAACGCAGATGCTCCTGTCGAGACCCCTCACACTAACCAGTGCTCAGCTACAAAGAGCGACGAATTCAGCAAGCATTTTTGCTTGTCTCTTATTGAAAATATTTATATAGAGAAATAAATAAATATATAAAGTAATTTTACAAAGAAACTTGTCGTCTGAAACTGCCAATCTGTAAATGATTGAATCTGTGTGGGCTCTTCACCTGTGTGCCCAGTAAGTGTGTGGGCGACCCCCAGGTCGTCCAGGTGCCACACTATCACACTGCCATCTGTTGATCCTGCTGCCAGGAGACGTTTTTCCTGGCAAATATCCATTCCAGTGATCCCTGAAAAATGAGACCATCAGTTCGTAACCAGTAGTAATGGGGACAGATATACGGGAGGTGTGTGTGTGGGGGGGGTTGCTCGATATACACTGTAATTGTGTTACAAAAAAGCATAAATTATAACAAGATTACACATATCAGACGTCAACTGAACTAATGCACGATGTGAAAGATACATTCCAGACCAAAAAAATTATAATTACAATTACAATTATAATAACTGTAATTGTTCAAATAATTAGAAAATATAAAAATATTTTATTATCCTTCCTATTATTGCTCCTCACTCAGTGTAAAACTATGTCCGGGGAATATGTACCAATGTGTATGCAAACAACTCATATGGGAGCAGCGAATATCGAGGACCCACTGTATCTACACCATCTTTGCTCCAGACCCCAAAGCAGACATGAATCTAGCAAAGTAGAAATAATCCAACACAAAAAAACAGAAGATAAAACTGTAGAAGGTTATATGCACCTTTTTGGGAACCAGTGAGGACTGTCTTCAGTGGTCCGCCTGGTGACTGAAAGAAGCCACAACTGGGAACAAGAATTGGATTGGGCGATGAATCGAACCAGTCCCGACACTGGGAGTACAGTCGACCAATGACATAAGGATACATCTCAGCAAGGGAGTATAGCCTGGCGAAGATTTCAGTGTAGAAGACGGATGGGTCTTTAGGGATTTAAAAACACAGGATTTAGTAGAAAAGACTACTGTGACATCGTAATCGAGTTACGTGAGTACACACTGAAGAGCTGAATACATATTTAGTCAGCGTGAGAGTATGACACAGCACCTTAAATGTGTTCCAACAGAAAATTGGAACACAGAAATTTTTTCATTTTATGGAACCTTGGAGAAGTGTGAAATAAGCAATTCAGAAAACGTTACTGGCATACTGATCTGAACTCACCCATCTGTCCCTCTATACTGTCGAAAGTAGGTTTCATGAGTAGGAACATGTCCCGGACCAGTTCGATCTCAGGACAGTCGTGGACCTCCAGGCAGAGTGACAGGTCCTCGATAACGCTGGCCACCCCACAGGTCGTGGTCTGACACCATAGCCACTCTGCATTGCCTGGTAAAAATGAGTGATCTGTGGGCACCGTCTTCGTAATACCAGCATAGGAATGCTGAACCTGGGTACATGATCTGTTATTCACCCTCTCTGTTTCGGTGAGTAACAGGGGTCAACATCATAGCGGATTTTTATGAACATTTTTATCAAAATGCAACATTTTTATCATGGGTATGGTATTTAAAAACAAAGCCTGCATCAGGGCTCTTCAAATCTGGTCCTCGATTCCAAATATAGGCCTTGTTTTCAGTTCTCCCAGGTACTTAGTTTAATAATTATTGATTCTGATTGGCCACGGAGGCTTCACACCTGGCTTACAGGTAATGGAAGGCTGGAAAATCAGCAGTGCTCGGACCTCGAGGACCATGATTTGAATAGCCCTGGTCTACATATTTTTCTTCTCAGTCAAAACACTTTGTCACGGACATAGATGAGTCTTGCCACAGACACGGTTGTCTGTGTGTGGCCGGCTTGACGATTCCTGGTGAGTAACGCAGACACGGTCTTACCGATGACTTCCTGACGCAGTTCCTGCCAGCTCCCTCCATGAATCAGATGGTAAGGTAGCTCTCGTAGCTTTCGTTTATTGGCAACACCCTCAGCAAACCATAAGGGCTGAGAGATCACCTGAAAAGGCATGAAAACACCTTTCAGCATTTACCAACAGGGCTCCTCAGGGCCTCGTGTCTACAGGAAGTCCCCAGGTTATGAAAAAGATCTGTTCCGTAAGTCTATCTTTAAGTCAAATTTGTAGTCAACACAGGTACATATGGTTCTTATTTAGCATCAGTTAGTCAAATGGTTGTCTTAGTATATAGTAATGTTTTCATGAGTGTCATAATGTGTGTGCATTTGTTATTATAAACCATTGTATTTAACATTGGATTTTTCATATAATAGACTTTATGGCATCCATTCATAAGTACAGGTTGTCTGCAACTCGGACGTTCTTAACTCAGGGACTGCCTGTATATGGGCCTTCATATGAGGAATTCAGGAACGGTTATTTCATTATTTCATCAGTGAATTTTGCAATACATAAATACCTTCCTGTCAGCATTCAGTTTGGTTTGAAAGGAAGGCAGCTGGAGATGTTTGACTCTGCCCTGGCTCCAACGCCCCAGGAAGTACTCGGAAAACACCTGGTGTCTCTTGGTCCTCTGCTCTGAAGACAGGTACATCTCCTGCACCATTTCAGTAAAATGCCTGGCAAGTGTACAATTATACACTGAGAAATAGTCTAGCTAAAAGTGAGCCCATACAGTAGCTGACTGCTAGTAATCTATGAGTTAATCTCTGCCCTGTGACTCTGCATTGGATAAGTCATCGGAAGATGGATGGATGAAAACATGTCCAGTGGTTTCCAAATGTATATATTCATATTCCCTATAAGAAATGTGTCTTACGTTACCTATTATAGAAACCAAGCACCTTGATCCCATCTGCCTCTTTCTCCAGCAGATATTCATCAATGTCATGCCTCAGTCGTGTCCACAGCAAGGGGGGAAGACGGACTGCAGTGTGATTTATAGGCAGCTTGTACTGGTACACCTCAGCTAGTACCTCATCATCCAGTGAAAGCAGGTCACGAAGCTCCGCCTCTGATGCCCCATCTCTGAGAAAGGAAATGATACAGTATTACAATAAGCTCAAGTAAAGACCACCTCATTGGTATATTGAGATGAAACAAAGGTGCGTCAAATTAAACAATTTTATACCTTGATGATACAATGTATCCAAGTGCAGAGCCGACCAGTAACTTCCCATGTTTCTCCTCCAGGCCCTGGAGTAATATGTAGACAGCCTGCTGCAAGGTGGTGCCTAGCTGCTCCTCTGAAACTGGGGTGTATGACGCCCAATGCCTTGCTGTGTTCAGAGCCAGCATGAGCAGCAGTGGATTGCCAGAGATCTGTATGATGCTCAGAATCACATTGTGCTGCTCTGGAGTCAGGCAACGCTTCATTTTGCTCATGTAAGCGTGGATGACATCTTTTCCTTGATCAAACGTCAACTGCTCAACCTCAAAGAAGTTTTTTGGTTCTATCAATCCCTCCAAGTTATTTAAGATATGTTGACTGTTCTCCTGCGTGGACACCACAAGATGGACATTTGGAGGAATCTCTTTGGGAAGCCAGTATAGCCTGTGCGCATGACAGGTCTTTGAAAGACAGTCTAGGCCGTCCAGTATAATGAGAAGTGGCTGCCTCTTTTGTGATACCCTGGTAAGAGTGAGATGAAAAAACCTTTTTAGAGCTTCATAGTTGTTGGTGGTTAGTGAGTTTGGCAGCGGCAAACTACAGGCTCCGCATATTTGTAAAGAAATGCTCCTCAGGACAGAGCTGATGTCAGAACTCAAGGGAGAGCTTCCTAAAAGCCTGAGGACAACAACAGCCTTTGGGCCCAGAACCCCACGCATCTCCTGCGCCAGTTTGCATAATAGCGCGGTCTTGCCAATTCCAGAAGGTCCATACACAACGAGTGGAGAGTGACTGTCACTGGCAGATTCCCACATGTGGAGACAGATCCTGCCCAAGAGATGTTCTCTTCCACAAAAGACAGCACACTTAGTGGAACTTAGCACCAGGTGATGGCTGATCTCCTTCAGCAACCAGCACCACTCTTGATCTGGTGTCTGTGCTGTTGCCCACTTGATCTTTGCCTTCATTTGAGAAACAAATTGTTCACAGAAACTTTGGAGATACGAGGCATGTTCTTTGCAGCCAGGATCAATTCTGCCTTTCCTAAGCTCCAAACAATGCAAATTCAGAAAGCCAGAACACGTGGCATAGATGCGGGCCTTGAGCGCTGACAGAAGGTCCTGCGCTTCGGTATCTACCAGACCATCTGCAGTGAAGTCAACGAACTTGCTGAGCGCCCCCTGGCTTTTGTTCTTTTTCAGCCGTGGTAATTCCCTCACAAAAACCACAGCATGCTGGTTGTTCGTTTGAATCCCAAGGAGGCCCTGTCCAATCTCCCACTCGCTCACTGGAAAGTAGAGAGGTGGGGAAAAAACACTTAGGTGACTGTTTTATAACCTTCTGGAAAACTTCAGCTTGTATTCTATCAACGAATACACAGTTCAATGCAATTCTCAGACCAGATTTAAAGTATTTCTGTTTCTGCTCTGTGCTGAGTTCTCCTTCCTCGGAAGCCTGCAGGGCAGCGGTACGGAGGAGCCCCAAAATCCGAGCCTCGGTCAGTTGCCAGCTGATGACATCACTGTCATGCGAGGAACAATCGTCAGATCCAATGTCAGAATAATAAGGGAAGTGAGTGCTTATTGGCTGCAGGACATATGTGGGCAGAGCAGAGTTATCATCTTTCCAGAACCACTGGCTCAAGAACCTTATTCCCTCCTCATTCTGAGCCAGTTTGGCCAACAGCAGCTCAAACTCATTCTCTGGGATCAGCCGGGGAATAGGGCGATGTCCATAGCAATTTCCCAGTAGAACCTTAAAGGACCATGGATTTAAAAAAAATTAGTATCACAAAAAGCAGTAACATTAAGAACCTTTATTCAAACCTTCAACACTCAAAGCTGCATACATAATACTAGAAAAGCTAAAGATGTGTTAAACTCACAGTGATGCTTGGGCCCACAGAAACCCTCTTACAGGACTGTATCTCCTCTAGACACAGTTCAGTGGTCATATGATCCACAGCAACCACATGACAAACTCCCCATTTTAAATCCACAACCTGGAAATGATATTAACACAAGTAGTATCTGTCAAGAACTACAAACATTAACATTAAATAACCTGGCAGGACCTAATTGGGGTTCCCTGCCCCAACAGTAAACTAATACATAAAAAAACAAATATTTCTGTTTATATAAAATATTTAGCTAAATAAAAATGTACTATATAATTTATTCCTAATTGTCTAAAATGTTCTCCTTTGTGTTTAGTCTCTCCCTGTTTTTTATAAACAATTATTTCTCACACATGGCTTTGTCCCCAGACACCGTGGTGCCTTGGGATAGACCACAGGCCCCCAGCGACACTGCACTGCAGCATGGATGGATGGACCTGGCTACTGGCAGACTGCTGAAATATCTCCAAACATCCATCCTCCATAATTTATCTTCCAATACAAGGTCATGGTGCCCAACCAGATATTTTAAGAATCTAACCGAACGTGAGTTATACAGAATTAAATTCAGTAACCATTTAAATCTTTTCCCCCCACAAAACCACTAATATTAAACATTTTATCTTGCCTAAGTAAAACAAATGGCAAAACTAAGCATATCTGTAAAACTTGTAGATATGTAAAATTGAAATAGGAATTATAATGGATTTCCGTTTAACTGAATGCTAAAAAGGCAATTTAACAATAAACTCTGAGGCTTAAATATTCATTTTATATAACTATTTTTATAAATACCTAAACATGTAACATATTAACACAAGTAGTATCTGTCAAGAACTACAAACATTAACATTGAACAGTTCAATGCTTGAACACTTCATTTAGTGTGTAAGCAACTGGCTATTTTTCACAACATTAGTGCACATGATGTATTTATGTCTTTTATTTGTTCCATTATTTGTGCAATGAAATGTAATGAAATATAATGATACAGTAATTTACTTTGAATTATTTAATAATAAGTACTACTTGTGTGTAGTTATTAAGGCTATAAATAATCAGTCATAATAACAGTGCTGATAATAGGGTGATAATGATACGGTTACCCAAACTGAACTATGGCAGAGAAGCCTGCCACATGAATAATGTGAACGATTCATTTGATATTTTTTTATCTATTAAACCAAATGAGTCATTACTGGACTAATTTACCTGCACACCTACAGATATTTGAGATTCTCTTTCCCACCAAGACATCAATTCTATTGAGGTATGTTACTAATCATGAAGAGGCAGATCTTTTGCTTTTATTCTATCAATGATCATGGTAAACAATTTAAAAAATGTATGAATTTTGCTGTTATCCATGCTATGGGTTTCTGTTTGTAAGTAGTCACAAGCAAATCAACACACAAAGAGTGTTACAGAGATTTTCAAGTCGTAAACCACACACCTCAAAGACTAGGCCCAAACTCTGACAGAAAGCTTGAAGTTCTGGATATGCCTTTTCCAATAAAGCATCCCTCTCGCTGCTCATATCTGCAAACAGCCAGGTCGATTGGATTCACTGTCAGTACACTAACATGAGTCATGTGTTGGCAAAGCACAGAGCCTGAGGTCAGCTGATGGACATCTCTTACCTGAGAAGGTTGAGCTAATGAAGACCCGCACCACGCTGGACCTGATCTCCAGATCCTCTGGTAACTGACCCATTAGCAGCCCTAAACCCACTGCTTCTTTGATTGACATATTGATCACTCACAACTCTCTGGGTCTTTGCGTTCTCTCTCCTTCAATCGGAGTCCAAATGCTTTCCAAAATTATATATTTGTTTAACGTCAACAATACCACAGGTGAACTATTAAATCTTGTCCCTAAATAGATCCTGAATCAATTTCCTGCCATTAAACTAACATACACTAGAAATTTATTTTAAGCTTATCCTCGTTTTTAAAAATGCAGCATTTTTAAATGATGAAATATTTATCTTGACAATGAAAGAATAAAAAAAAGTACCTTACAAGTCACTATCTTTGCTCATCGTAAGTACGGAGTACGCCACGAGTTTCAGACAAACTGCACTTGTGCACAGAAGGATGACATGCTGTTTTCTTGATTTTTTCATCTGACCCTCCCTGGAGAACCAGCACTCCAAGACAACATTCGTTTACAGTTTCTAGCCTGGATCATACTGCAGACCCATGGGGTGACATAATGCAGCTGAGACCCACACGGACGTAAGGCATGCAGCCTATCAGGCTGCACTCAGAAAATCTTTGGTGTTTACACCAAGCAATTGTGTTTCTCAAAATTATACTTCAGATGTGAAAGTGTAACTTTTGCAGTTTTCAAGGCTTGTTGAATGATCTAGTCAGTGATGACAGATCTCATTCCAGTTAATGAATCTTTCACTTTTTACTGCTTAATTTACAGACCAATAAAATAAATTAGCAGGTAAGCATTTGTATAGTATTGATACATTTTACATATTGTTAAATAATATTGCTTATTAAATTTTACATTGAATGTACTGTTAACAAAACACGAGTTTTCCCCCATACAGCCCTGACACTGTCCAAATTATCATCATGATCACCTGGATTTGCATTTGCCTCTACTGTAAATCTCCTGGGAAGTTTCCTGTTCCAAAGCTATTATTTTGCTCACAGGCTGGAACTTACACACTTGACTTTGCCGTAAGCTGAGACTTGCACACGTAATCCTAGACCTCCAGGGATGTGAGAAACAAAGTCTCAGCAAAAACAGCAGCTTTCGAGTACTTGCTATAGTACTGCATAGATTCAGTTAACCTTGTGTATAACAGTGAAAGGGAAGTCTTAGAGTAACATTTTAAAAATATAATTCCATCCATTTTCAATAGCCACTTACCCTATTGAACTTGCAGTGATCGAGAATCTAATTTGAGAAGCACAGGATAAAGTGAAAATACAATATTCTAAGATAAATTATGGAAGTTTACTATAAAAGAACTTCATCCATCCCTACTTATTCTGTGCAGGGCTGTGAGGATCAGGAGGCAATGGGCATAGGGCAAGAATAACCCAGGATGGGGTGTCAACCCATCACAGGGAACTCACACACCATTCGTAATTTGGAAACTCCAATTCACCTTTTTGGACAGGGGCAGTGTGGTGATGTAATAGCTAGAAGTGTGGCCTCACACCTCTGGGACCTGGGATCAAGTGTCTGCCAGAATTTCATGTGTGTGGAGTTTGCGTGTTCTCCCTGTGGGGTTGCCTCTGAGTACTCTAGTTTCCCACTAGTTCCTTCAGTAAGCTATGTAAGTAATGATGGGTTGGCACCCCATCCTGGGTTGTTCCCTGCCTTGTACCCATAGCTTCTAGGATAGGGTCTTTGGGATTTTTTTGCAAGCTGTTCGGTTTGAATGGCTTAGCAAGCAGAATTGTTAACTCACACCTCCAGTGGCCTGCACTACAAAGCGGGGTTACTGGCTTATCGGGGTAACTTGTCTGATTTAAGGTACCACAGTTTAAATGGACTTCATATTCGTTCACATACATTTTGCCCAGACGACCTTAAATCCGACAAGTTACCACGATAAGCCAGTAACCGCACTTCGTAGTATAGGCCCCTGGGCTGTGGGTTTAAATGCTACCCGGCTCTGTTTGAGTGTGGGTTTCCTCTGACAGTCCAAGCGCATGCAACTGGTGCCTCACTAACCACAATGTGCGTGTTTTCCCCCTGCTAAAAGCAATAAATAGAAACTAACCATGAGTTAACCATTAAGCAGGAAGAAAAAAAACGTGCAGCATTTTTTGCTTTTTTTCCTGCGTCTCTATTGCTGTCATTATTTTAGGAGCCCATGACTCGGCATTAGCTTTTAATATACATGAAAGAGCCATATCTCGTTGCAAAAGGCATCATATGTATTTTTTTCTCCTCACAATATTTTCCATCATTGTTTACAACCAGCTTTGTGACCTCCTCTACAAGTAGGGGCAGTGAGCTCCGGCAGCGTGGGCTTGAAGCAACCCGGACGCAGGCGTGACGCTTTAGACATGAGACGCGCAGACGGCCGCCCCCGTTTACCTGCTCCACACACCGAGACCCGGCGAGCAGCGGTAAGCCTGGAGTTTCCCATCGGTTAATCCGCCTTCACTCAGTGTTTGACAGCCGCGCCGTATGAGGCGCCACGCCACATGAATCCGCATTAAGAATAATGCCTGTAGGATAAGGAGCCGGTGATCTGAAGCCCTGGTTCCCATGGGAAACCCCATTGTGCGGTATTTAGTCCAGCATGTTTTTAGCTAGCCTTGTAGCTAAAGGAAGGCCGCACGGCTAACGGCTAGCAAGCTAATACGCTAACCGGCTAGCAGAGTAATAACCAGCTAATAAGCTAGCAGGGTAACAGGCTAATAAGCTAGTAGGCTAACAGGCTAGCCGCCACCCCTTTGCTGGAATATTCGGTTTCCACTGAACCGAACCGCCTCACTCTGCTGACTGTAAACTAAGTAGTTATTAGGGCGAGTGGAGAGTGACACGTCGACGTCGTATTTACCGGTGTGTTTTTTATCCTTTCCCTCACGCTTATCGTTACATCAACTCTGAGGTGGTGCCGGTACCGTAGCCTGGTTCCGTGGGCCGACTGGTTAAGTTTGCGAGTTTGTGATGAGTAGCTGACATGCCATCTGGGCTCTGCTGTCCCACTTAGATATATGTTAAATGTTATTGAGGCACTTTAGGTTTTAACGCGCTAACGCGCTTTCTTTCCTTAATCTACACATGTAGTGGCTGTAGATCGAGTGTTTGTATGGGCTCATTTTACGATTGTATTGCTGCATTTTCAATTAGAAGCGAACCGATGATAATGCTATTGGGTTATTACTCGGTTTTATTAATTTATTAAAACGTTTCTTTCTATGTGTTATATTAAGTATAATCCACTAAATATTCACATTTTTAATTGGGTCATCGTTAATTTAGCATTAAAATACACTGTTCAGTCGCTAATCAGTTTCACTTGTTCTGTCCTCCTTACAGCTGCTTACTTAAAATATAGCTGACAGAGATTAGACCTCCTGGTCAAAATGACAGACACAAAGCGTCTAGCATTCTCCATCATCCAGTTTCTACACGAGCAGTTAAACTCCGGAGGTCTGTCATCAGACGCACAGGAGAGCTTGGAGGGTAAGAGAAACACTGTACTTACCCTACAGCCATCTAATCACTAACCATTTCTTTTTACATTGATAAACGGGTTTGCATGTTCTTCTGTATTTTTTAGTTGCTATACAATGCCTGGAAACAGCTTTTGGTGTTTCAATTGACGACCAGAGCCTTGCAGTCAAAGAGACGTTACCAGAGATTTTTGCCCTGGCTACTTTAAAGGTAATCGGGTACAATTTCCTTAAAGCGGAGTAAAAGTGAATCAAGAATGTGGGCTTTCAGATGTCCTTAGTGAGAATGTATTAATAGATTCAGTGCTGTATTATATTAATGCTGAAATTCCATTTCTTTGTCAGTCCCAGGAGACCCCAGAAGTAAAGATAAACTTAGTGGCAGATTCACCGACTGAGGAGCAAGTCATTGAGGCAGAAAGACTAAAGACAGAAGGTTGGTCCCTGTAGGTGGTTAATCCTTTGGCTCAGTTAGTATTTTTGCATTTAAAATGTCTGGTGCCTTTTCTTTTTGTTTTTTTAAAGGTAACGACCAGATGAAAATCGATAACTTCAATGCAGCGGTGGAGTTGTACTCTAAGGCCATCGAGTTAAACCCGAAAAGTGCAGTGTATTATTGCAATAGGTATTTACCCTGTTTGTGCTTCTTTGCCCGGCAGCCTCATTTATACAATGTGACTTGCAGGTGCAGCAAGTGAATTAATTAGGTGCGCATATACAGTGCTTTAAGGGGTAAAGAATGTAATGAAATACAAGCTATATTATTCTGACAGGTGTTTGTGTGTGTGTGTGGGGAAAAATTCAGCAAGACTACGCAGATATGGAATGAAGTGTGTGTGTAGTTTTAGTATGTTCACTATCTTGGGTCACTGTAGCATAATTGCGATATGTGAAATTATGTGAATGATATCGTGATATTTTTAAAACAAAAACATGAAATTCCCTGAAATAGAGTATAGCCAAATAGAGCTTATTTTACCAATAATGTGCAGCAAAGAAGTTGGTAGTGTTACAGCGAGTTGTCAGCAAACATAAAGCAGTGCCAAAAAATGCAAAGTGATTGCGCCTGTGCACATGGCTATGATGCTGAAACAATGTACCGAGCAGCCCTATTAGCAATGAAAGGTTTCCTGTAGAGAGGTGTCTGCATAGCTAGGAACTCAACCAAAATCCCCCTTGAAATATATTTGTAAAAGTTGCTTTCTGATGTTTCAGGGCTGCTGCTTACAGCAAATTGGAGAATTACGCAGGGGCAGTACAGGACTGTGAGCTTGCTATTGGGATAGACCCCAGTTACAGTAAAGCCTATGGGAGAATGGGGTAAGTAACTGGCAGGGAGAGGCTCGGATGATGGGGTTCATCACCACTCGGCACTCTTTGGTGATAATGTGAATGTCTGTCTTTCTGTGAAGATTGGCTTTGGCAAGTTTAAATAAACACACGGAAGCGGTAAATTACTACAAGAAAGCGTTGGAGTTGGATCCAGACAACGAGACCTACAAATCAAACCTGAAGATCGCTGAGCAGAAAATGAGGGAGACATCAAGCCCGGTTAGTCAATACTGACATATCTGTGTGGGAGAAGAGGGGGATGTGGGTCACTAGCAGAATATGAGAGTGTATCTGACATCTTGCTGTGGTTGGCTGCACCATCTCGCTTTCACAGATGGGCGGGATGGGTGGAGTTGACCTGGCTGGTTTGCTTAGTAATCCTGGGTTTATGAACATGGTAAGAGCAAAATTTGAATTGATCTCCATTCCTCTGATGATCAAGTTATTTACTAACCCCTGGATTACTGTTTTTAATGGATTGTTATCTTTTGTTTCAGGCGTCTTCTCTAATGAACAACCCACAAGTACAGCAGCTGTAAGTGATGAGATGTGACCATTATAGTGACATGTTGTTGTGATAACACCTTTCAGTCATCTGATTTCAGCCAAATAAAAACGCCTTTAATTGCACGACCATCATGAAATTCTTTTTAGAGAAAAAGTAAGTGTGTAAGGTGATGGTGTCTGAACTGTCTTGCCTCCCTGTGCTGTTCAGGATGTCAGGGATGATGTCAGGAGCGTACGGTCCTGCTGGGGGGGCTGCTGCTCCTGGTGGAGGTGCCAATGACCTTTCTGGCCTCATCCAAGCGTAAGTGATATGGACGGACTCCAGTTTTCTGGCTCGTGTTAGCGTTTGCATACAGGTGAAGGGCTTTCACTTTCACTTTGACTTCCATGTCGCTTCTCATGTTCAGAGATCGTATAGATCATTAGAAGAAGCACCAGTGGAGCAGCTGAAGGGTGCATTCCAGAATGCTGCAACAGCATGTTGGGTACCTCTAGGGCTCCCCCGGTGGCTATATGCTGTAATGAGATGCCTGTTGGTCTTGCTTGATCATGTAGGGGCCAGCAGTTTGCACAGCAGATGCAGCAGCAGAACCCAGAGCTGATCGAGCAGCTGAGGAGTCAGATTCGCAGCCGAACGCCGAGCGCCAGCAATGAGGATCAGCCTTGATACTCACACTGGTAAGGCTGCTGAGGGGTTTAAAAATCTGACTCGATCACATAAGCATGGTGCATAAACTGTGACATTCTCCCGGTAATTTTTATGTTTTATCTTTTTTTTCAGATAACAATATATTCATCAAGTGAAGACATTCTGCCCTCATGTTATTTTCATTTATTTTTTCCAACTCCAGGGATAAAGTGTTTAACTTGCATGTCTGGCCCCTTTTGTCCGTCTGACTATTGTTTAAAATAAAAGAGGAAAATCTACAAAACCAAAAAAAAAATACTGAAGAGAGATTGTTTCTGGAAAAGTCACAGCAGTTTTCACAACCATGTAAAGGTCACATTCATTATAGTGGAGTAAATACTGTCAGTGTAGCATGTGGTTTAGCTGTCATGCAGATCCATTCCCAGCAGGAAAACCCTTTCATATAAGGAAGTAATAATCCGCTCCCCCAGGAGCCAAACTTAGCCTGTGAATTTATTTTTCTTCATGACATCAATGCAATTATTAACATTTGCACAGCTGTTTGTATAAGAAATGGCCAACTACATCATTCTGAGCTTTCAGTAGTGTATCATTAACTGAACTTTTTTATGACGTCCTTTATTGGTTGTGTGAGAAAAAGCAGTTCATGCAGTCTTCCCTAAGAGTTCCATAAGATTTTGTGAGTTGATTATTTTTTAATTACAGCCTCCTAAAACTGCTCCTTCCTGATAACTTGTTTCATTCTCTCTCTCTCTCTCTCCCCCCTGTTTGATTAAACCAATCTATGGACTTCTTGAATGTGACTGTCTTCATTAATCTTTTTGTCTACTTCCTGTTGCGGATCCATAACACCAAATTGAGGTTCACCAACAGCCACTGTACCGCTGTCAGTCTAGGGGAAAAATTGAATCCCCTTCTACCCCGTTTTGTTAGTTTTCCCACTGTTTCTTACAGTTGGTTATATTGACAGCTCTAATTCAGTCCATTCTGTAGATAAAATTGTGTTTCCTTGGAGAAGGAGTTTTGCATTGCATGCAGTCTAGTTGAAATAAAGATTTTGAAACGTGGTATTTAGACACGATGGGAAAATGTGATTTATTTCTTTGGGAGGTGATGTTTGCACTTGGCATGTGAGCATGGGGGTGTCAGTCTCCTCTAGAAGCCCATTAGAATCACTCCCCATATTTGCCATAACTAGGAAAGCTAGCAAGAGTGGGCAAACATAATTAGCAATAAATACATTTCCCATTAAATTAATTTGGTTAATTACTAAATAAATATGACAACTAAATTTTTATTTCTTTAATTGGACTATAATAAAACAGGCTCACCATTTAAAGGGCTTTAACTAAACAACACTTTACATTTTAAATATTTGAATATGGACCTATGATCAAAAACTATTTTTACTCTTAATAAGAAATTACAGCAGGAGCCGGCTCCAGCGGCTCACACCTGCAAGGTTTGAGCTCTGTATACGGAGTTGGCATGCTCTCCCCCTGCTAATGACCCCCCATGCTATCCAGGGGGCACCCCAGCTTTCTGGCCTACGCTGCCTAAGATAGGCTCGACCTTGACCACGATAAGCGGCTTGCAAAGGGCTGGGAGGAAAAAAAACACGGGAAAACGCTAACCTGAAGCCAGAGTCATTTAAAGGGGAAGGTTAAAAAAAAGTATGCACGTCAGACTTTAGCGTAATTCATGATGAAAGAATTGTGATTGAAAATATTTTTCTCCAATCATCGATAAAACATTATTCCACGTGGCCAATAATATTAAAACGGGGGAGGGACTTACAGGAGGTGCCCCGGCAGAAGACGGAAGTGAAGCCGAAGAAGGATGTGAAGGTGAAAGCATTTTGTTTACGTCCTTATATCCCCGTATCAGGTAGTTAACTGTTTTATACTAAGCAGGTCTACTGGTTTACGTGCAGCTTGATTTTCGGATGAGCTTCCGTACCTCGTAACATACAGTACGTTATTATGAAAGCTGATAAAATCCAGTATCGATGGCTCTTTCGCAACTAGAAATATCCTGGCGGTTTTTGTAATTTACCTGCAGTTTTCACAAAATAAAGGTGTGATGCATCAAATGATAATTTGTAAAATACCAATGTATATATGTACTGTGTGGCATTTCTGGACGATGAACCAAGTCATTGAGCCAGAAAAATATAGTTTTTATTAGTCGTTTACGTTTGTACATTAGAATGTGGTAATTTAATATTCCGTGTGTGGTTTATGTAAGACATTACTTAAATGCTGCATGCACGTATAAAAAAGTTCTCTGTTATTCTTAATTTTCATGTGTAAAGTGTAATTGTCAAGAATTTTAATGACCAATGTAAGTACTGCGTTATTGAAGGATAGTCTACATATATTTGATGAAATATACCATATGTTTTATCACCTTATTTTTATAGTTTTGTAAATGCTGATGTTACTGTAAGTATTAAAATACATATTCTTACCCTCAGCTGGACACAGAGCAAAGATGGTTTTTGAAGTCTTGCAAGGGAGTTTCTTCCCTCTTTTCCCCTGGTGACCCAGCAGAGTGGAAGGCAGCGGTACGCCGTGGTCGCCAGGTGCCCCTGTAAACCGTCCATCTCTGGCAGCAATGGAGATCATTGTGGCCAAAGTGCTCTGTCTCCTGGGAGTGTTTGCTCTCATGCTGGCTGGAATCCTCATCCCAGTGAGGGTCCTGCAAATTGACTATGAAAAAGCCCAGCGATACAGGAAGATTTTAGCTCTCTGCAATTCTTTTGGTGGCGGTGTCTTCCTGGCGACCTGTTTCAATGCCCTCCTGCCTGCAGTGAGGGAGAAGGTATGTTGAGAAAAACCGTAACATGCTTCTAACTTTCAATACTCGTTTTACGTTAATGAAAAATGAATACATTGAAGTTGCCTGACCTTTTTGTTCTTTCAGGTGCTCCTTGTCCTGAACGTGGTGCAGGTTCAGACAGACTACCCCCTGGCAGAGACCATGATGATGCTTGGGTTTTTCTTAACAGTGTTTGTGGAGCAAACAGTGCTGACTTTCCGCAGAGAGAAGCCATCTTTCATTGACTTGGAGACATTCAACGCAGGGGGTTCAGAGGCTGGCAGTGACTCTGAGTACGACGCACCATTTATTGCACCCCCCAGGGCCTCTGTTCGCGGTCCCCACCAGGACGGCCACCACCACGGACGCCTCAGCCCGTCAGAGATAGCGCGGGCAGGTCCGCTGAGGCTCGCCAGCCTGGTGCTGGCCCTGTCTGCCCATTCTGTTTTTGAGGGGCTGGCTCTGGGGCTGCAGGAGGATGGGGTCCAGCTGGGAAGACTTTTTGTAGGGGTGGCTGTTCATGAGACCTTGGCCGCTGTGGCTCTCGGCATCAGTGTGGCTAAGGCGGGCCTGTCCATGCGGGACGCTAGCAAGCTCGGGGTCACTGTCAGCCTCATGATCCCTCTGGGAATAGGGCTGGGGATGGGCATCGAGAGCGCCCACAGCCTGGCCGGCGACATCGCTTCTGTCGTGCTCCAAGGCTTGGCCGCTGGCACGTTCCTCTTTGTCACCTTCTTCGAAATATTGTCCCATGAGCTTGAGGACAAGCATGACCGTCTACTCAAGGTTCTCTTCCTCATTTTGGGATACGGTGTGCTTGCAGGCCTTGTCTTCATAAAATAGCGACCCCTGGTGGCGGGGAGGGGGTTAGCCTAAGTGAGGTGCTGAGGTACTCCGATGAGGCTGTTAATTAACCAGCATTTCTGAAATCTAAGACTGGTAGTAATCTGATAAAGGTCACCCCAGCAGCCTTCCCTGGATCCTTTCACCATTGTCTGTTATTGTGGTTACCTGCCGACTTGGGCGATTCAGTTCCAAATTAAGGACCTGTCACTGTTTTAATACCTGATGTAGTTTACAAAGGGGCAGCTGGGCCTGATGCTCACATTTATTTATTAAATGATGCAGAATTATAAATTCTTCTTCTGAAATATTTACATGAGGTTTCTTAAATATTACCACAAGAGGTATTTCATTTAGTGTAACTACATTTTGTATACGTTAAAATAATTCATTTCAGAGGGTGTATTTATTTTGTAATGAAATGTGTGTCTAATCTGTCCCTTTTGTATGATGTCAGTTAGGTAAATATAATTCAGTGTTTAGCATATCTGTGATTTGGTTAAAATATATCATTTTATGTTGGTTAATTTATTTCTGAAGTGAATTTCTAAGACAAAAAACCAGGGATTTTTGATTATATGACTGATTGATGATATTCAGTGTGATGATCCAGTATGTATCGGTGATTTATCATTTTGATGCAGTTAGTTGAGGTTATATAAGGTTTTATTTTGTAGAGGGAATGCTGTTATTTAAGGGTTTGAAGGGTTTGTCCATGCCTGGAAATATTTTTGTCTCACAACAGAAGCTCACCTATAGACCAAGTAGATCTACAGGGGAAAAATTAAGATACAGGTTGAGTAGATAGTTTATTTTCAGTTTATTTGGCTTTTTATCATGCCACTTTTATGTGAGTTTTTCTTAAGAGCCAACATACTTTGTAATGTTGCTAGACGTCTCTGGGTGGTGATTACTGTTCATTACGCTCAGCATATGTATGTCTCTTTGGCTGGTTTCTGTACACTTCTGTGCTTAAATGGTGTTTCTTAGGAAAACCGGGAGTGTATTTGTATTTATGGTAGTAAAGCAGACAAAACCCTAAATATGGTACCATCAAGTAAAATGTTGATTTTATAAAACAGATTAGGATGTGAATGTGTAGTTCTGGTAAATTTGTATAGAAGTACATGCATTATGGCTGGTTGGAAAACTTGTGCCAGTTTTAAAATTGACATCTTTATGGGCTGATGTCTGGCCAAATTGTGAAATGAGATCTCATTTCCTTTGATTTTATTATGGACCTTAATCGAAATTTTTTACTGCATGAGTATCACACAAAATGACACTAATGATACACCTGATGAACAAGCTACAAGGATCCATGTTTCAATGCTTTCTACACAGATAGTTCTGTAGAAGGAAGTACTTCGTAGTAATAAAGTCTGTGTTAAATTATGTAAATATTTGCTATGACTGACACTGCTAAAAAGTCAAATAGTTACATATCTCCATAACAAATGAAGTGTAAGTTTAAAGTGATTAAAGGACCATTAAGTGTGTCAATTTCTTTAGAACAGTTTGATCATTCATTGTAACAGGTAGTTCACCAGCACATCTTGATACGAATCATTCTGCAAAATGTATCTTTTCCTGACATTTCCTTTTTATTTGGACACCTGTGGTGATGGTGAAATGATTTAAAACTGTCAAAATCAGGCGTAAATAATGTGCCAGAAGTACGGAGGTTTTTTGAAAGACTGGAAGGTGATTAAGCTCTAATGTATGAAGGCTGATGTGTCATTAGTCATTGTCCAGTTATGTTAGTGTTAAGGAACAATGGGAGGGTAAAGCGTCAATCACAGATAACATTTATATTTACATAGTGACACCTTCTGTGCTATAAAACTTATGAGCTCAGTGACACTGCACTTCTCACGGTTCTTGTACTAATCCCATTACAAAACTGAGCCCATAGTATATCTGGCTCTGGACTATATTTGCGCTATTGTCTACTGCTATGCATGTATAATGTACATATCTATACACATCTATAGTTCCATATTTATATGGACATATTAATATGTGCTTTACCCAAGTGTTTTTCCTATTTTATTACCCTTTGTTGAATCACCCAGTCTGTTGGAAACATATAAGTAAGCTCACTGTAGTCAGTACTTGTTCTAGTACAAATGACAACCCTTTGAATCCTTTGGATCTAAATGCATCAACATGACAAATTCTGTAATAAGAAATAAGCAAAAGTATCCAAGCAGAACAGGAAAACCAAACGCTTTTCATGCTGGCACCCAGATCTTTCACCCTGTGCCTGCACTCACCATCTCTGGATTCCACGGTGGTGGAGTTTCCCTCCGCTGTGCTGTGCTATTTCCCACTTCCAACTGTCCCCCTTTACTGGCAGTCAGACATGAGTTCCTGCTACTCTGACTGCCAACGTGCCGCTGCTCCAGTGCCACTGCATGCTAAAGATGATCAGGTTCCAGCTTCTCTATGTACCCACATATTAGCAGAGATCACACTGGGCTTCACAGAACGTGCCGAGCAGGTGACGGGAGAGCGAAGCTGACTGACGTGTCGTAGCATTACTGGGAGCCTCACAGGGGGTGAGCTCTGCAGGTCGGCCTGCTCCCATGTGGGGGGGGGTAACTGTACCCAGTTGCAAAGGGAAGATCTGATAGCAGCGTAGGGCCCCTTTGACATTGAATGTCCAGAAACGGAGCCACAAATTTGTTCTCAGGGACATGCTAGTCACCATGACAACAAGTCTGTTAACTCATTGTAAATGACTTCTTCCCACAGCTGTAGGCATTTTCCCTTTTGCCATCATATTCCTGATGGCTGGACATTTAGCTAACCTGTTATTTCTAATTTTGTCATCTTCTACCTTGTTTATTGCACTGTCTGATGTTGTGGCAATTTCATTGCACTGCTGGGGTACCACTACATTCACGCATATGACAAGCAAAAATCTTGCATCTTGAAAGATCCATCCAATGTCGTAAAGATGTAGGCATGTACACACTTACTGTACTTGCAGGGCTTCTTGTCTATAATTTCCCCTTTTCTACCTTTATTCTACTTCTAGATTTTGACCAGGAAAACCCAAACTTTGTTCGATACCCCCTGCAGACTCATCGCCATGGTAACCTAGGACTCCAGATGGTGTACAGCTGTCTTGTGAGATTCTGGAGGCATTACATAAATAATACAGTTTATACACAAAGAATTTACCTTGTGTTGGTTTATCATTTGAGGGAATCAGATACATGTCTAATATGTCACAGTGGAAGCACTGTGCTGAAGGCACCAGATATTGTCACCATAATTCCAAATTATAATCTCATTAGGGTGTCTTCCAACCCAGAATAATTCATGAAGTTGCTGCTGGAAATCTGAGAGTGTCATGTGACTGCGGGCATTTGCCACAAGCTCCCTGAAAATGAGTGAGTCAGTGACTCCGCCCTTCTCTATGCAGCTCAGTCATCTAGCCAATCACCATGAAGTGCTTGCTGGCACACGGCTTGTGCAGCCCGGTGATGTGACCGTCGCCATGGATTCTGTCAGAGGCGATGGCTGCCATGCTTATTGCATGGGTTAATGGATGGACAGGCCTCCATCAGGCAATTAAATCAAGGTAATTCACCTCTTCACACATGAATTATTCAAAAACCGATGCAAAATTTTTAAATTCTTTCCCTACAGTATCCTGGATTTGATAGGCAAGGTTGGCCAAACTCCTCCTCTTCAGAGCACAGGTGGGACTGACCATCCTTGACTAAGCTTTTCCCCCGACCATGCAGCTACCGACACCATGAACTTACTTAAAATAGCCCTAAATCAACTGTATACAAGAGCGAATTTCATGCATGAAAGGGTTTAATTTAGAGCACTGTCACATTCAATCAGAGGCAAAGCAAGTCTCTGTGGGGGCCCTAGGCAAAAGAGATGCCCCCCCCCCCAACAGCATTCATAACCTGCTCTCTCAGTAATCTCACTACTGTCCAAATGCGAAATGCGAAACAGAGAAATGCTTCTCCAAACAGCTGGACCACATTCTTAAGTTCTCATAATTATCTTCACTCTTACCAATGTCCTGCTTCCACTTTTTTTCTTGTCTGCTTTCTTTTCTGCTTTATTTTTGCCCGGTTTGGGGGTTCCACTCAATACACAGTATTTATGTATAACCCATATGTTCTCAGCTGGGGGGGGCGGGAAGGGGGGTGGTCTCTGTCATCGAGATGCTTCAGCTTTGTTGTTGTGGCCGTGAGAATAATGCAGTCAGTCGTCCCTCCATACAGCCATATAGCGACTGCCTGCATTGCCTGTGCTGTTGCAGCACCTCTGCAGACCCATTGTCACTCTGCTTTGAGTGATAACACAATGGCGGTGGGACACTTTCAATGGGTACAATGATTCCATATGTTCACCTCTTCCTGGTAGCAGCCAGTAAATGGAGTTGCTGGAATCCCACAAGCCAGCCTTTTCACTACACAGCGTTTGTCCTGCATCAGTGAGATTACCCCTAGGTAACATTAATGTGGCTAGTAACTGGCTGTTGTAAGCACAGCATTAATAATTTCTGCTTAAAACTGCTATGCCTCAACTGCATGTTTTAGTAATAATATATAAATGCCAATTGAACTTGAACCAAGAGTTACTTTTTACCAGAAACGTGGCATGATGAAGGTGAGGAAATGAGGGTGAAGAGCCACTGAGCAGCTCCGTGATAAAGGGTTTATTGGATAAAGCAGAACACAACAGGGAAAACAATAGAAATCAAAAGAACCATGATAGACCAAAACAAAACAGGCAACTTAAATACACACAATCAGGCTAACGAGGGCGCAGGCATAGAACATAAGACAATCAAGGAAGGCATGGAGATAACGAGCAACAGGTGAAATGAATTATCAACAAACAGCCAAGACGCTGGGGAACTTAAACACCAAAAACTAGGATACATTAACAACGCACATGAATGCAACACTAGGATAATGATATAACACAAATGTACAAGCAGGGTGAACCTTAACTGAGAAAAAACTTAACTAATAAACACCAAGAAAGGAAGAAAACCAACAAATACAGACAACCGGTGACCTGTACTACGAAGCGGGGTTACTGGCTTATCGGGGTAACTTGTTGGATTTAAGGTAGTCTGGGCAAAATGTAAGTGAGCGAATATGAAGTCCATTTAAACTGTGGTACCTTAAATCCGACAAGTTACCCCGATAAGCCAGTAACCCCGCTTCGTAGTACAGGCCACAGGTGAGGCTGGCCAGCCTCGAAATCTCGATTAGAGGATTAATGCCTCTGGGCCACACACTCAGCCTGTTAAGTGGGGGGAGAACCCACTGGGGCTGAAGGGGAAGAGATAGGGAGGAGAAAGGAGGGATGACCGGCGACGCCGGCTGACCAAAACAGGAGAGACACATGAAGGGCAGGGTCAGGTTACCCTGACAGAAAAACAAGCAGATAGGCTTTCAATGGTAGCAGAAGTTACCATTTTACTACAGGAAATCAGTTAATGGTACTTGATAGCAGGTGCTTTTGCAGGGTATAATTTTCCCTATTTTGGCTTACAAAGAGATGCTTGTTGATGCCCTGGCTGGAGGCACCACTGCTCTAAAAAGCAGCTCTGAGAAGGTAGACATTTCCGTGTCCACCAATCACCATGCTGCATGGGAGGAAGGAATTTCAGACAAATACTACAGTGAACAACTTTACTGTTTGGCCTTATTTTTTCAATATCACCTAATCATATGCTCTGGAATGATGCTGAGCAGAGACTTGCAGGAACCGGGAGGAGGTTGGGGGGATTTCAGTCCTCAGACAGCCTCAACCCCTCCCACCGGTGCACATGCCTCCTCTGGAGGGCTAGAATACAAAACATCTTGCTAATTCAGCATCAGCTATCTGGTCGGACAGTTTTAATATGATTAAACCATACTTGTCTGACCGAGGAGCAATAACACTAATTTAGATCTAAAATCCTTTTGAGAAAGAGTACAGTCTCGTTTGTGTGGAGAGCTGTGACCGCTACTTGGTTGCCTCACCACTGTCATACAGACTGACCCAAATTTAAATTAGGCCATGGTCACTCAGAAACTGCTGTGCAGTGAACACAGACATTAATGATGGAGAGCATCTACCTTGCTGCATGCAGACCGTGGAGAACACTGCAGCAGCAGCTCCACTACTGGCCAGCAAAGATATTTTTTTATAAAGTGATTAGAGATGGTGTTGGAGAAACCAGCTGTTACGATATCTGCCAAGTCCAACCCAAAGAAGATGAAAAACAATGTTGACTACGCCAGATTCTGGATGTATTCAAGCTCTTCGCATTGTGTCTTTGTGTCACGGAGAGAAAGAAGGGACAGGCGAAAAGGGAATTTCCCCACTGGATCTATACAAATATCATTACATCATTACACCGTATAACAGGTGCAAGTCACGGCAGATCCGGCTTGTGCTTATATTGTGAAACGGAAATCACATATTTTCCCTGTTAACCGCAGAATTAAGTGTACTCTGCAAAACAAACCCAAAGTATGTGCTTCCGAGCCAAGAAAAATCCCGTGAGCTGCCAGTTTGCGCTGCGCGGTCTCACCATCAATGGACGTCACATTGTTGCGCAGCGTTCGTGTGCAAAACAGCCGCTTATCGGAAGAGTGCAGCAAACGGTGGGTCTTACCATCTTTTAAAAGAGTTTATTTTAAGCAACGATTTCAGTAAAATAGTCTAAAAACTTCTGGATTCAGGCTACAACCAGAGACGCAGTATTACTTACGAGCGGTTTCGCTCATCTCCATACTACGACAGACCACGTATCCTTCTTGTTTCTCCGTTGGCAGAAACTATTTGCTTTTAAACCAAAACGATCCTCGCTTTAGTAGATGTGACACGAGTTTTGCTATTGAAGGATCAGTCTTTGATGTAGGGCTTACCAAGTATAGTTGACGGAGCAAATACGCAGAATTGGTGGATGAAGCATTTATTCCTATACCTGGATTGGTGTAATAGAGTTAGAATGTTTTTTTTACATACCAGAGATGGAAAAAGTCCACAGCAGTTAGGAGGAAGTAGAAATCCCACGAACTTCTCATTGTACCAATATGTCCAATAGAATTACAATTCAAATTCATTGGCGGAACCAGCACCCTCTAGTGGTGAAACAAATCCTCGAAACAGAGAACCATCCACACCTTGGTGCAGAACCATCGCCAAGCTCAAATATAAACACGACGGGTTTGTTCCCGTGGAGTAAACGTTCTACCCATCTCTGATTCACTCCAGAACAAGAAACCATAAGCGATCATCTTTATTTTTCCTTCAGCTTTCAGGAAAAGTGATTAGACAATACACATGAACATAATTACCTTAAATACGTAACCCCCCAAAAAGCAAATCGAATTAAAAAAAACTTAAGATTACAAATTTTAATATACAATATGTAAAATAAATAAATCCTTCCTATGCGTTTGCCACCAACAGCCAAACCACTGTTCCTGATCTTAAAATAAGGGTTTTTAAAAAAACCGGTGATACATTATGAAATCCAGTTCTTAAAAAAAGTCATACAGCAATGTTAAAAAAATAAAATGTGCCGAAGGGCTAAGACTATGACAACCTTACAGTACTAAGTAGTACTATTTAAAACTTAAAGGAAAATCAGGTACACATTTCTTCCACATCAAAGGAATGCATGAAAAACGTCCAAAAACAAAAAAACAAAAACCTGATATGACGAGTGATCACGAGAGGAGAAACTGGGAAAACTGAAAGTTTCTAGAGACTGCTAGGTTAGAGCAGCGTCTTAAGTTATGGAGAACTTTTCAATTTTATGAACGAGAGCAACTACGCCGACCTGTGCATGTCTATTCTTTCAAAATACAGATGTATAAATTCTTATATCTAGATAAGGGTGTCAACTACAGGGAATCGACTATGAACACTTAACAGTGAACAATACTAGAGTACAAACACAGATAATGCAAAATGACCTCAAGGTTAAAGGTCCACCCACATGCTGTCAGCAAGAAAAGGTTGCTGGGTTATCAGCAGGGTTCAACTTGGGGAAATAACTCATTTTAATTGAAAAGCTGAGGCAAAAACTATTTTAAAGTGTCTTTACGTTATATCACTGAATAAATTAACGTGAAATTCATCTGCAAGGGTAAAAAAACATTTACAGACCATGTTAGCTGTACTTAAGCTTTAAAAAGGAAAAAAAATGCATTTTGAGGTGGATCCCAGCAACTGAGTCGCCAAAGTTTGTCTGTAAACACTTAACAGTCCAACAGTACGGGATAAAATTGTATGCTGGCACAAACTAATTCACTGTGTGCTTACAAACCAACAGATCATGCAATTCAAAAGGTTATGTATTTATCATCTGTAAATCTCTGTCCGATGGACAATAGTAACACGCCTACGGGCATTTTTAAAAGCAGGAAGCAAAGGGATGGTAGTTTTCCTATTTCTGTCCTCTTCATGTTGTCCCAGTAAACAAAAACTAGAACTAAATACCTGTAGAAAAAGAATAAAAACAAAAGAAAACAAAAAAAAACAACAAAATGTCAGCAAAACAAAAATTTAATGGTCATAAATGCAGAAGAAACAAAAAAATAGCAAAGGCAAACTACCACAGTAAACTGAAAAGCTTCACTTTCAGCTTCCAGAGCACGAAACAAAAGCCGACTTCAAACAACTGGCTATTAGGGATGAACAACCTCTCCTGATGCTCAAATGTTTGAATGAAAGGAAAAACACCAGACTTGTGAATTTCTAAACATTTCAGCAAAATCCAATCTAGTGGGTAAACAACTACGGGATGGCCCGTGACCACTTACACCTTAATTTCCTTCAGTCTCTTTGGTCCTCCTTTATATAGTATTCCAAGTCTTGACTAGGTCCCCTACAAAACCTTAGCTTTTTATACATATAAAAAATGCATGCAACTGCCAGTGTATCACAAATACCTATGTAGACTGTTCTTCCATATTGTTCTAAACCTCTGAAGCATGCTATGCTCAAAACTCATTTCCTCACGCAGCTCTGATAGTGAAGGACTTTTGATGCATGTTCTATTTTTACAACCCTGCAACACCAGGAAAAGAGACAGGGCTGGTAAAGGAGCAAAGGGGTTTCAGGATTACTGTCTGCAGTGTCAAATTTGTCCAGGTCAAAGAATGAACCTACAAATGGCGAGAGGGAATCAGATTTTGACACAGCATGCTTTTTGCTTAAACTAGGCAAAAATTACATTTAACTTTAAATACTCTGCTACTTTCACAGACAACATACACCCTTCAAAAAAAGGAAAAAAATGACCCGAGTTAGTCTCTAGACAGAAATGAAACATTTGAGCAAATTAGTTCCATCCCAGAGCATTAAAAAAAACACTTTCCTAGATAAAAGGAACTGAAAACTGCTGCGGAATCTGTCACGCTAACAAAACGAAGACCGCGTGGCTTCTCGCTTTCTCCATAGAAAACTCGAGCAAGCTTTCGGTCGTTCGTGCTTCTTCACTTGTGAGACTTGCTGGTTTTGAATGACACCTGCAGTATCTTGTCTCCAAGGCGGTAACCATTCAGACTGGCAATGGCCATGGCCGCCTCCTCATAGTTTGTCATGGTGACGAAGCCGAACCCCTTGCATTTGTTGGTGTTGAAGTCACGGATGACTTTCACGTTGGTGACGGCGCCGAAGGGGCCGAACATCTGCCAGAGGATGCCCTCGTCCGCGTCTTGGCCCAGGTTGTATATGAAAATACACCAACCCGAGGTGGAGTTTCCAGGCATGTTGACACCTGACAAGCCACTCATGTGATCCACACTCATTGGGGAGAATCTATGGGAAGGGGGTGTTCATTTAGGGAAGAAAGCAACAGCTGGGTTTAGCCCACAATTCAATGACCACACTTTAGATGAAGTTATGGGTTAAGTGTCCATGACAGAGTGGGCCTCTATGGGTATCTCACCTGAACCTTTGGGCTTGGTGATGAACGGGACCACCGAAGCGGCGAGACTGTGAGTGGTAGATCTGAGAGAGCAGCTGCGAGCTCTTTGCCTGATTGGGGTTGGCTGCAAACTTCACCGTGATGGGCTCCGAGGCACCGGGCGGCTTCTGACCATTCAGGTTCTTGATGGCATCTTCCGCCTCCGCCCTCTTGTCGAACCGAATAAAAGCTACGCCTCGGGACAAGCCTGCAAGGAAATGGAGATGAGGACTTCATGGCACAGAAATTGTCAGGTGATGGCCGGAGAGGACTTTGGCTACTCGCCACAGGTGAGCTTACCTGAAGCCTGATCGACAAGGACCCGGGAGTTAATGATACGGCCAAATCTCGTGAACATGTCCTCCACATCTTTCTGAGTCATGGTCTTGGGCAGCCCACTAATGTAGAGGTTTGCATCCTTAATGGTGTCAGAGCTGGGCCTGGCATAAGATACCTGACGGAAAACGCCAGTCAACCATAAATATTATACTATACAAAATACAGGAAAACATAACTGCAAAGCACATCCACCATTAAAAATCAGATAATTGGAAAGTATTTCAAAAAAAGTAAATAAAATCCAATTACAGTTTAAAAGCCATTCCCAACCCTTTAAAAAAAATTAAATATAAAAATCAACACAGGTGCCACATATATTCATGTTACAGTCCTTGAAAGCACAAAACCATGTTTTAAATAGGAAAACAAATTTTAAAGTTTGTTCGGATACAAAACATTGAATAAAAATAAAAATGTGTTTTTCTGCTGTGCAGGGCCTTAAACTGGTGGCAGTGGTGGGGATGCAATGAGGTTACAGTGCTCCTTGTAAGACATTACAGCTAAGGTATGTGTAAAGGCCTGGTGACACAAACATAACTCTAAATGACTACTTTTAGTCACAGGGTGGGGAGAGCAATTAAAAAAACAAACATTTGGAAATTCTAATTAAGAGCCTAGTTATCCAATTGGTGAGTGTTTATATACATGAGTGTATATATAAATAGATAGTTTGTTTTAGAAGAAAGGTACCTTACATCATACCAGGCTTTATCTACTGGAGCATTGACTTAGTACGGTCATGTTTAACGAAAGTAGACACTCAGCAGCAGAGAGCTTCCCCTCTGCTGTCCAAGGGCTACTTGAAAGACATTTCACATTTATCAGTTGACACATGTATACAAGAACACCTCTTTCACGTTACCTTGATAGTTTTAGACTGTAGTCTCAGCCCATTGAGAGTACTGATTGCCCTTTCTGCATCACTAGGGTTAACATAGTTAACAAATCCGTACCCTAAACTGTGGCCTAGAAAAAACAAAAAAGGAAAACAACAAAATAAAATAAAAAACGTTTGTTCCAAAACTTTGCAGACTGGACAAATGAGTATATTCACAAAACAAATCTGTACAATGCATGCCAATTTTAAAAACACATTTACATTCAGACCTGCAGATGAGGAACGACTGTACTGTTAAAACCAAAGGGTTGGTTAAAGTTGAGGTAGGTCAAAAAAAAAAAATTTAAAAAAAGAAAAAAGAATCCGCATACTTAATGGTAAAGGGGGTGTGGGGGGGTGCTCTGCATGTTTGTTGGTCACAGGAATGATTAACGTGATTAAGATTAAAAAAAATAAAAAAAGAAAATCCCCAGTCTGTTCATAGTTACATATCCCGCAGATCACCATCAAAAGTTCTCAGGTGATTCACAAACATTTTATTTTCCATGGCTGGCGGAGTTTGTCTGTTAGCTATAGCCACCTGCTTAGTCTTCCCATTTATCAGAGCTGTGATTAAAAGCGCCAATGCTTATCACTCCTAGTTTCCCTCCTATATATGGGGCCAATACAAACTAGATCATTAGAATCCCCCTTTTGCCTTCTGCCGATACAAGGTCAACAAAAAAGCAAACGTTCCATTATTTAAAAAAAACCATCAATTCAAAGCAGAGGTGCCAAACTCCAGTCCTGGGGGGGGGCAGAGCCCTGTGCAGCTTAGTTCTTTCCCTGTTTCACCACAAACGATTCAGCTCAATAGCCGTGTGGTAATTAGCACAAGGAGTTGAATCAGGTGTGTGTAATGAGGAGAAACCCCAAGCTGTGCAGGGCTCCGGCCCCCCAGGACAGGAGTTGGACATTCCTGATCTAAAACCTCTATATCTGCCCATTGAGAGATTAGAGACAGAACAATTAGTACAGTATGTTGAAACACCACCGGCCCTGATTTTGTCAACCATGTCTAACAGACTGCCCATGATTTTTTTTTTTTTTTTTATATTTTTTTGAAAAAAGATGATAAACAGGAAGACTCCTACGATAAATATGGAAGTGCAAAACCATTGTTTTGCACAGAAATACCAGGTTGGAGGAAAATTAAAAAAATATATATATTAAAAAAATAAATTAGTCCAACAGGATTGGAGAAGGGGAAAAAAACCTTCTATGAACAGACCAACAAAATCAAATGAATAACCCAAATATAACCCCAATTGGAACTTTAAATGCATTATTGTTCCACAACATATCCATGACAACAGCTTCTGAGTTGTGTTGAGGGGATTTAAAAAAAAAAAAAAAAAAAAACCACGACAAGCTGAGATGACATCACAAAAAGCATCCGAACCCACGACTTGAGATTGATGTTACTTTAAGGTATACAATCATTTCCCTGCAAAGAGTTACACAATTAGATTAAAACAAAGAAATGGTCAAATCAGCACATCAAAAAGTTTAACAATGCATGAACAGTAACAAACGGAAAATGAAAACATTTAAAGAATTTACTTGATCATTTGCAGACAGCAGGAAGGACTACTGGAACTGTAAGGAAATATACTCGGATGTCCACAAAAATAAGAAACAAGAACAATTAATAGCGTGAACACATTCAGCGTGCAACACCTTTGGGAACAACTGCACAACACACAGCTCATCTCATGTGCAGACAGGTCTGAACCGTCACTGCGCCTCTGGCCAACATCAGGGCCTGTGCATGTTTTAGCAAGCACAGCTCACTACATTCAGCTACACTACTGCATCTGCATCCTAACATACACACCTAGCTTTCCCCAAGTCACTTTCACAACATTGTCATCATACAGACAACACCAAAAGAATTTACTTAGTCTACCTAAATGAATATAAAATAAAATTTAAAAAAAAACTTAAGACGACAGTGAAACATCTCTTAATCATTAAGCAATTCTCTATCACAAACTAGTCTGGATGTCTAGAGATAAAACTAAAAAATAAAAGGAAATTGCTTGTGCAAGCTTTCCTGGAACGAATAAAGCTTGTAAAAGAGGCTCCCTTTCATAATGCTTTAATGTGCATTCCAAATTGATCAAGCCTTCAACAACTTGTTTAAATTTTTTTACAGTGGGCAGGGCAAATACGTGAGCAATGTAACAGCATGGATGGGCTGCACGCTAATGGCCTAAACGATCTCCATGGGGCTTGAGAGAAGGCCGCAGGTTCCCTGATTACCTGCCATCTTATCACGGATGAGCTTGGCAGACTCCACCTCCCCGATGCTGCTGAACAGACTGCGAAGCTCATCCTGGGTCATGTTCTGCGGCAGGTAATTGACGATCAAGTTGGTCCTGGCATCCTTTGGCTCGTCCGCCATATGGTCTTCGTAACCGTTAGACATGTCATACACTTCCTGCAATGGAGGGAAAGAAACAGATGGGATTAAGTCCACAAAAGGAAACACAAGTCAAGTGATGTAAAGGCTTCAGACAAAATCCCCCATTACAAACCTGTGTTTCTATGTGCTTTAGTATCTACAAGCTATTACAGCACAAATCACTGCAACTCAGAGCTTTAAACCTAAAACTCGAACTTACTCAGACTCAGCTTACGAGTGTTCATTCAGTATCCTAGAGCTCTTCCAATACATTAGCAGGCATACCAACACATGACCTTACTACTCCCTACAAAGCGGGAACCTAAAATATCAGCAGCACCCGCAACACACAAACACGCACAGACACGTGATGAATTTAAATCAGGAGACATGCAGGTTTACATGTAAACCAGCAGCCGACAATAGAGAGCTGGAGGAAAACAAACCAAAGAAATCTGTACCTTTGGCTCCCGAGTCTCACTCCAGGGAACACACACAAAAAGGCAGAGTACAAAAAAGCCTTTAAGCTAAACCACCAAAATATCAGCCATGGCTGTGACCTTTACAAAACAGTGGCCCCATTTCTTAAAACAAAACGTGCAGAAGCAACAGCAAAATACATGAAGGGGAGGGGGGGGGGGGGGGGGGGAAAAGGCAAGCTGGAACAACATGATTCAGCATGGTAGACAGAGCCCTAGCCTTTAGGGTGCACCATGGACAGCACGGCCTTACTGACACGCAGCCTGAATTTCAACTCAAGCCCCATCTGACCCATTGGGTGGCCTCCATCCAGCCATCATTAAATCAAAGAAATGACAATGTCCGCAATCTGAGAAGCTCGACGGGGAGAACGGAGGAGCTCTGGTAACTGATACAAAAGCAGGGCTTCAGACCTCCTCTTAATGGACAGAATATGTGGAAATGAGGGTGTCCTGAAGCACCCACCACGTTTAACTCGTTTGCATATCCATGCGCTGTAGGTTCTCACACCGTAACATGTGAAGTGCTAGGGAATCTGTCTATGGTGTAGGGGCCGCCAACAAATAGAATGGACTTAAGTAGATCACTGATAATTTGACCACAAGTAAAACTTCCAACACTAACAGCAGCGCTGATGGACTCACTGAACTAATACTGGATCAAAGAAATCCAGACGACTGTAGTGTCCAGCATCTGGTACAAGAACTCCAAGCTCAGTATATGTTCAGAGCGAGATACAAGTAGGAGGCAAAATGTATATGGGCAACTATGCTGTTTAGGAATTCACTGTGACTCAACAACGTGCTCTTAAAAGGAATCCAGCTTTAACGGCACATCTCCCCCTCCTGAATTGAATGAACACTGCATGAGAATTATCAATGATCTACTGTACTTCACTGCAAATTCTGTACAACTGTCCAAGCGAATGGAGCAGGAGGGAGGGAGGGAAAAAAAATTAAAAATCACGGTTCTTGAGTGCTTCTGCCTGTTGGACAGAAGCAGTCTATGCAAACGAGTGTGGATGTTGGCTAAACACATGCAACATGTACGAAGTTAATCTCTCACTTTCGGGTGGAGATAAATCTCAGTTAAATTAAGTGTTTTAAAAGGGCCTGCTAACCAAAACTTAACCCTAATGCTAAAGAAAATATCTGATGAGTGAAACTGGAATCAATGGGAAAAAATACAAGCACTGCTCACGTTTGCCCCTGTGAACATACCTTCAGTGAACTGGCACCCTTACTGCCGTGCTGCTGCGCTTCCCTGTTTTCATTACCCTGGCAGCTCTGAACCTCGCAAACCTGCAATAGCAACACTCATATTGCATCATTCACGATCAGCCTGAGGACTCTGGCGCTCCGTCACCTACATCCTTTGTTTCCTGTGCATTTCCCCCATGCTTCACAGTTAAGAGCGTAGTGGTCACCGCTCACAGAGGTCTGCCAAAGACCAGCACGTTCTGCTGTAATGGTTTCCATTGATGCAACAGTGGGGCGGTGGACATTTTTAGGAGGCAAATGAGTTGGGGACAGAAGCGCAGCACGTCATTTCCACTCACATATTGACTCATTCGTAACATGTACACATGCCAATATAAAAGAAACATTTAATTGCCAAACGTTTCCCGGTAGTAAAGACTACTCGGATGGGATGTCTGGACCACATTTTGCAGATAACCCCGCCCAACCCACAATTCAGCAGACAGACACTGAAGGGTCCAAACGCTCGAAAGACCATTTGCAACAGAGTAACTAGACAAGTACTGACTGTTATACATGTTAGGAAGCAAACAACCCCTGTTTGTTAGCTCTGCATTGTGCTACATAGATTATGACTTTACAACTCTAGGATGCACATCCAGAGAGTGACCTGAAAATAGCCCAACCAAGCGCCTGCCACATAAGCTCTGAGATACTGCTTCAGCACTACTAGAACAGATCTCAATGCACCAGGAGAGGATAACAGGCTAATGGTCGGTTTACCAAACTGAGGTCATCACACGACTGAATGGCAGAAGCTGGGTGTGCTGAAATCTACTGCACTCTCCAGCTACTCTTCAGACTGTCATTTCATTAGGTTTGTGGAAATCTAAGTGTAAAAATGTATTCACAATTCCACTGGCGATTTGCGAATGATTATGTGGAATCAGGAATAACAATACTCAAAAAACAATACTACCATTAACACATGATGCCTCAATAAAGCTTGCAATTAATTGTCAATGTTGCTTCCTGAAACGGTAATATCTGCCAGAACAACTAATCACATGCAATTGAAGGTAACTACAGTGTAAACTAAGTGACTATGATAAAAAATGTAGCTAAACAGTGTTTAAATGGTATACAAATATACAAATCTGCTACTCACTTTCAGGTACCTAATGTGTCCCCTTCTGACTGCCATGAAGACACTTCACAGATCCCGAATCTGAAGGTACCAAAAACAAAAGGTAGTAAAAATACACGCTAGGGAGGAAGGGGGAAACCAAATTAAAACACAAAAACAAAAAAACTGAACAGAAAGGGGGAGGATTTATTTCACCAAAAAAATTAAAGAAAAATCGAGCAAGATGTTCAGCCTTCTTCAGGAAATACCTGTGGAGAGAACAGAACAACTGTCAGTCTCAACGACTGGTTCCCAATGAGTGTCCTTTTAAAACTTCACCCTTAACTCAAAGATGCAGAAAGCCCACTGGACACCAGAAAAATTAAAACGCACCATAAAGAAATGTCTTACGAATTTTAGATAAGCAGATAATTAGTAGGTTGTGTGTGAAAATGCCTGAAATGCACTTTTAATACTGGCTATTTAGCTTGATTTAATTAAACTTATGTATTCACAAAAAGAAAAAAATGAACTGTAGATCCAGCGCTACACATATTGCCCCCCAACCCCATGCAGACATGATCCCATCGTATGCGACACTGATACTTAGGGACACATATTGGGAAACGAAGCAGGGCACTTTAGTTTGCACCGTCTCACTGGCTACCTAGCAGTGTCCTAACACGGTCCGCAGATATACACTCAGCTTCCGCATTATCACCAAATGCACACCATCCATCACGACCGGCGCATCCTACTCACTTAAGTGCAACTGAAAGACCTCGGTAAAATCAGACAGACTCAGCTCAAACTAAGGCGGGAAAAGTTTACAACGAAAACGGCCACAAAACGCACGTTAACCAGCCGCATGTAAGCGCTTAGCGGCACACTTCCGCCCGCTGGTTACCGCCACCGTGGGAAGACAAACGGGTTAATGTGGCTCTCGGCCCATCTCTGCCTGGTAACTAACGGCAAGGCGCCAGCAGCCATTTTAGGTACAAGTCCTCCGAAATACAACATAAGGCGATATAAAGGGCCATCGGTTTAAGAAGCACGACAAGATCGCTATGGGCATATTTATCTAAAAATCAGCCAGCCAGCGTACAGAAAGAAGCGGGTTTGTTAGCTAGCTTCTGCTATTCGTTAATGACGTACAACTAATAAGGCGGCTTTACAGCAAAATGGCTAACTTTACATATAAGCGTGCATAATGCCCAACAAAATGTCCAGACGAATATAAAAAAGTAAAGGGGCAGCCTGTCGCGGCACACCATGCTAATAGAGTCCCAGCTTTCTGCCTAAATACTAGGTCCAGATTTTACAGGTAAAAGCCGTGCGGTAAGCGGCGGGAATTCGCCGAAGCCTGAGTAGGCCTCGGTTTTTCCTAGCCGCATGGGCGAAACCCCCGCTTCCCCTCGGAGTTAATGACTAACTCGGTAAGAAGTGCACCACTCTGAAACACCTTAAACACTTTACCTGCTCTTTCTGAACCCGGACTCTGCTTTTAAACCGATTACTCGACCTGCTCCAAGGACACGAAGACCGGTGCTGCGGATCGAGGCTGCGTACTACTCCCCTCAGACAATGAAGCTCGTTGAAGACGACGATCATCCAATCGGCGAGGGGGCAGGCACTTGCAGGGTCCGCCTCCTCGGCCGTATCATTTGATATATTACATGTCATTCATGTGCATCTCTCAGATCCATTGGTTGCAGTGCTGCCATTCTTCTTTCTCTATCCTAAGGAAGGTGCAGATGTTCATGGTATGGCTCGTCGCGCAGTCTTTGAGGATTGAGAATATTGAAGAGTACGTGTCATGAAACCGGCTGTACAGCCATTAAAAGTAATTTAAACGCGCCATTATTGTATACAATCACAGATATTCCTGAACTGACATTGGTTGTATGTTATGTGAGTGAATTTATTTTTCTCATTAGGGAGAGATGACTTTTATGACAGATATCACCAGTAGTTACCTTCCACAAATATTGTGATTTT